CTGATTACGAGGTTGTTCCTGTGTTGCATACATTACATAAGCGAAATGCAGACGAAGAACAAGTAGTGAAGATGAGAGCATTCAATAGGAACATAAAGCTCTACTTGAAACCTACAGAAGGTATTTTGTATGGACTTCATACTCCCGTTTTCTCTGTAGTGCCAGATAAGTATCAACCTCGAGGTTTGAAGTACACGAGAGTTCGTGATGTAAGTGCCAAAATCATCAATCCTTTCATCGATTGTTTCGTCTTGACTGCATTACAAAATCATGGATCTGTAACAAACTAAATTTCCTAGGCACAAGAATTGCAAAAATCAGCAACATTTCTCATGAAATTTTTACAATCTATTTTAAAGGCATTCGAAGGAGTCGGCGTAGCGTATCAAGATGTACTCACCAGCTCAGCACTGCTTCTGACAGATTTGATTGACGAATCCGTGGAAATGGTCGGAAACTTTCTGAATGATTACTTTATAGAACCACTACCAGAGCGGCTGAAAGATCTCCTCCGAGATAAGAGAAGCATGAATGAAACCGACAATGACTTCAAGCAAACTCATCACCATATTGTTTTCAAAAGACCTCACCCATCTCATAGCGAAGTTCACCAGGGAATGAGTAAGATTTAAATTTCGGAAACTAACGCGACAGGAAAAAGTTGAATTTCTTTAGGTAAAACGTAATGTATTCATTATCAGAATTAGTGAAACGTGAACGGGCTCATCAAAATAGTTCACGCACTGGTAGATCGCTGCATATAGCCCCCGATGTCATTCACCCGGAAATCTTGGTCATTATGGATTACTCTCTCTACAAGTAATAAGAATGAATAAATTCGTGAATATTTCCTAGTGAAAATTGAATTGGAATCTTGAGAAAATGGCCACGTGTCTTTCTTTTATAGAACCCAGAACCAAAACTTCAAAAGAGCGTTAGTATATCTGTTAAGTTTCTGGAATGCCGTCGACCTCCGATACAGAACGATGAGCGAGCCAAGAATTCGATTGAACATCGCTGGATTCATTATTTCAACCGTAAGTGACTAATAAGAATTCATAAGTAACTAAGCTTGCATCACAGAAAATAATATACCCGAATTGGGGGATGGGTATTTCAATTCGAACATGATGTTTTTGTATCAGGCCGGGTTGTAGCAAGCCCCCTTAAGTGCAAGTGCCTCAGGCACTAAGTGTCAGCATGTAAGGGTCAAAAAGTGGAGGTAAAAAAATGAGGGTCAGAATAATAAGCTCAAAACATTAGGGTCAGAATATAAAAGTAAAAAAAGTGGGTGTCAGGCAATGAGGGTCATATAAAAGCTAAAAACGGAGATCAAGAATAACATATGACTTATATTCAGACCCTAATTTTTTTATCTTAATATTCTGATTCTTTTTTTTAACCCTCACATTCTGACCTTCATTCCTTCACCTTTACATTCAGGCCCTCAGTTTTCCACTCTAATATTCCGATCCTCATTTTTTAACCTCCACTTTTTTATCCTGATATTCTCACACTTTGTTTGTGACCGTTATATTACACTTGAGAGCGCTTGGTACAACCCGGGCTGATACCAAATAATCATCCTCGAATTTAAATACCCATTCCCCATTTGAGTATAAGATATATTTGGATCAAGTATATTCTTTTCCACGATCTTTCACTTATTTTTTTGAAAACCAAAAGTTGTTTAAAGCAAGAATCAAATGATATTTTGTGAATAATTCCAGAAAGAGGGTGGGACTCCCTTCTACGATAACAACAAAAGAGAAAAGACTAAAGTAGACGGTGATTTGGCTCTTGTAGAAATGAGCAAGTATTTCTATCAAGAAAACCGGTTTCCGTTTTCGAAATACGATTTGGCAGTGGCAATGACTCAGTTAACTATCAATCCAATTATCCACTAGTCACGATCAAATCACTATTCTCCACTAACGCAATTGTATTTTTAGACTGGACATATGCAATATGATAGGACAGTCTTTCTGTGATACATCAACATTAGGTGAATTGAATTCTCAGTACAATTGTTGAATTAAGGTTCTAGTGATAAGTGACATACTAACGGAATTGAATCAATTAAAGGATACGCATATGAAGCTGGAGCCTGCAATAGAAGTGCGATAGACAGAAACACAGAGGCAGTTGGCCTCGTTGAGGATAATGGAGGATACAGTGGGATAATTCCTGCTGCGCATGAAGTGGGGCATTTGTACGACAATTTTTTCATTCGTTAATTATCTAGAAGTTGTGAAACTTGACAAAATGATGAATAGTTTGGGGTGATTAGCATGCATCTTGGAAATGAGTATTGATGGGGGGAAGAACTATCACGATACATTACTTGTAAATCAGGGAATTCCCGATAAAGAATGAAATGATAATATATTTGACTCAATGTCGGAAACCGATTAGTTACTTTATCTTTATCTTACCATCTGAAATCTTAAAATGTGAATGTTTTTTCCAAAGACTGGGTGTTCCACACGATGGAGTGGATGGCGCTAAAGACTGCCCAAGCTATGGAGGATTCATGATGACTTATGCTCTCAGTCTTGGAGAAAATAATTTCTACTGGTCCAACTGCACTATCAAGCTATTTCGAGAATTCATGAAGTGAGTGGAAAGGCGATTTACCCATAAGTATCTAATTCATTCCATTAAATATTCGTTCCTTTTTTTAAAGTTCTGCAGATGGTACATGTCTGTACAATTCTCCTCGCCGAGATACTCAGCTGCCCAGGAAATTGCCAGGGAAAATACTCTCATTGAACCAACAATGCAGAAAAGTTTATGGCACAAGAGCATGCAAGGTATTTCCTTTTTTACGCAAAGTACTTGATCCTGAAAAAATATCTACTCACAATGTTGTAACTTTTGATATTTCAGTTTGACGAAAGCGTTTGCACGAGACTGGAGTGCTACAACCCAAACGGTGGATTCTGCAAAGCTCATACGGCAGCTGCTGAGGGGTCAACGTGTGGCAACAATATGGTAAACTTACTGAATGAATTTGGCGAGCATAAAACGATTGGACAATATTCTTCATTCATCGTCTAGAAGTATAAATCTTTTTCATCTATATAAATTCATTGATAGGAGAGTGGGGTAGATTGACTGTCTTCTCATCTTCATCAGGTCTTATTTTGAAGCTTCACAAAAAAAAATCTTTTGAAAATGAAAGAATCCGGAAATTTCACTCCACCATTCGAAAGTTTTTGGAGATTGAAGTACGTCTGTGCTATCACTTTCTTTCCGAGATTATTTCTCTTATCAAAAAATGTAAATGGCTTAAAAATGACGCGTTCGTCAACTATCATTTTGTCAGTCTCGATTTACTACCGATTGGAGGCAACCCATTCCGTTTGATTTTTTCCTGCTTCTAATTTACTCTTTTATTTACGAACATTACCTTTGCAGAAACACAAATAGATTTTTTTATTGATTTCCATGCTCGCCAAATATGTTTGCAATATCTGTATTGAAAGAGAGAAATTGTGACATTAATAATATCATTTCTTTTTCAGCACTGCTTAAATGGCCGCTGTTTGCCGGTAGATGCAACTGAACTCGCGGAACCACCAAATTTTGAATATAAACCATTTCGACCGAACAACTTTCCAAAATTCAAACCCAGTGACTGGATATCTCGCACCATTCAACAGTGAAAAATGACGAAACAGATAATAAAAGAAAGAACTCGAATGTTGTTCGTGCAATTATTCCAAACTCTTGTTGAATTGTCACGTGTGTATAATTTAGATAGTCGAAATCAGTGAGAAACATCATAGACCTAAAGTATCAAACGCTGACAAGGCCAAAGCGGAAAAATCTAATTTCGTATATTGCAATAGAATTCGAGAATTTTTACCTAACAATAACTTTGAATTTGGGAAGATTGCAATAATCGGAGTGCCAAATTTTGACCATGTAGATTCAACAGTTGGAGGATCAAAGTCCAATAATTCCAACCCCGACTTCTCTTCATCAAGAATGCCTGGATCAACTTTTTTAATATCCAAGAGAATTTCATGATATGTGCTCCGCAATCCTTCCCCTGTTTTCCCTTCAATTGATGTCTGCGGTAGAAATGAAGAGCCATATATTGGTGGAGCCATTTTGATGTCTTACGACACACAATTCCACGCTTTAATAAACGATTTTGATTCTTCAAATCATTTATGGTATTGATGGGTTTGTTTTTATCGATATATTCACCTTTGCTATGATCTCCCATGAGATGAATTGTATCATTACTTATTATCTCATGTATATTTGCATACTGACGTGCGCGTTCGAGCCGAAGGCAAGGCCGACCCACAGTTAGCTGCTATTTCGCACTTTAAATGTTCGCAGACAATCCCAGACGCAGCAATTGGCAAAAATTTCCTCCACTGTTGAGATATGATGATACACAGTCTTATGGACTTCATTATAAAAATATTGACTTGTATGGCGATGTGAATAATAAATTGTTTTCGCATGATGCACATGTCGTTCTCTTTTACTCCTTCCGCTGTATATCACTCAAAGTAATCAATATACTGTGAAAATAATTTATGAGCCTGAAATATGTAATGCATTTTTTGAAAACAGTGTCTAGAGGATTGTCTGGATATCTCATTCCAAAATGTTTAGTCGGAGTGAGCACCTGTGCTTATTTTTACTCATGTTGCCTCAATTGAGTGATCAAGTAAATAACTAGTTCAGTTAATGATCCAGTGGATCAGTATCATTATTAGGATTCCATAGAATTTTAAATTCATTAAAGAAGTGGTGAAACGATTGGAGCCGACGAGAAACTGTGAAATCTGGATATTTAGAAAATCATTTAAAGAAAAATCTTGGGTTAAAATTTTAACAGATCAGAGGAAGATTCTTTCATAGTTTCAAAATGGATAAGGATTTCATTAGTGGAAAGGAATCAGATCGCTTTCTCCTGTAGTTTTTTACAATAATAGTTTAATTACATTGATTCAAAAATTTTTAGATGTGTGAATCACTGACAGATGAAGAAGTTCAGTCTATCTTCCAGACAGAATGTGACACTGGTACGTATGAATAAATAAACAATTTCGAATTTCATATATAAATTATTCTTCATTCCTTAACTTTACTCATCCTAGTTCCTGAGTATCAAGTAGTGCCAGTATTACACTCTATTACTACAAAAAATACATCAAACCCAAAAGTATATTTCAAATCCTTCGGGAAGGATGTGACATTGTACTTGTGGCCAGCTGAGGGGATGCTATTCGGAAGACATACACCAGTCTATACAGTCGAGTCGAACAAATCGTCTCCCAGAGGTCTCCATTACACAAAATATGATACATACGGAGTAAGAGAATTTTTCTCTATTCTCATATAAAAAACGATCGCAGTAAATCTTCTTAATATTCAATTTTAGTAATTTATGTTCTTCTAGATTTATCACGCCTATCAGGACGAATCGAACAATGCGGCGATAATAGTACGCCAAGGCACTAACAATTCATACAAATTCGACGGCACTTTCGGTCACCATTTCGCGATACGCTCCCTTCCACAGAGAGTGATAGACGAAGTAATCAGCAAAAACAAATCTCATCATCAGTCGAAATTGCTTCCCAGTATCACAAAGAATAATGAAAGCTACTCGCAGACGGAGCATCACTTGATCATAAAGACGGATGATGTGAAAAATGCTTTGAACTTTAACAACCGATCATTCTCGAACAACTCTTTCGTAACTCGTGATGAACGAAACTCAAGACATAAATACAGTAAGATGAAGACCCATTCGAACATTGTGTATCCTGAAATTTTGACTATAGTCGAGTACGATACTTTCAAGTGAGTAGATGAATACCTTTTCTATTCAATTTAATCAACGAAATTGGATATGCTTTCGTTTAATCGGCTTCAGGTCATTCCAATCGGATGTTTCTGAGGTACTCGTATATCTAACAGCCTTTTGGAATGGTGTAGATTTACGATATAGATCACTGAGGGATCCAAAAATACGTCTGAACATCGCGACGATAATAATTGGATTGGTAAGTAAAGTCATGGAGTTTCAGTCTTCCAATTTTTACAGCTCGAACTGCAATAAATAGATGCAGTACCAAATAACAAATATGGGGAATTATTCTGAATGTGAAAAATCAGTGTTCAATACCCTGCATTGAAGCAAATCATTTCAAACATTCAAATAATTCCTCCTCCATCGACCTGAACCCATTATATCTCTATTTAACTATTTTAACAATTCTCTCCTCGATCCCCACTTCTTCAAACAGTTGCTTCTTTGTCCCTGGGAATCCCTCCAAAATACTGTCAACTATCTCAGAACCTATTCTCTTCCTTTTCAAGTATTCACGGGAATACTGGTCCCTCAAAACCTCGGCCTTCTTCTTCTTTTCCCCCAGATTCGGCTGACTGCTAGACCTCTCCACTAGATGATCCAATTTGGTTTCTAGTGCTGTTACTCTTAACTTAACCGCGTCACTCTCCCTGATAGCTTCCTCCAGAGTTGGACCGGACTTCAACGCTTCTAATTTTTCCTCCCGAATTTTAACCTCATGCTCAAGCGCCTTCCGTCTCATTTCCAACTCGGCTGCATGAGCTTGCAGGTCACCGCTCATTCTTTTCAACTCAGCAGCATTGTGCTTTGTGGCTTGAGTTACGCAATAGATTTTCTGTTTTCCGTACGTCTAAAAGTCGAACAAATGCGTCAAATAGCTAAAGACTAATGATGAATTTTACGTAAATTTACTAGAAGTGGGCGGATTAGCTAATCAGCGTGAGAAAGGAAAAAACGGTTGGGTACAGTAACTCTATCCGTCTTCAAGTCTATCATAACAACTTTATCAAACATCGAGTCTGCCGAAAAACAGATATATTATTTAAAAATAGTAAAGACAACTCTATCGGTGGTCATGGCTACCCTGAATTCGCACCGAGAGGTGATGTTGAATAAAGTTGTGATGGCTTCGGAATTTAGGGTAGCCACGATCACCGATAGAGTGCTTATGATAAAGCTGAAGATGGATAGAGTTGCTCCTGTACCGTCCAAATGCATCAAATCTATACTGATTAATAATGAATTCTAAAATTTAAATAAAAGTATGCAATTCGTCAAGTAATATTATATAAAGTAATTTGACTAAAAGTGCGTGAATAGCTAGTCATTATGAGAAAGAAAAAACTGCTGGAGTTCCCGACTTTGATGTTTAATTTGGAATCTATCTGGCATTGAATTTTTGTGAAAATCGAAGCAGAAAAATTAGAGATCCATCGAAAAATTAGTGCCATCTATCGGTATTCACGATTTTGGGGCTTAAAGGTCCAAATAAAAACATTGAATTCCGTATCATGAAGAAAATGTCCAACTCTAGGAAATTTTTCGCGTAACTTCACAATTCTAAATGAATAATCACTACCTAGTAACATACCTTCTCAAAAACTTTTCCCTCTTTCTTCAACTCCTCCAGTGCCTGTTGAATGGTCGCCTTGCTCTTCTCATTGGGAAGATTCGACACAATATCATTGAGATTGTAGGGCCTGTTCTGAGTCTTCAGAAAATTGTGAACCGCTTCTGCCGTCGCCATATTGATTTAATTATTGTTCTCAAAATCTCAAGTCAATCCTTGAATGATAAAACGAAAGTTTTGTGGTGATACCTGGAAATTGGTTTTCGCAGGACAGGAATGCTACCCCATATTTGAGCGATTATCGATTGGACAATTCTAGGATTACCACTGATTCTGTACAAGCTATGGGTCTCTATTTCTATGCTGAGGAGAGATTTGAGAAGAGCTCGTATGACATTGTAATCGCTGTCACGAGGTAAATGACTATAAGAAGAGAAAGGTGAACAAAAATTACTCAGAAAATTGTAGAGCGAAATGTAATTCAATGGAAAAATGCCTGTTTGTGAAGACTATTTCACGATTCATTTGGTGAAAAAAATACATTTATTGTTAAATGTCCCCACCACTGGATGATTTGGTCTGTTTTAGAAAGAACTCGGTCAATCAGATGATAAATTAATAAATACAGTGGACTCTGGTTAGAGGCATATTGGTTAGTGTCGAACTTCCCCTCAATTTTTTTTTCTCGCCGCTCGAGCGTTTCCCCCACTCTGCCACCACACAAGCCGGAGAGTAAACACTCCAATATTTTCTTCGAATTGCTATTGTCTTCCGATTCCAGTAGAGACGAGAAATAAAATATTCTGCATTTGAATTGTCGATCAAAAAATTTAGTCCACTTCTGGCTGTCATGGGGGGAGGATCTCGTTTTGTTGGCATAAAATTAATTCAAAATTGGATTAAATAAAATAATGAAGCGAGGTAAAGAATACGACTGTAACATTGCGAATAAAAAGAGTAAGACGAGAACTGTTGTGAGTATTAAAACTAAAGTGAGTGTTTTAGAACGATTGGATAGTGGAGAGAACATAAATGATCTATGCGATGAGGTTGGAGTGCATCATACGACGATCAGAAAGTGGTGTAAAAATATTGATAATAAAAAAAATCGTCTGAATCTATATGAATATTGCTATTATAGTTGAAGCTGTGAAGTAAAGTTTATCATTAAAATAAAGTGTTGAATTGAGAGAGAAAAGAAATAGTATTTTTCATTTTATCGTTCGTAGTTCTCGGAAGTCGGGCTCGGCGTGAGCGCGTAGTGGGGGCAGAAAAATAGAGTCGAATTCTCCGAATTCGCTTCCCCTATCCCGCAAAACAGTCGACTCTAACCAGAGTCCACTGTATTAGGGAAACATTCTGTGTTAATCACACTGCGCCATAAGGTTTTAGATAATTTGAAACATAGATCGGCATTAATCATTACTTTAGTAATATTATGAGAAGTTGCACCTTACAGTAATTTAGATTTATCTATCGTAATTGAAATTTGAAAAGTAATATAATAATTGGTAATTTGATTTTTCAATTATTGGTTGATAAAATAGTTCGGAATTTGAATATTTGAGTTGATGATTGATAAAATAATTCGGAATTTGAAAATTTAAATTGATGGTTATTTTTCAAATTAAAAAATTGGTGAGTAATATTAACAATTGACTTATTCCAAATTTAACTGCAATTCAAAAATTCGATTATACCGATGTCTGATTTGAAATCAATTTTTAACCTGACATATTATGAACGAATTTGGTTTCCTGATTGTTTGTGTGCATCAGACGTTTATAGAGCAGATGTAGAAAATTTATTATTCCCTTATCAATTATTGACAGATCAACAGTGTGCGAACGTCTAAAAACCAGCAAAAACTCAAGCTGTGTCTCTCTAAGAGGTACGTTTAGCGATAATTATCAGAAAATTTGCGAGCTTCGAATAATTCGTGTAATGGATAAATTTTGCTAGGCATAAGTCAACTGGGCTCGGCATGCATGCAAAACGCTGAAAAACAATCCGTTGAGTCTGTTGGGCTTGTACACGATCAAGGATTCAACGGAGTTGCAACTGCCGCTCATGAACTAGGTCATATGTGAGTTTAATGACTAATTTCTCGATTCAGTATCGAATAGGCTAGGATGGGATAAAATCTTTTAGAACTCTAACACCGAATTGATAATGTTCATAAATTGTTCAGATTGGGAGTGCCGCACGATGGATCGCCGTCTCCACAGTACATCGGTGGTCCAGGTGCCACAAGATGCAGCTGGCAAGATGGATATCTCATGAGCAGTGAGAGATTCGGCAGCAATGCGTTCAAATGGTCTAATTGCAGTTTAGAATGCTTCAAATACTTTTTGAAGTAAGTCTTTCATTTCACCTCATCAGTTGTAATTAATTTTTCATCAATGCTACTGCGTTCACCTCGCGCTGAAAAGTGCCTTTTCGTTTACTTGTAAAAATAAATAGATCATGTTATTCCAATCTAACAATTGTTCTCTCTTTGTGCAAAAGACAACCAGTCGCTAAATGTCTCTACAACAAACCAAAGTTCGACACAGCCCTTCTTAGAATACTGCCAGGAAGCCTATTATCATTAGACCAACAGTGCTACGAAGCTGGAGCGCTCGAGGCTTGTTACGTAAGCAAACAATTTAAAATTCATTGGAAATTCAAGGGAGATTTAACGGATCTGATTCAAGTTACGCCGTGGCTGTTCGCACTACCACACGCAGCAGTCCAGAGATAGGCATAATCATAAATTGTAATTGACATTAATCTCATAAACACTTAATCAAGTAATAGAACTTAACAATTTTTAAATTATTAAATTAATCAACAATTAAATTTTCAAATTCCGAATTATTTGACCAATCAATAATCGAATTCGGAAGATTGAGGATTCCTTGGATAATCTCTAATACTTTTCAGGAAATTTCCGATTATTTACTTAACAAGATCTATGCGCGCGCTCTCGCGCGCGCTCATCTATTCATTTGTTGAAATGAAGAAATGGAATTCATTGAATTTCAGTTTCTCATGAATATCTTATAAATATTGATAATGAATCAAAGAGAATTCGAGTAATGATTGAAGTGAATAGCGAAGTAGAGTAAAAGAATCTATAAAGAATTTTTCATTTTCAATGAATTATCTTCAATTTTTTAACACAATCGGTCTCCATAAAAGGACAGAATTTATCAATTTCACCGATGATATATATACACGTGAAATATATATATATATATATATATATAATATAACGTTCGGAACGTGAAAAAAAAATTTACCACTGAAGAATTTGAAAATGCCGCGTGTTTTTTTGTGAATAACTTCGTGTCACATATTGACATGTTTTGTTAGACATGTTCAGGCAGTTTCGAGATATTTCGATATAAAACAACTTCCCGTTTCTTTCATCTTTAGTAAATAAGATGATTATTTGAAAAATTTAAATTATCAATTATTTTACTATTTTCTAAATTCCAAAGATAAATTAATGAATTCAATTATTTTAAGGAAAAAAATTCTCTTAATATTACTAAAATAATGATTGATACTGATCTCTGCGGCAGTTCGAGTGCAGGAGTGGGTGCCGAAATATAGCGTAGATGATTCTAAGGATGATTTTCCAAGCAGGGTAGAGTCCGAGACCCCACTTGACAATGTTGTCACAACTCTGGTTTTGAACTCTACTTCCAGAGTTCATAGCAGAGATGTCAGACAAGGTGTAAATGTTTTTTTGGGGCCCGAGTGCAGGAGCGGGTATCGAAATAGTGCAGATGATTCTAAGAATGATTGGTTGACACGTTGCGTATTGTACTACTGGCCGACCCTTATATGCATTTCTGTATGACACGCTGCGTGTAACACGTTGCGTGTGACACGTTCCGTGTGACACGTTGCGTGCGAAACGTTGCTTGCGAAACGCTGCGTGTGGTAGTGCGAATAGCCACGGCGTTTAAGTTATTTTACGATAGGATCTGATCTGTTTTCAGCATGATAAACGGGCATGTGTACTTCTGTACTGTACAATACCAGAAAAAAAGGATCAATGTGTTGCTACTGCCCCTGCTGCTGAAGGATCGAAATGTGGAGATAATAAGGTGCAAAACATAACTTTGTAGCTTTAAATATTTCAATGAAAACTTTGAAAATGTGAGCTGAGAAAATTCTATAGAAAATGTTTCAATAGAATATGTTGTGTAGAAAAATCGATTCTGTTGACTTTTTCTACAGAATATTTTCTATGGAACATTTCAATAGAATCGGCCAAACACTAAGAGAAAATTCAATAGAAATCCGATAGAATTGTCTAGTGAATTCGCTAGATTTTTCTGTGAAAATTTTTTCACAGGGGTGGGTGGGGCAAAATGAAACAGCCGAAAAACGACTATTTGACGCAATTCAAGCAAACAAAAATTTTTTAAACTTTTGTTTATTAACTTTTTTTATTATTTGGAGTACTGATGAGAATAATAATTTTTTATTCGTCTTATGATTCAATTGATAACAATTCAATTGATTAGATTAGGCCGATTACACTTTTCTTTTTTCATTCGATTGAAATTCAGCATCATATTTATTTTTTCTCCCTCTCCTGGGCCTTTCTCTGGACTTTGGATTGTGCTGTTTCATTTTCTTTTCTATTAATCCATCGACAAAATCTTCTCCCGTTAGAACTTCTCAATAATTTTCCATTCTACTGAATGGAAAATTATTATTCTGATTAGTGCTCCCCAGAATAAAAAAACTTTAATAAAGAAAGGTTAATAAAAAAAGTATGTAATAAAAAAAATTCTTTTGTTTGAATTACGTTAAACATATTTTTCGACTGTTTCATTTTGCGCCACTCTCCCCCATTAATTAGAAGTTGGGGTAAAACGGACACGTTTGGCTTTTTTATAATGTTAATGAGGGGTTGAAATGTTGATAAAATTGAATAATTTTTTCTTCAATACAAAGAACAATTCTTTCCCTTTGTGACGAGCCTAAACTGAGCTCAATTGATCAATTTGTTTCGGAGTTATGAATAATTTTAAAAAAGTCTAAAGTGTCCGTTTTACCCCAACCGCCCCTAATAAAAAAATGGCAAAACGCTAACACAACGATTTAAAGCAATGCATATCAGTCATCACAGCCATGACCCGTGAACTATCCGTAACCAAAATATCATAAACTTTCAGATTTGCATTCAAGGAGAATGTATCGACCAACGCCAGTGGAGAAACATCGACATGGCTATTCCCCCTTGACATCATAAACCTTACATAAACTGAAGATTGACATAAAAAATGATAGACTCACTGAAATGTCATGGAGGAGCAAAAAAATGAGTCATAATTAATCAATAATGGAAATGTTTACGAATAAAAACACTCACCGTAGATAACCTCACTGCCACCAGCCTCAAATGTCTCTTGTTATCACTCCAAACTAATCCTCCAAATTCATAATCGAAAACCCTGATAACTCACACGAAATTAATAATTACAATTCACCCCGATGCACCACACGGACAACAAATTCTATTCTGTTGTGTAAATAAGCTGTACCCGGTCTAGTCCAATGAACGAAAATCCGTCAAATGCCGAAACTGAATGTGTGAACACTGAGATATCAAAGTAATTGTAAAGATTTAATTGAACAACTGAATCAATCGACAATCAACGTCTGAACTACGTTTCCTTCGTCAACAAATGTTTAAAAGTACTTGTGCACATGTCGTTGTTTGTTATGGTTGAATCGCAATAAACGTTCGGCTGGTGGCGCTGAGTGTCACGTCCGCCGGAAATGATCATCTTCAGGCGGAAAAACCATCCTCTCCATCATCAACGATCGATAAAGAAGAGTTTTGATCATTTTCACTCATTTGCTCCTCTAGTAGACTGACAAATGGCATAAGTGGACGTTCCTATTTACTAAAGGATGAAAGAAACGTGAAGTTGTTTTATATCGAAATATCTGGAAACTATACCAGACCACAAATCGTCAATTCTGATTGGTTAATGAGTTACGTGAAGTAATCGCTGAAAAAAATCCCCGGTATTTTCAAATGCTTCAAATGCCAAATTTTTTTTGTGCGTCATATTGTCCATTTTTTCATGTGTGAAGTTTATCTTTATATTAAAACATTGCCTAATTGTTGATCATGAGAAAAAACATAGTATTTCGAAAATTTTTTAACTCAAATTATTCTTCACTTCCCAAATTTTAATTTTTTCTATTTACCATGCGCAAAAATGATCAATTCTTGCTTCTCAGATTTTCATACATGAATTCTGAACTCTACAAAATTCATGAAAATTCTTCGGTTCCCCAAATAATTCGAGAAAATTTTTTGAAGATCTACTGCTACTCTGAAAAACTGTGGAATTTTCCGAAGAATTCAAGAGATTTTTTCAGTTTTCTAGGAAATCAATTCATAACCCTCCCCTCATTTTTCAACAACTACAGATTTTAATCAGATTATTTGAAAAAGTAAAAAAAAAAGAATCGATCGAAGATTAAAAATTATTGATTGATGTTTCACTTTTCATTCTCTTAATTCTTTTCAAGTCATTATCAATATTTATAAAACATCTGTGAATATATAAAGTTTAATAAATTCGATTCTTCCTTTTTACAACGAATAGATAAGCGCGCGCACATGTGTATCATCAACAAATGTTCAAAAAGACTTGTGCATGTCGTTTTGTAATGGTTAAATCCAAATAAACGTTCGTCTGGTGGCGCTGAGCGTCACATCCGCCGGAAATGATCATCATCAGGCGAAAAACCCATTCTCTCCGTCATCAACGATCGATAAAGAAGAGTTTTGATAATTTTCACTCACTTGCTCCTCTAGTAGATTAACTAATCCACGTTTACTCCATCGACAAATGGCATAAGTCGGCGTGTCACGTAAATAAAGACGTGTCAACATAATCTCGATAAAAAAAATTAATTACATTTGCAAGTAACCTTGGCAAATAACACTAAGCAAGGTAATAAATGCGTCTACAATAGTGTCATTAGATTGATTGCGTGAATAGCCTCGAAAGATAGATAATTACATTTTCATTTCACAGATGATTACTGACGTGCAACTATCGATATTCTCCAATATTCTTGGAGTCACATTGTTCTTCCTGGTGTTTCTGTTCCATTACATCAACGCAAATTACGGTAAATAAGCGAGGGGAGTGGAGAAAACGCATGCATTCCACAATGGAAAATATTGGGAGTCAAGAGGATTCACCGAATGGACAACACAGATAAAGACATCTATCACGTTTGTAATTATTCACGTGTGTTGGGATTTCAAAGAGAATTATTACGTTATGTTATCATACTGCAATTACTGGAATAAATTCTCATTTATATGAAGTAACTACTGTTTTAATATTTCATTTTTTTATATAAAAAGGAGATGTCGCACTTTTATTCCTGAATGTTCTGGAAGAGAAATCGCATGCATGATGATGAATATACTATTTTGGTTGATGTTGATAACATGGATGATATTGGTAATGGTGGTGTAGATCTACGGAATATTATATTTCGTAACGAGTGCAAAAAAGTGTTTTTTGGCGAGTGGGCGGTTTATATAATATGATATAATCCCACGAGCTAAAAAACATTTTTTCACGAGTTACGAACAATATTTTTCATCACAATGTGGCGGAAATTGGACTTTTAGGCACGCGGAGCGTGCCGAAAAGTTCACTTTTCGTCACAGCGTGATGAAAAGATCTTTTCAATTACGGACAATTATATGCAGCTTTGTCGAGAATTCGATCATGAGATCCATTGAAAGTTTTCAGAAGACAACGAAAAAACGCCAAAGTCAAAAAAATTATGTCTACAAAGAGCAGGGGAGAGGGGTAAAATCGACACTTTAGACTTTTGTTTTATTTGCTCATAACTGAGAATAGTATATTGTGTTACAAGTGCGTAAAGAACCACTTTTTCGCACGCACGCGTAAAACATCCTATTTTTTGTAATACCTGCCGAGTTCACTGTTCGGGACCGTAGTGGGGGTAAAGTGGTTGCTTTTGTGCACGGTGTGCGTAAAGTTCAAGGTCGTGTGTAAAGTGAATTTCGAGTGCGTAACGCACGAGAATAAAATATTATTGAATTAAAATAAAAAATAAAAAATTATTGACTTCTTTTTATGAAATATTCTACTTAAAAATAACACCAAAAGTCACAAAAAAGTTGTGTAAAGTTGTAAAATCTTTAGTTGAATTGGTACCAAAACTCAATAGAATTATTCAATAAAATCAACTTGAATAGACTTCTTATAGAATTCCAGTGAAAATTGAATAAAATTTCTTGAAGAATGCGCTAGATTTTTCTACTAAATTTTGATACCTGTGACCTGTGACGTCTTTTGATATTCAAATATTGTAACTATGTAATCAGTAAGGCTTCAATCTTTAGTTAAATGAACTGCTTGCATACAAACAATTCCTCAAGACAGTTGGATATTAAATTCAAATTTTCCTGCAGAAAAAGTTCATTACAGAAAAGTCGATAGGAATTTTCCACGCATAATGCTTGAAATAAAAATCAGTTTCCATATTCATGCAACTGACGAACGCGCGCTTCGCACCCATCGCCAGATTAATTTATACTTTTTCCTTTTATTTTTTTTTCTTTCCAGTTCCGTCTTCACAATTAAATCAATTTAATTTTATCTATTCTCATTCTAATTATATATTTGTTCCTTAACACATATATGTATAATAAGAATGGATCAAATTACAAGTAACAATAATTCAAACGTTACAATATTGAATGAAGAGGAATTATGTTGAAGTTGATCAATACAAAGTGTTTTTTTGTGATGAAAACAAACACACAAAACAAAAGTCATTCTCATTCCCTTCATATGTGCACTGATGGAGTGATTCATTTATTCCAAACCAGATTCGTTAACTATTAACGAATGGTCGAGTTTAATATGACCAATGAATATTCGTTAATAGTTACCGAATGGTTTACTTGAAAAGTGAAAATCGAGTCGAACAAGGCTCCTCAAATGTGCATTTGTTAACTATGAATTATCATTCCTATAGTCCGATTTCAATTATTATTATTACGAAAATGAAATGAAGAGTGAATCAGAAAGGAATAATCGCTAGAAAATGTTTTTTTTCATCACGCTGTGACGAAAAGTGAACTTTTCGGCACGCTCCGCGTGCCTAAAAGTCCAATTTCCGCCACATTGTGATGAAAAATATTGTTCGTAACTCGTGAAAAAATGTTTTTTAGCTCGTGGGATTATTTCACTCGCCTTCGGCTCGTGATATAAACCTCCCACTCGCCAAAAAACACTTTTTTGCACTCGTTACGAAATATACTATTTTCTTCTTTTATATCGGCCGGGACTTCGAATCACTTTTTTTCTTCAAGTATTAGAGCCCAAGTAGCAAACCTTGCGAAAGATATCTGAAAGTATACCAAAAAGGCTGTCTAATGTCTGTCCAAAAACGTAACTTGTGTCTAGAAATTACCTAGAAGTTAACTAAAAGTTATCGTATGACTGCAAGATACTTTTTGGAAAGACATTAGTCAGCCTTTTTGGTATACTTTCAGATATCTTTCGCAAGGTTTGCTACTTGGGTAGACAGCCTTTTTGGTATACTTGCAAATACCCTCCAGAACTATGCTGCTTGGGAGGAATATCAATACCTCAGCGAGAAGAAATTCATAAAATGCATAAAAAAGTGGGCGGGAAGAACTAAAAAAAATAATTTTTCAATGTTTCAGGAAAGTTTTAAAATCGACACATTTTTTCGAATAACGGAAGAATACCCATAACTTCGATTTCTCTCCTTCTTTTTATAGAATGAATACAATAAATGACAGAAATAGAGAATTGGAGCCTAAAAATTTTATCGGATTATTATTATATAATAATATTTTTCATTCCCCTCTGGAATAAACCTGAACCGAGCCGACGCGTTAAAAAAATATCGAGCAAAAACTCCCAAATTCTCCGTCCACAACCCGTTCTCGCCTCTCCTAATCTGCAATAAATTTTTATTTTCCAATCAAAATGTCCCCATAACATTAATTACCCACAGACTGCACCCAATCAGTAAAATATTAGTCTGGTCTCGAATTAATCCCGTATACCTCACGAGTACAGATAAATCCGGTATACCTGTTCGTCTGCGTAAAGGAAACAGGCAAAAAGCGCGCTGTGTATTCAATATATTCATTTTCGTTTTATTCGTCACGGCGCTCGCGTGCCGCCTCCGTATATCTTTCAAACCGCAGTAACGTTTTTCAATTTCCCCCACATTGTCATACTTTTATCAAAAATAGTTTAACAAAAAGTGTGCAGGCAGTGAAGTCATAAATCTTGAAAATAAATGCCGACAGTGTATGCCTTGTGACACTCAAATACTCCAATAATTTTTCTTCCCCTCAATGCTACGAGTTCATAGTGAAATACATCGTTCGTAGTAAATGTCGGGTGTTTGCACGTCACTATTGCTCTTTGCCGATAAACAAAATTACAAACAAAAAATAAAGTGAAAATGCACGACACGTGTTTTAAACTGAATATCGATATCAACACTGATGTTTTAAACAGTTTAAAAAATACATTTTGTGGATGTGAACTGTTATCAATTAGTGCCCCTATAATTTTTGATAAATAATAATAATGAAAAATCCGCGAGTGCATGTGCATTAACGTAGAATACCGTAAATTGATCGTAATAATGATATAGTGACTGTCAATATGATTTTTAAAATTTTTATGATTTCATTAATATGTGGTATAACGAGGGGATTTACAGTGGATGATGTGCAAAAATATGCTGGATGTATGTCGCAGTGTCAACAAGTAAGCCAAAAAGATAATATTTCTTATCAAGGAAGAGCCTTCGAAATTATTCGAAACCATCCACATTTTCGTGATATCTCTAATGCGTATTTTAACGAGTGGTCTGCGTTACATACGTAACATTTTTCAATACTTCGAACAAAAATAAATTTCAATATCACCCGTGACAATCAGTCGATGTAACATAATAAGTTGACACAGTTGCGTCGATCATGGCTACAGGCTATCGAAAAAAGACGTGGAAAAATAAATGAAAAAAGAACGTAGAAGCATGATAAACTGAATTATTAAAAGCAAACAACAGAAAAAGTTCAAAAACCGGTATGTAACAGTTGAAATATTTAGCATTGGCGGCTGAATACATGAATTGTTAACACGTTCTTGAATTGTCACTGCTGTGTCTTTGAAGATGATATTGAACGCTCAAATGTTCTATCGATTATCGAGTCCCTTAAGAGCGCATAAATACGAAAATCACCCAATAGATTAGACATTCAAGGTCATGGATCAAAACACGCGAATCTGCAGAGTGAAAAGGGTATTACGTCGACTGAAGAAAAACGATTTTCCGTACCGATCTTCACTTTTCCTCGTTCGGGGATTGGTATTAACCCTTCCCCAAACTCGTAAAACTGAAATTCACTATACGGAAAAATATCGTTCACACCTAGTGCCATGGGAATTTTTTGCTCGCGCGGTTGGCCGGTCCGAGCCGAAGGTGAAGAGGAGGCCTCATCACGTATGAAAAAATCCTATAGGATCTCCCATAGGATTTCCTATAGAATTCACTATAGGGGTTTCTATGGAAAGTAACAAAATTGAGACTCGACACCAATCGGTCACAAGGATCAGGATTAGGGTCATAAATCTAATAGGAAATTCTATAGAGAATCCTATAGGGAATCCTATAGGGAATCCTAGTAAATTCTGTAGGAAATCCTATCAGAAAAATTCTATTGGAAATGTTCGAATTCTCCATAGGATTTTCTATAGGAAATTCTATAGGACATTCTATGGCATTTTCGAAGCCGCGGAGGAGGCCCATCACGTATGAAAAAATCCTATAGTGAATTCTATAGGAAATCCTATAGAAAATACTATAGGATTCTATCGGAAATCCTATAGGATTTCCCCTCCTAAAGGATTCCTACAGGGATCCTTGTGTGATTTTCTATAGGAAATCCTATAGAATATCCTATAGGAAATTCTATGGCATTTTTTCATACGTGCACCTCCGTGGATGCCAACTCCACGCGAGTAAAAAACCCCATGACACTCGCCCTGAAATATACGATTCCCCCTTGCTGATAAAAAATGGCAAAAAACAAAAAAATGAAAATAGAATGTACGACATGAGTTTTAAACTGAATGCCGGTACCGACATTCTGCTAAAATATGCTGGATACATGTCGCAGTGTCAACAAATAAGCGAAAAAGGTAATGTTTCTTCAAGAACGAAATTTACCTTCGAAATTATTCGAAACTATCCACATTTTCATGGTGAAATGTCGAAAGCGTGGTTTAACGATGGGTCCTCGTTGTGCACGTAACATTTTTCATTAGGTGGAAGCAGAAAAAATATTCAATATCGCTCGTGGTAATCAGTCGATGTAACATAATAAGTTGACACAGTTGCGTCAATCACGGCTACTGGCTATGGACATGAGAACGTGGACGTAATACATTTAGAGATGCAAATGCGTCACATGACCCGTAATATGACGGTCATGTGACCGTCACATGACGAGGCGCTCATGACGGCTGTCACAATTTCCCCTCCCCCTTCTGTGACTGTTACAACTTGTCAAGAAAAAATGACAGTCATTTTTCATCTATATAGATGAAATTTAATTTTTTTCTCGGTCAATTTTCAATTGAATTCCTTTTGTATTGGCCTAATCCGCATTTTGAAATGGAAATCACGTTTTTTTCCATCCATATAGATGAAACTATTTTGTTTCATCTATAACATAACGATTTGTGACAATCATTTGTAGTTGGAAAATTTGTGCGTCACATGACCGTCACAAGACCGTCATTTTTTGGTCATATACGCGATCTAAAAAATGACGGTCATTTTGCATCTCTAAGTACATTAGATAGAACGGTTCAAATTTGAGTAAAATAACTGTATTCACATTCTTTGAAGATGAAGTTTATGCCCGAGGGGTCTATAATAATTTTTGTGATACCTGCCTTAAAAGTCCACTTTTCGGAACGGTTTAGTGTGCGTAAAGCGGTTGTTTTCCGCACTGCGTGCTCTTGAACTTTACACGGAGAAAAAAATTCCAGAAAAATTACTGCGGTACCACGGTAAAATAGGTTCATTTGGACGGACCCGGAAAAATTCCCGTGCCAGCACCGGAACTTGTGCCATGCGTTAGAGGAATTTTTCTCGGATTTACCGTGAAAAATTCTCGTACTCCACACTGAGGGAAAAACAAACACGCCAACACGTTAAACACGATTTTGTTGTCAAACAAGTCTTGTTTGGGCCAACAAAATCGGTAGTTGAAAATTGCCAAAAAAGAATTTGTTTTTATCAGAATTTTAAGGTTTCAGACATGAATAATTATTCTGCTTTCGACAGCAACGAAATGTTTGGCTCAAGAGGGGGATAATTCACACCAGACGGTGCCTTTTTAGGAGGGAAATATCTCATACAGAGGAAAATTTATCAACAAATATGCTATCCCTAAGTCACAAGATTGCTATCATATCATTATTATTGTTTCATTTAAGTGTTCATTTCTTGTCTGTGATTATTAGACAGCTGAAACGAAAAACTACTATCCCTTGTTTCGCATAAAAGAAAGATTTTTCGGGAGCAAAATCCGTATGGGAATATCGAATAACGAAGGAGTAGTGCTAGAAATGACATTTTTTGCGTGTACAGAGAATGCAATTTTTTCTCAAAAAAAGTTTTTCATTCCGGCGCACTCTGCATGTCTGGCACAAAAGAAATTCTTTTTTGATAATTTTCAAAAAAACATTTTCTTGGCACAAGTAAGACTTGTTTGAGAACTTTGTCATTTTTCTCTCAGTGCACAGAAAATTTTCCCGTGCTGGCACGGTAATTTTTCCGGGTCCGTCCAAACAAACCCATTTTACCGTGCTGGTACAATAATTTTTCTGGAATTTTTTTCTCCCTGTACGCACTTGTGCATAAAAAAAACACATTACCCCCACTACGTCATAGTATGACAAAAAATATGCTTCGTTACTGTTTCGAAATAGAACATTTCGATACGAGTGTGTGATAGTATATTATGTCATTAGGGGATAAAAGTATTATCTGGCGAATGTGACTTTATAATCCGAGCCAAAGGCGCCAGATAATGCTTTTATCGCCGTGTGATATATGCTATTTTATGTCGTTGGGTCTCGCTTCGCTCGGTTAGAATCGCGGTTTATCGGGCCTAATGACATAAAATGTTTTTTGATCCGTAGTGGGTGTATAGCGCTCGCCAAAAGCGCAAAATTAGTAATCCTGACACAACAACTAGGAAATTTCGGAATTGACGAATACAATTCTTCCATTCAGAAGCCAAAGAACCGAGAAGCATGATAAACTGAATTATTAAAAGCAAACAACAGAGAAAAGCTTAAAAACTGGTATGTAATAGTTGAAATATTCAGCATTGGAGGCTGAATACATGAATTGTTAACGCCTTTTTAAATTATGACTGTTGTATCTTTGAAGAGGATACGCGCGCCATAGAACGCGCCAATGTTTTATCGATTATCAGTTCCGTTCAGAGCACATAAATACGAAAATCACCCAATGATCTTTCATTATAGTTTAGACACTCAAGGTCATGGATCCGAACAAGCGAATCTGCTAGACGAAAAAGGTACTGCATCAATTGCAGAAGAAAGGGAATCTTTCCAATAACATTTGCTGAACTATGTAACAAAAAATACAGACGTATTGTCTGCAATTCTAAATTCAAAGCGGCAAAAATGATGAAACCTGATTGTTGATGATGAAATCAATCTTTTTAATGGGATTCTGCGTTTGTTGAATCCTGTGTTGCATTCCTCGGAATTTTTCCACACCAGTTTCTCAACAGACATGAATATTTACTTGCATTCGTCATTATCATTAAGAATGGTACATTAATTAATGCAAGAGGAGGATGACTTACGACAACAATTTGAAATATATTTTCGAACACCCGGGAAACGATGTACAAAGCAATCACTATTTCCATTGTTGTTCACGTATGAAACAAATCAATAGAAAAAATCAACGAGTTCGATAAAAAATTATATTGGAATTTTCTAGGAATTCTATTGGAATTCTATTACAATTGTAGGGAATTCTCGTCAAAAATCGAATTGTTTTTTGCGCTGACTGAAAAGTCAATAGATTTCGATTTTTCGATATGAATATTCTCTTGAAATTTTTTCTCTAAGAATACTTGAGCATGAATTTTCTGATTTTTTTTTCGCTCGGATTCTGCAATGCAAAACAAAACAAAATATAGCGGAAAAATATTAGAAAATGCGTGCAATAATTTTAATAGAAAAAATCGCAAGAGAAAAATTCAAACAGCAAAATCGCAATCTATTGATTTTTTTCCTATCAAATATCTAATAGTAACTGCGCAAAAAAAAATTAACGAGAATTCCCTAGAATTTTGTAGCGAATTCGCTAAGGTTTTATATTAAATTTGTTCATACGCGTTATCATGAACAAAATGTATTAGGAATAGTTAATAAGTGAAAAACAAAGTACTTAATTTACATTTAAAGAAAACAACGTTAGATATAATATGTGCAACATCAATCAATGTGCATTAATCACCTGCGAGCTGTGATTACAGTGATTACTTATGCGTTTACTATGAAAGCACGCATTGAAGGTGGAAAATGTATAGGTAAAGCAGGAATAATGACTCCTCATTTCCAGCGAAACGATAGTTAAATTCACTGATAAACTAGTCAATACAGATGTTCGTCACGAAAGTTGGCGGGAGAATTCTCTATGTGGAATGTACAACTGATAATTCTTCATGCAAATGTAAAATTTAAATAATACGAGATTGAATTGCGTTGTTATTTATGGTAAATACTTGCAACCCTTTTTTTGTTTAACGTTATGTTAACGTATAGTTTCTCCAATTAGACGTTACGTGTACGTACGTGAGGTCTTCTGTTGATGGAATTTTTTTTTTTAATTCAATGTAAGATACAAAGGTGAGTGGAATGTATGAGCATACGAGAAATATGTTAGAAGGTATTTCTGCAATTTCGATAGAATAATTTCTTTGGATTATAAACAAACGAGGGAAATCAGTGGGTAAAATGTTGGTCAGAAATTACCTTAACACTCCGTTGGTCGCGCTGTACTGAGAAAAAAATTACTTTTGCCATGGAATTATTTTCTTGGGAGAAGAATTTATTTTTTTAGTGGCGTATTTCTCCAGGCCAGTCATTCTCAGGTGGTGCAAATCCATCTCCAAATATTACAATTATGTTGAATTGACAATTATTAACATTGAGAATTATTCCAAATTATACTCAATACCAAAAATACCAAAATACCAAAAATATTGTTGTATTTGACGAAGAAATAATTCAGGATAATCAAAGGGGCGTATTTATTGACAGTTCTTCAGAATAGTTTATGGAGCAAAGATCGATCAGACATGAAGTTCTTTACAAAACATTAAGAAAAATGACAATCAACTTTCTTTTATTTTACAAAAGAGGGGAAGAGGATAGATTAAACCATTCGATTCCGTAACAATATCATAAGTAGTTAGATTTTCGGTAAATGTTAAGAAAGAGGGCCCCACCACCGATCCGATGGTTAAGTTTTCAAAAAGATCGGTGGTGGTGCCCTCTTTCTTAACATTTACCGGATTTTCAAATTGTTACTGAAAAACTCCAGGTCGTGTACCGTGTATAAGGCGAATTTTCAGAAAAGCATGGCAACTTTGAGCTTGAATGTATGATTACACTGAGAGAAATTTCAATGGTAATTTCAACTACAAGGGAATTGCCAGAAAAATAATAGTTACGGTAACAATAAACATTGTAGATTCAACTATTACATTAAAGTGAAAATTACATCATAATGTTGTTGACACTATTTGACATAGTAAATTGAACGATGAGTCCTAGTTTAATCTACAAAGTTTATTGTTACTGTTAATATAATTTCTTTGACAATTCCCTTGTAGTTAAAATTACCATTGAAATTTTTCTCAGTGTAAGGGTAACACTGAACATAAAAAATCTCACGGGACTTCTTCAAGTATACGATCTAGATCACGCTTGATTTTTTTCAGATTTTTCCTAGATCCTTCAAATTTACCATTATGTGCGGCGCAGCGGTTACGGCGCGACCAACGACGTTCGTAACTTGTACGCTACGGGTAGGGGACTAGCGTGCCGCTGAACTAAACCCCGAATAGTACTGCATGTGGTGATATTTCTCTATTCTTACGAGATGTCGATAAGAGATTCTCTCATCGCGCGCCTCAAGAATGCTGGTGGAATTGCGCGTTTACTGACGGGCTGAATTTTTTCGTTTATTGTTACTGTAAATATAATTTCTTTGACAATTCCCTTGCAGTTAAAATTACCATTGAAATTTTTCTCAGTGTAAGGGTAACACTGAACATAAAAAATCTCACGGGACTTCTTCAAGTATACGATCTAGATCACGCTTGATTTTTTTCAGATTTTTCCTAGATCCTTCAAATTTACCATTATGTGCGGCGCAGCGGTTACGGCGCGACCAACGACGTTCGTAACTTGTACGCTACGGGTAGGGGACTAGCGTGCCGCTGAACTAAACCCCGAATAGTACTGCATGTGGTGATATTTCTCTATCCTTACGAGATGTCGATAAGAGATTCTCTCATCGCGCGCCTCAAGAATGCTGGTGGAATTGCGCGTTTACTGACGGGCTGAATTTTTTCGTTTATTGTTACTGTAAATATAATTTCTTTGACAATTCCCTTGCAGTTAAAATTACCATTGAAATTTTTCTCAGTGTAAGGGTAACACTGAACATAAAAAATCTCACGGGACTTCTTCAAGTATACGATCTAGATCACGCTTGATTTTTTTCAGATTTTTCCTAGATCCTTCAAATTTACCATTATGTGCGGCGCAGCGGTTACGGCGCGACCAACGACGTTCGTAACTTGTACGCTACGGGTAGGGGACTAGCGTGCCGCTGAACTAAACCCCGAATAGTACTGCATGTGGTGATATTTCTCTATCCTTACGAGATGTCGATAAGAGATTCTCTCATCGCGCGCCTCAAGAATGCTGGTGGAATTGCGCGTTTACTGACGGGCTGAATTTTTTCGTTTATTGTTACTGTAAATATAATTTCTTTGACAATTCCCTTGCAGTTAAAATTACCATTGAAATTTTTCTCAGTGTAAGGGTAACACTGAACATAAAAAATCTCACGGGACTTCTTCAAGTATACGATCTAGATCACGCTTGATTTTTTTCAGATTTTTCCTAGATCCTTCAAATTTACCATTATGTGCGGCGCAGCGCTTACGGCGAAACCAACGACGTTCGTAACTTGTACGCTACGGGTAGGGGACTAGCGTGCCGCTGAACTAAACCCCGAATAGTACTGCATGTGGTGATATTTCTCTATCCTTACGAGATGTCGATAAGAGATTCTCTCATCGCGCGCCTCAAGAATGCTGGTGGAATTGCGCGTTTACTGACGGGCTGAATTTTTTCGTTTATTGTTACTGTAAATATAATTTCTTTGACAATTCCCTTGCAGTTAAAATTACCATTGAAATTTTTCTCAGTGTAAGGGTAACACTGAACATAAAAAATCTCACGGGACTTCTTCAAGTATACGATCTAGATCACGCTTGATTTTTTTCAGATTTTTCCTAGATCCTTCAAATTTACCATTATGTGCGGCGCAGCGCTTACGGCGAAACCAACGACGTTCGTAACTTGTACGCTACGGGTAGGGGACTATCGCGCCGCTGAACTAAACCCCGAATAGTACTGCATGTGGTGATATTTCTCTATTCTTACGAGATGTCGATAAGAGATTCTCTCATCGCGCGCCTCAAGAATGCTGATAGAACCGTGCGTTTACTGACGGCTTGAATTTTTTCGTGCGTGTACAGACCAATTCAGTAGCGAAGTGGTAAAATGGTTTAAGTCCACTTATCTCCTAGTTGAGTTTTTGAGGAATATTTCCGAATCCAAGGGAGATAGTGAAATTTTCATAATTACGTTTGTTGTAGCTCTCAATTGGCTCTACAAAAAAGGATGTAACAAAAATTTTGCTATCTCCCTTAGATTCTGAGATATTCATTAAAAACTAGTTAATAGTCAAAATTGACTTGAACCGTTCTACCACTTCGCTACGGAATTGTATTCTTACATAAATAAAGTTCTTGAAACAGCTGACCTTCAAACTCATCTCCATCTGATATTAAAAAAAAACTGAGTGTGAGGTCTTGGCCAACATAAAATGGCAACATTGTGAAGTATCTTTCCATTACCTCTTCCATGGAAAATTAATCTAAAAATGCGTTGAATCTCTTACCGTTACCTGAATAGCATTACCTTGCGAATGGATGCTGAACGCAGAGTTCTCGAGTTGGCCATGATCAGCCACTGTAGCGTATACGATGAAAAATAAATAAAAATCAAAGGAGGAATAAATGAAATAAACATATTATCTCTTTGATATGTCGTCACACGTTTCCCTCAATATTTGCTTTCTTTATTTTTCAGGCACTGTGTCGAGATGAATGCCTTCAGAACGAGTATTCACATAAAAGCAAGTATATTCTGCGCGAAAAATACAAACATTCGTGATGAAAAATTTTGAGAAATGTTGGAATCTTGTTCTTGCAGAAATCAAAACATCCACAAAGGCTGCCAATTTCAACGCTACATTGCATTGTAGAGATGTTGATCTCCTCGCGATAAAACATAATCCTGGGATTTATTTGATTGCGATGGAGGACATATCCAACTCGGGGAGGAGAGTTTCAGTGGTTAGAGAATTCAAATAGAATCTGTAGATAAGTGGTCATATCGTCAATTATCTCGGTAAAGACTTGTTATCGGAATGATCGAGAGCCTTTACACATTCCTCATTGCAATTAATCTTGAATGTCCCTAACAAACAAACACTAACGTTTCACCTATTCATTTTACTGACAATGAGAGCTTAAAGTAGCTCGACCGTTCGGCCGGGCTATACGCTACACTTTTGTATATTTTCAATTAAATTGAATGGGAAAATTTTGAAAACATTCATACCCAGTCAGAGTTATCTAAATAAAAATTCGCGACATATTGATATATTTTCAAACATTTCGTTCTTTCAAATAAATAATGAAACTTGTTTGCAAAGCGGTGGATCATTTTTTATGAGGTGTCAAATTTTTTTTTCATTTTTTCACATCTAATGAAAAATTGCAGGCGACTGTATCTTCGATACAGCTGTAATTGTACGTGGATAGGTCCATCGTCTTTCCTTCTTTCTCGAATTCCCTAGAAACTCCTTGCATTCCCTCAAATTTTCTGGAAACTCCTAGAATTCTCATGAACTTTCCAGAAACTTCTTGAATTCCCTGAAATTTTCTAGAAACTCCTTGAATTTTTTCGAAATTTCAAGAAACTTCTCGAATTACCTCAAAATGTCTAGAATTTTCTAGAATTCCAATAGATGGCGGTGCACATAAGGACCGTTTCAAAAAATGACCCCCCATATTAAAACCATAGACGTATCCGCGTCAAAAAATTCAGATTTTAATCTTTGATTACAATGGAAATATTGATTTTTACATAAGACACCGGGTTAAATCCTGATTTTCAAACATTTCTTCTTTAAAAGACCAAAACGATAATTAAATTGAAAAAAATCAGGATTTCGCATTTATTCGAGTTTTCTAGAAGTTTTTTTGCCGTTTTCAAGAATCTTTGAATTTACCGGAAGGGTAGAGCTACTTTAACATGGGGAAAAATAATTCATCTGGTCTAAATAATTCATTTACTTTAGGAATTTTGAGAAATATGTTGTTGGAAAACTGTTATAATTTTTTAGACACTTCAATTGACAAAGTGAAATTTTTTTGCAAGTTTCCGGTTAGCCAGTTAATTATAATTAAAGAAAAACGACGCGTGGCGGGGTTTCCCTCATAGAGTGACTAATCTAGGCTTAAGGATGTTCTACACCCTTTCTGCCAAAATTCACGTTTTTTTAATTTTTCTGGCAAACTTATGATGGAATTGACGTGAAAAAATATAACGTTTTTGCGTTTTGTCATTATTTAATGACTGACGAAATTTTAAGGTGGTGCGAACATTTTCCTGCGTTTTCTCTAAACTTTTAAAAAGAATCACAAAACTGTAGAAAAAACGCATGAAAATTATCGCACCACTACGCAACTTCGTGAGCCATTAAAGAATGACAAACCACAAAATCGGTATATTTTTTCACGTCACTCCCATCGATAATTTGCCAGAAAAATGAAAACAACGTCAATTTAGGCTAAAAGGGTGTCGAACATCCTTAAGCGAGAAAATGTCCCGATGTTGTGAAGAAAATTTCCTCATTTTCCTCAGGACTTCACTATTTTCGTAAATTCAAAATCAATCATCAAAAAATCTTCCTCTATTTCCATTGACTCATTTTCTTTGACTACTTTGCTACTGAATTCATGCGTAAAAAATTTCCAACTCAGTATGCTACCCATTATTGAAAACAAAAATGTACAATTATCATAAAAAGATCATGAATCATCAGAACAATTACCATCGACGGAGGACTGTGAATTGAATTGCCTATTCTGTGGTCACATAAGTATGGAGAATACTATTTGCATAAGACAATGAATTCTTATACACACAAGATTCTCACCTGTCGGCTCAGGAATGATCGAACTAAAAATGTCGTTAATCAATTGAATAGCAAACGAGTCGAAGAAAAATGTAACGAATTGAAAAATTAAATCAACCTCTCTTTCTTCGGACGACATTAACAGGGCTCGACCGCAGTTATATATATTTAAAAATGTGGAGATTTTTTGAGACATCTCCACACTTTTGTGGGGGAACCAAAAAATATTATCCTTAAGGGGGAACAGAATGCGGCCAATTTTCCAAATTTTTCAACAAATTTCCTGCCCAAAGTTATCGATATTTTTACAAGTCGAAGCACATTAATCTCCGGGAGGTGATGGTGAAGGGCAATGTGCTTTAGGTTAAAAAAATACTAATAACTTTGAGCAGAAAATTTATTGGAAAATTTTGAGGAAATATTGGCCTTCGGTTACCCTTTAACTTGAAATGCAGCTTACTCTATCCAGCTAGGACTGAAATAGATAACAGATATTTCCTCTGTGGAAAAATAATGCAAATTATAATTCACACCCAAAAAAACAATACCCTATTTTCAGATTTCAAATATCTTAAAATAAGATTTTCAAAAGCTTTAATTTGAAGCCTGAAAGTCTTAAGTTGAGAGTTTCGAAGGGTTCAATTGAGACTTTCGTAGACTCAAGTTGTTACTTTTGAATGTTTCAAGTTAAAACTTTCGGAACTCAACTTGAAATTTTTTTTTTGGTTCTTCTAAAACTATCAACTTGCGACTTTTAAACGTTTTTCTCTAGACATTTGAAAATCTCAACTTAAGGGTTTAAAACTCACAACTTGAAGCTTTTGAAAGCCTCAAAATGAAATTTTTGAACGTCTCAACTTGAGACTTGTGAACGTTTCAATTTGAAATATTTGAAAATCTTATTTCAAGATTTTCAAAAGTCTCGATTTGAGATCATAAGTCTCAAAATAAAGCTGGTTATTGTTCAAATATGCAAAAATGCGAGCTGCTATATTCATTTACATTACACAGAGTGCAACAAATTCTTAAAATTATATTTATCGGAGGTGTTCGATCGATTGCACTGAGAAAAAAAGTTTTTCGAGAAGTACGTTTTTACTCATATCAAAAAACTCGTGGCGTGAAAATTTTCAATAGCAAAATATTTTGCACTAAGAAACAAAAAGCTTTTGTCAACAAATTTTACACTTGTCCTAAAGATAAGGACAATTTTTTGATAACCAGAAACCGATTTCTCAAACCAAGTAAAATTGAATTAATTCATTTACTAGTTTTTCAGCCTCAATTCTAAAATATTTTAATGCAAAAACCACTTGAATTGATTTGAGAACTCGTTCGTTTGATATGATCCAATTGCTCTCATCATTCAGACAAGTATAAAATTTTTGACGTAAGATTTTTTTTCTTAGTGTGAAATATTGTACGCTTGGTAATTTTCGAGCCATGAATTTCTTGATACAAGTAAAGACGTCCTTCTAAAAAACTCTAGTTTTCTCAGTGTAAGATCCAATTCAACTGCAACTGGATAAATTACGGGACATTTTTAACTACACGGAGAAAAAAATTTCAGAAAAATTACTGTGCCAGCACGGTAAAATGGGTTCGTTTGGACGGAAAAATTCCTGTAGCGCACGGCAGAAATTTCGCTGCTGGCACGGGAATTTTTCCGGGTCCGTCCAAATGAACCCATTTCATTGTGCTACCACAGTAATTTTCCTAGAATTTTTTTTTTCCGTGTAATAATCATATTTCTTGTTCAATTATAAACCACGCGAGGATGTGTCAAAAAATCCCCGTTTTTCTCAATAGATATAGAGGAGGTTGGGGTAAAACGGACACTTTTGACTTTTTTAAAAATGTTAATGAGGGGTTAAAATGTTGCTAAAATTTAATAATTTTCTTTTCAATGCAAAGAACAATTCTTTCCCTTTGTGACGAGCCTAAACTGAGCTCAATTGATCAATTTGTTTCGGAGTTATGAATAATTTTAAAAAAGTCTAAAGTGTCCGTTTTACCCCACCCTCCCCTAGCTATGCTCGAAGCGTGTTAACAATCCTATTTACTAAAGATGAAAGAAACGTGAAGTTGTTTTATATCGAAATATCTTGAAACTGCCTGACCGCTAATCCTTAATTCTGATTGGTCAATATGTGACACGAAGTTATTCCCAAAAAAAACACGCGGCATTTTCAAATTCTTCAGTGGTAAATTTTTTGTTCATGTCATATATATATATATATTTCACATATATATATCATCAGTGGGATTAATAAATTCTGTCCTTTTATGAAGACCGATTATTTGAAAAAATTAAAGATAATTAATTGAAAATGAAAAATTGTTTATAGATTCTTTTACTCTCCTTCGCTATTCACTTCAATCATTAGTCGAATTCTCTTTGATTCATTATCAATATTTATAAGGTATTCATGAGAAAATGAAATTCAATGAATTCCATTTCTTCATTTCAACAAATGAATAGATCAGCGCGCGCGAGAGCGCGCGCATAGATCTTGTGAAAAAAATAAAAGCGTCTCTTCTATTAAAAAAAAAATAAATAAGATTGTTTTAATTAGCTCGAAGGAAGTCTCTCGATTTTCCAAAATCTCTTGCCTGCAACACCCTATCGCCTTATTGTCCATCATTTTGACGAAAATGTCATCTCCGAACCAGAAATCACCGAGTGGTTCACGACAACTGCATGTAAGCATCGTAATAATCACTTTCGCCTCATTATCTCAAGTTTACCCAGAATTATTCATTTTTCAGTGGGAATTATACCGGCGCGGCTGGCTAGGGTTTACGTGGAGAATATTTTACAGGATGACGTGAACGATGACCATTTGATGGCTGAAATTGCGTTCGCGCCCGGCGAAGGTAACAGTTTTGAATAAATTTTCAATACCGAGTGGCGATTGATTTTTTTTCGCTTTTCTTTTTCCAACAGATCGCAGTTGTTTTTATGACGTTTTGTCATTTCACGCAGACGAGGGATTGTCGATTGGGAGCTTGAATGCGGTATTTAATGCAATTATTTTCAGTTATGAATCTATCATTGATATGTATCCATTTACCGTGAGAGGGATCAATAAATATTGATCAATGTTACTTTCTAAAGACTAATTAACAAGCCTAGAGCTGTCCCTGAAATTTCATTGCAGTTCTATTGGCTTTTTTTTTTTGACAATCTGTTTGGTTTTGACCTCAATTTATATTGAAAATTATCCAACTTTGGGTTTCAAATATGCCAAAGATCTCCAGGAAAAAATCAAATAGAGATTGATTATTTTTATGTAACTCTAAAAGCTAATGTCGTTTTTTCTTTAATAAAAAATTGCACTATTCATGTAAAATAGCCTGAAAAATCTCTCTGAAAGAATCGGGAATATATTTTAAACACGGAAAAAAAATTGAATCAAGTATATTTTATACTCAATTGGGGAATGAGTTTTTCAATTCGAAGATGATTGTTTTGTATCAAACGGGAGGGTAGCAAGCCCTCTTAATTGTAATATAAGAGTCAGGCACTAAGTGCCAGAATATAAGGGTTAAAAAGTGGAGGTTGAAAAGTGAGGGGCAGAATATTAGGGTCAGAATATAAAAATAAAAAAAGTGAATGTTAGACAATGAAGTGCTAATTATAAGTCATATATTATGCTTGATCACCGCTTTTAGCCCTTATATGATCCTCATTGCCTGACACCCACTTTTTTTACTTTTGAATATTCTGACCCTAATTTTGTGATCCTAATATTCTGACCCTCTTTTTTTAACGCTAACCTTCTGACCCTTATTTCTTCTTCTTTACATTCAGACCCTCAGTTTTCGAATCTAATGCTCCGACCCTCATTTTTTTGGATATCCGGTTAATTCATCCCCGGATAATTCATCCCATGACAATTCATCCCAAACAATTTCATCCCAAAATTCATCCCACCACACTTTCATCCCATTTTTTTTCTCTTATTACTGTTTGGATGAAGAATACGCGTGGCTGAAGCGCGTGACTTACCGGATTAATTTTCAAATTTTGTACGAATTTTGTAAACCGATGCTGTGGTCTATTACTTGTAGCCTATCTGGCGAATGTTAGTTGAGATGAATAAGAATGATTTGACCGTTTTTTTGCAATGTTTCCTGTTAATCCGTTGATCGGTTGTGTAAACAGTACTAGGAGGGAATCGCGAAGTATCTGATTGATTTTGATGTTGTGTTTAGTGTTTTTTACTGTGATAATAAAGTTAATATTTTTCCCTCCCTGAATTATTGTTGTGACCGTAAAAAATTCCATTGGAATTTGATGTTTGGGATGAAATTGTCATGTGATTGATTTGTTTTAGGATGAATTTGTTTGGGTTGAATTGCCCGAGATGAATTCACCTAGAACCCACTTTTTGACCCTTATATTTTACATTACACTTAGTGTCTGACCCTTATATTACACTTAATACGAAATAATCATTGAAATAATAACGAAATAATATAGGGTGAATCATCCAGTGTTTGAACGAATAAGGTCACAGTTATTTTTGACGTAGATTTAAAAATATAACCAAGTCGAAAATTGATTCAAAAATAATTATAACTCCCCTGTACATCTCCATAGGTAATAGAAAAAAATATTATGGATATTAATTGACGATACAATTAATGATATGAATACAAAAAGTTGAAAATGTGTGAAAACTCAGTAATCGGAATGCGTATTCTGTAATGGGAATATGCTATTGGCGGCGTGTCATCGAAAACTGTTTTTTCCGCTGGTAATAAGATAACTTAGACATTTTCAATCATCACAATATCATTTGGAAATGTCATAATTTTATTTTTCATGTATAATGCGAGGCATCTCTACCTTCTACTAATTTATTTTATAGAAAAAGTACCAATTAGTTCGATTACTGGTCTGGTTCGAACACTGGTTGGTTCACCCTATTACGCTGATACGAACTAATTATCCTCGAAGTGAAACACTCATCCCCCATTCGAGTATAAAATAAACTTGAATCAAGTATATTTTATTATATTCAATTCAATATAGTGTTTTTTCCGTGCAATAGTCTCTCAATAATTAACATATTTCTTCATTATTAGCATACAATTATTCTCATCGAAAATAATTTTCAGACCCGAGAATTCAACTTCAAACTCCGCAACTTGGAGTACCACCAGAATAACACAGTAATAATCTCTGCAAAAAATAATGGGAGCTCGAAAAGTAGTCGCAACATATCACTGACATTCGACACCCCGACGTGCTTAGAAGTCCACGCGAATTTGTCGAGATGTCGTGAGTTCATTAAAAATTTTTGCATGAACATAACAACAATTTCGTTAATGAGATGATTTTTAAAATTGTCCTTTGGGCTTTCCTACTGAATTTTCAGCTCCCGATCAAATCACTGGACTTCAAGTAACCGACGAACGCGCATCCAACTCTAATTTCGATTTTTCAATCTCCTGGGATAAACCTAAATTTCTACCTCATAATTACACAGTTCAAATAGCGACTATTGATCAGTCTAAAGTACCATACGTCATTACAGTGCCAGGGGTGAGTGACTTATCTCCAAGTTTTCCTTCACGGGATTCAAATTATGAATATGAAATTATGAAAACCTGTTTCATAATTAAAATTTCTCCGATGCACTAGGAAAGAACATTCCATTACAATTCTATTGGAATTTTATTCATTTTTTGCGTCAATCGCCTTTGGAAATTACACAACTTTTCCCTGCGATTTTTACACGGAGAGAAATATTCAGTAGAAATTACGGAACTTCAATTCACTCACCGATTACGGAATGGACTCACAAAATTTAAGTGACGGTATCGTAATTTTTCACTGGAGATTCAGATAAAAATTACGGAACGTTCTGAAAAAAATTCCGTGACAGATCCGTAAAATTTCCTACAACCACATTTCGCTCTAGAATTCCGGAAAAGATACGTAATTTTTATTGAATATTTCTCTCCGTGTAGAAGATATTTTATAGAAAAAAGTCAATAGGTTTTATCTCCTCTCTGAGAATTATTCTCTTGAGATTTTTTTATTAAAATTCTTGTGCATAAATTTTCCAAGTTTTTCCGCTGATTTTTTTTTGTTTTTTATTACGAAATTTCCAACAGAAGAAATCGTATTGAAAATCAACACCTACTGATCTTTTTTTTTTATATCAGTTATCTTTTGAAGAACGCACAGCAAAGTTGCATAATTTCCCATGCAAATCAGTCTGAAAGAACAAATCGAATTCAATGTTTTCTTCGAACGGAGAAAGCAGCTGCCTCACAAACAAAAGAGAATTGAATGCCATTCTATAAAACATAAATAAACGAATCATAATTGTTCAAATCATTTAGTTCGGAGGAAAACAGAATAATTTTACTTTCTTAATATTGCGTTCACTAAGGTTTTCTTCGAACAAAGTTTGTTCGTTAGAAATCCAATAGAATTTTCTAACTAATTCGCTACATTTTTCCCTTAAATTTGTTCGTGCGTGATCAACGGGTGGCGTTAATTGAATAAAAAATACGTATCTAATATTTTTCATTCAATTTTTATTTCCAGAAATCAAAACCCCCAATTCGCTGCACGGAGAGAAATATTCAATAAAAATGACGTATCTTTTCCGTAATTTCGGAGCAAAATGTGGTTGTAGCAAATTTTACGGAACTGTCACTTAATTTTTACCTAAAATCACGAAATTTTTCCAGAGAATTCCGTAATTTTTACCTGATTCTCCTGTGAAAAATTACGATACCGTCACTTAATTTTTCTGAGTCGATTCCGTAATCGGGGAGCGCACTGTCAGTTCCGTAATTTTTACTGAACATTTCTCTCCATGTGTCCAAATTATATTTTCTTACAGATAATCATTTATTTCTCCAACATTTGTAGAATTCAACTGGAGTTTCTTACTCATTAGAAAACGTCGGGCTACCTCACATGATCACAATTGTAGCAGAATCACCCGGCGGAACGAGTATTCCAATGACAATTCCGTGTGTTCCAGAAACAGATACTTCCTCATCAGGTGAAAAACAAAAACATTGATTTCGTAATTTCGAAAAAAATTCAACAAATGAGAAATTTTCATTCTATCTTGAATCGTATCATTTCCAGCATTCCAAAAAGCGCTGATAATCTTCCCCGCCGTGACCCTGACCGCTGCACTGATAACAATGATTTACATCTACCACAGATACAAAAAAATGCAGAACTACGGGGATCCTTATCGATACTACAAAGTGAGCCTTGAATTCCTTTTTCCGCCTCGGTCGCCGGTAACTTTTGACGTTTATCACGACAGTTATGGGAGTATCGTTTCATCGAACATGGGAATGTCCGAAATATTGGGGTCAATAGTGGACCGCAGGACCCACGTAAAACTCGCACCTCCATTATTGTGTGCATTCGACTCTTACATACATTCTTTTTTACTTTCAATTTCCACGAAGTGTATCAAAAAACTCAACGAGACATTTTTAGGCATCTAGTCGTTTGATTTAATTAGTTAAAACGATCATCCTCATTTTGATGAATTTTTATGGAATAATTTAACTGAATTTTACAATTTCCATTGATTCTACAAAGAATTGTGAATTTTCAATGAAGAAATTCCTTAAAATTTCAGGGGAACTGCCGCTTAATAGAAATTTCCACGAAGTGGACCGAAAAATTCAGCGAAACATTTTTGAAGATTCAGTTATTTGATTTAATCAGACGAAAAAATCAGCCTTATTTCGATGAATTTTTACGGAATAATTCAACTCTATTTTATAGTTTCTACTGGCTCTTCACTAAATTGAGAATTTTCAATGAAGAAATTCGTTGAAATTTCGGTGGGACTGTTCCTGAATAAAAATTTCCACAAAGGGTACCGAAAAATTCAGTGAATATTTCTACAAATTTAGTCGTTTGATTTAATCGGACGGAACGATCATCCTCATTTCGATTAATTGTTACGGAATAATTCAACTCAATTTTACAGTTTCTGCTGACTCTTCCCCAAATTCGAAACAATTCGGAAAAATTCGTTGAAATTTCGATGGAACTGTTACTGAATAAAAATTTCCATAAAGTGTACCGAAAAATTCAGTGAAACATTTCTAAAAATTTAGTCGTTTGATTTAATCAGTTGAAACGATCGTGCTCATTTCGATGAATTTTTATGGAATAATTTAACTAAATTTTACAATTTCCATTGATTTTTCAATAAATTGTGGATTTTCAATGAAGAAATTCCTTGAAATTTCAGTGAAACTGCCACTCACCAAAAATTTCTATGAGGTGTACCAAAAACCTCAGCTGGACAGTTCTAAAAATTTAGTCGTTTCATTTAATCAGACGGAACGATCATTCCCATTTCGATGAATTTTTATGGAATAGTTTAACTGAATTTTACAATTTCCATTGATTCTTCACCAATTTGTAAATTTTCAATGAAGAAATTCCTTGAAATTTCAGTGAAACTGCGACTCACCAAAAATTTCCATGAAGTGTACCAAAAACCTCAACTGGACATTTCTAAAAATTTAGTCGTTTGATTTAACCCTCGTCTGGTCATCTGATGGGAAAATGCGACTTAGTCACCTTCGCGGGAGAGTGCCGCCGTGTTATTTAGGCTCCAGCGTTGCCGAATCCACTCTACACTTCCCGAGCGCGTTTAGCGAGTTCCCAGCAACGTCGTGTAACAGGCAATTTCATTTAACACGGGAAAAAATTGTTCACCTGTTGGAAATAATTTTTTTTCTCCCAGAATTAAGGATACAATATTGAAAAAAAAATACTAGAATTTTCCAGATACTTCAATTGACGAATTCAATTTTTCTCAAATTTTTCCGGTCACCCAGTCGATGGCGAGGTGAATAAAACGACGTGTTGCGGCAATTCCCTCGCACGGTGACCAGTCTAGGGTTAATAACACGAAAAGAATCAATTACTATCATTAACCCATCACGTACGGGCTCCATACGATCTATGGAGGTACGAACTTGTCCTATCGGCCGGGGCCCATACATCGTATGGACCCTTTCCGTCAACAGTAAAATAGTATATTTCAATATTTTTCATCACAATGTGGCGGAAATTGGACTTTTAGGCACGCGGAGCGTGCCGAAAAGTTCACTTTTCGTCATAGCGTGATAAAAAATTATTTTCTCGAATTCTAAGACACATATTGACATTTGGAAAAAAAAATTTGGAAAGTCAATAAAATGGTTTGTGCAGTGAGTTCATTGATTTTTTTTTCTCAATGCATTTTTTATATATTTTTTTTTATATCAACAAAAGTCCTGGATGAAAATACTATTTTACTCCGATTTAATCATATTCAATCATCTCGTTTGTCGAGAAAATTTTACAGAAAATTTTTGGAATTTTTACTGAAAATACTTTGATGACCTTCCTATCGAACGGCACAAGTTAAATTTCAATTCATTGAATAATGTATTTGTTATAAATAAATTCAGCGAATTTGGAGATCTCAGCGAAAAATTGTCCTGGAGGATAAATCGGTGTGACTTGAATGCGGAAAAAACAGAATTCTCAGGGCGTTTATTTCAAATTTCAATTCATCCAATGCATTTTATTTCAAGTTTTCTCGATCACCTGTTTTCGAGTTATTGCTGATTAAACAATGGAATTGGCGCGTCGTCGTAAGCCTCCCGGCCGTTGGGACAAGACGCGTTCTAGGGACCCCGTACATGAGGGGTTAACAAATATGGAATACTTATGCCCAAAGTGCAGGTATTATCCCATGATTTCAGGGGAATTTCCACGGAAGAACGATCTTTAATCTTCTGTACGAGAAACCAAAACTTCTGGAAGTGGAAAATAAGATCGAGGACGATCCATTGATAGCCAAAGATCACCTTGAATTGGGAGCAATGCAGCTTAAGATAAAAGACATCTTAGGGAGTGGATTTTCCGGTGTCGTTCGATTAGGTGCATTGAAGATTGATGAGAACAAAACGATCAACGTTGCGGTGAAAATGTTGAGGGGTAATTCAAATAAATCATATCCATTTGCCTCGAAGAGGAGATTTATTGGATGAACAAGAAATTGATTTGTGAAATGATTGAATAGATTGCCCAAGCCCGGAGGATATAAAAAATTTTCAACACGAGATGATGGTGATGAAGTCTGCTGGAAAGCATCCAAATATTGTTTCTCTGATTGGCTGCTGTACGTCGGAAATTAAACCGATGCTAGTCGTTGAATATTGTAGCAAAGGAGACCTTCAAACTTATCTAAGAAACGTGAGTGAACTGACACAAGCAGATGCTGAAATACATCTGATCAGTTTTATCGACAATTCATTATCAATTGCACAAGTTGGGCTTGATCATTCATGTAAACAAAGAGTCTCACGTATGAAAAAATTCAATACAAAACCTAGATAGAAAACCTAAATAGAAAATTTTATTGGAATTCTATAGGAATTCTATTGAAAAATTCTATTTGTTTTTTGCGCTGATTCTATTGGATATTCGATAAGAAAAAGTCAATAGATTTCGAATTTCTGTTTTAATTTTTCTCTTGAGATTTTTTCTATAAGAATGCTTGGGTGTCAATTGTCTTTCAATTTTTTTCCACTCGGATTCTGCAATGCAAAACAAAACAAAATCCAATGGAAAAAACTTGTGCCCAATAATTCTAATAGAAAAACACTAAGGGAACAATTCAAACAGAAATTCGAAATCTAGTGACTTCTTATTAAATATCCAATAGAATCAGCCCAAAAAAAATAGGATTTTCCAATAGAAATCCTATAGAAACCCCATAGAATTCCTATAGAATTCCAATTAAATTTTCTAGCAAATTCGCTAGGTTTTCTATTGAATTTTTTCATGCATGCTTTCAGAACTCAATTACTTAACAACTAGCTATGTATTACCCTCGGTGTTATCCCCTTCATTAAGGAATTTTTGCTTCGAATGGAAGCTTTGTAATCGGTCAATTTTTTTATCCTCTAATTTTGCTTGGAAACAGGGTTGCCAGATTTTGGCGATTTATAGCCAAAACCTGTACAATTTTAAATGGGGTGACGTCACGATCTGGTAACACTGCTTGGAGATGACTTAGAATGCCATGAAACATCGAGATATTATGTTATTACAGAATGCCTGTGTGGAAAGGCTCGACCCCCTGCTTGTTTTGGTTTCCTAATGAAAAATTATTTTTTTCGTGGTCAACAAAAATTCTACGGATTGAAAGAGAAGAAATGATTTTAAGAATAAAGTGCGTAGAATTTTGAAAAAACCCGGGATTATTTTCAATCTCTAAAAAACCCGAGTTTTTTTTAATTGTTTATTTTTCTATTTAGATAGCCCGATGAAGATCTCGAATTTTCCAGAAAATCCGTGTATTTTCTGGAATTTTTCCGAAGACTTTTATCTAAGAAGTACTTGAAGTTGTTACAAGGATTTTTAGATTTCCAAACCGTGACAAAACGAATAGAGATTCAACAGTTCGAAAAATGATCTATTGTACAGGAATTATGTTTCCAATTGGATTACGAAAAGGAAATTATTCTTAATGAAGAATATACTATCTTGAATTAAGAATTGATATTCTCAGTTCAATAATATTTCCCTGGAATTCCTGATTCATTTATCCTTAAATCGAGAGTATGAAAATTCTTTCAATTCATTGTACTCAAATTTTTTTCATCTATTATATCCAAATAATACCAATTCTTTCGCAGATATGGAAAACAATAATGGAGGATTCTTCGCGTCGCGAAGCCAAGTGCAAGTTGATAAACGAAAGAAACAGCAGAAACCCAGAATTTTTCGGCCCAGAATATGGTAAACACGAGATATTACTGAGTCAGTTTCATTTGAATGTAATTAAAGTCAGTGTTCGTAACTTTTTCAGCAAACAATCAAGAAACAGCAGTGTCTAATACGCTTTACGACATGCAGCAAGGTAACACTCGTAAATATCCCCAATGATTACTTAAGGAACGACCATTTCGAAATTTTCACCAAGTATACTTACTGCGGAAGCACCTTAAAATGAACTTGACAATAACACTGTATTTACAGATATGCTGAACACCACCGAGGACATCACTGGCGCTGATTTGCTCAGTTTTGCACTGCAAATCGCTAACGGAATGGTAAATATATACTTAAGAGGAGAAATATATACTATGAGTTTTTAAAGTCACGGGCGATTGGAGTGAGATTTCTCATACATTGAAGATTGATTATGTCTAAAAACGAATAATTAGTGCAAAAAAATTGATTGTTTATTGGGCGTTTGCCCCGCGCACGTTTAATATGTTAAAAATAGTGCAGGGCCTCCAATTGTTGACCTACAGACGTTTTTTTCAAAATTTTTGGAAAAATGTGTGCAATAATAATTCCGAATTGGTTTTTTGAAATTCGACTCCTACGCAGCTAATTTTGTTTTGTTTAGGGCTCGGGTGGATTATCTTTCGGACGTTATCTTGATTGTTTTTCCATCTCCATAATGTAAAATATATTACAATTTTCATTGAATTTTACATCACGTAGGAGTCCCTAAAAATTATGATTGCACGGCGAGAAATGTTCAGTAAAAATTACGGAACTCACAATTCACTCACCGATTACGGAATCGACTCAAAAAATTTGAGTGACGGTATCGTAATTTTTCACAGGAGATTGACATAAAAATTACGAAACGCTCCGGAAAAATTCCGTGACAGTTTCGTAAAATTTTCTACAACCACATTTCGCTCCGGAATTACGGAAAAGATACGTAATTTTTATTGAATATTTCTCTCCGTGTGTACAATCAACAAAAGTAGGAAAAGACGTTGAACATTTTCAAATAGTGTTTTTAATAAAGATTTAGAAATAAGTCCGACAGAGAGCTTAAAACTCATAGTAGTCTCCAGGGATCTCCATCAATATTAAATTTCCATAATATTACAAGAATTTGAGCCTTACATTAATGAAGGTTTGAAATATGTTGATCTAATTTTTCAAATACTGTAATATTAATAATTAGATTTTTTTCGAATAATGATGAATTAAAACTTGGCAATATGGAACTGTAAATTCACCACTAAGTAAATAATTCAAATTTCTTAAAAGGGGATTTTCGATTACACAAATAATCGACAATCTTCCTACCTCAATTATTGAGTGATAAAATAGTTAAAAATTTGAATATTTGAATATTTGAATTGATGATACTTAAGTACTCGAAAATTGTAAGAGTAATGTTAACTAATTGATGGCTACAATATTTAACGGTAATTAGATATTATGAATTTGGCTATCCCTGCTAGTCTCCCCTTAACAAACGATATAACACCTTCAGAGACTGTAAATAATGATTAATTTGTTATACAGAAATTTTTATCGCTGAATCGAATAGTGCATCGGGATTTGGCTGCCAGGAATGTATTAGTTTGTAGTGACAGAACAGTGAAGATATCCGATTTCGGACTCAGTCGGGATATTTATCAGGATAGTGTTTACAAGAAACAGGGAGATGGAAAACTGCCACTCAAGTGGATGGCGGTGGAGGCATTAACGCATCAGATATATACGAGTCAGAGTGATGTGTAAGTGAAATTCCAGAACACGTACGAAAAACTTCAATAAAAAAAAACTCTGCGTTTTTACTATAGGAAATTCTGTTGAAAATCTATGAAAATTCCATTGCAATTCCATTGAAATTCTAAATACCTTCGACAATTTTCATTTGTGATACGAAATACTCGATAGAAAAAATAAATAGGGTAAACTGCCCAGTAGATGGACGCCTAAGAAAACCGCCCAGTAGATGGACCTTTGTTTTTTTTGGCAATTGAAAAAAAAATTGATCAAAAAAAAATCGCCATTCAGGGATTAAGAATCACAACAGTTAGTGAAAATTTAAAGCAACAATTCGCATTTCAACTTTTTTTTGTGTAATTTTCTATCCAAAAGTAACTCGTTCATCTATAGGGCAGTGTCCATCTACTGGGTGGCTTACCCTAGATCTTGTTTTTGCTTCTGAATGGAAGCTGTGTAAATGCATTTTTTTTCAATTCTCTAATTTTGCTTGGGAATGACTCAGGCTGTCACGAAACGTGGAGAAATTATATTTTTAGCGAGTGCCTGTATGAATGTGTGCATGTGTGTTAAGGATGCAAAATGACGGTAATTTTTTACATGCCTCCAGCATCATGTTGACATTTTCTCTGTAAGAATTCTTGGGCATGTTTCATATAAGTTTTGTTCCGAAGATTTTATCATGAGGAATAAAAAAAAATATAGCAGAAAAATACAAATCTATTGCTTTTTTTCTATTAAGTGGCTCTTAACAAAATGACAGGGTGAAATTACACAATCTGTTAGATAATTCATGCAAAAAATTTCATGACGGTTGGGCGAAATTTCCTATTGTGAAAATAGAAATGCAAGACGAGTTTTATGATTGATTTTTTATTTCTTCAGATGGTCCTTCGGGATTTTACTGTGGGAAATTGTGACTCTGGGGTGCAACCCTTATCCCGACACACCTACACATATGATCCTGCAGGTTCTGAAGACTGGGTACAGGATGGAGAGACCCAGTAATTGTGGAAAAGAATTGTAAGTTGATTAATTTAATAATTCAATAGCGAAGCGAATACACGAGATGAGTAAACTTGAGGGTGAAATTTTATTGGATAGCTTTGAATTAATTGGAAAACCTCCCGCATTCGTTAGCAAATTCTATCAGATTTTTCTTGGAACTTATAGTTTTTAATAGAGAATATTTGATTCTAAAAAATACAATAGATTATTATTCTCCGTTCCACTGTATTCTGTTGGAATTTTTTTTACAAGAATTTTTGAGCATTAATTATCTGAATTTTTTCCGTTTTCACGGATGAAAAAATTTAATAGAAAATCCTAGCGAATTCGCTAGACAATTCTATTGAATTTCTATTGAACTTTCTATTATTTTTTGGCCGATTCTACTGAAATTTTCAATAGAAAAGTCTATCGAAAACGTCAGAAGAATTTGATTTTTCTATATAACTTATTCTATTAAGATATTTCCTATAGAATGTCCTCGGTTCAAATTTTCTCCGTTTTTTTGGCTGATGTTTTTGATGAGAAGAAAAGAAAAATAGAATGAAAAAAACTTGGAAAATTTGAGCAGAGAAAATTCTATAGAAAATATCTAAAGAGAATAAGTTATACAGAAAAATGGAATTCTATTGAATATTTCAATACAATCGGCCAAAACCCAATAGAAAGTTTGATAAAATTTCCTAATGAATTCTCTAGGTTTTTTTATTAATTTTTTTTTTCGTTCATGTTATTTGTACTGAAAAAAAAGCGGAAAAATACGGGAAAAATTTATGCCCCAGATTTTTATACAAGAAAAAAATTAAGAAATGGAACAGAAAGTCTATGAAATTATCAATAGAAATCGTATAAAACTTATTAAAACTTATTAAATTTAGCAAAGACGATCTATCTCATTTTCTCTCCGATATTGATAATTGTGCAGAAATTGCATGAATATGTAAAAACTCTCAGAACTGATCGTAACTAACATTATTACTATATTATAAGTAAATACTTTATACCTGATACTCGCCATATTCTTATACTTTTAGCATCTAAAATGATATGAATTGTATTTATTTTAATGGAAGTAATTTTCGTTGATTTTAGTTTAATAAAAGTAATTTTAATTGAAATAAATAAATAAAACGAAGAAAAATTCAATGCAATTTCCCAGCGGAACCGTACAGTTTCTCTCCCAAATTTTCTCAAACATGGAAGATCGGAGAGAACGTGAATCTAGAGCAATCGAACTCATCCTCATTCCCAAAAGTTTGAAGATAAAGACATTCACAGGAGATTCAGCCATTTCAAATCTACAGGGTGACAATTAGGAAGTTGCCTAAACTAATCGTTTATAACTTTGAAATGAGTGCTAGGAAAAAAAAAGAAAAATACATATGAATTGAGTAAAGATGTCATTTTTATTAGGAATTAGTTTCAGTTGAATCAGACACTTCTAATAGATACTTATTGAGATTTGAAAAAAATTGACAAATTGAGCCAGGAGATAACTATTAATGGTAAATATTTTCCAAATGATCTCCAATCGAATTTGCCCAATAATCAAGCCGTTTTCGGAAACTATGAAAAACTTGTTCAATCTGAGATGGAGAAATACCAGAAATTCCGTCTCTGATGGCTTTTTTCAAATCATCTTTGGTCTCAGGTTTTTCCCCATAAACATTATCTTTCAGGAGGCCCCATAAGAAGAAGTCACACGGGTTCAAATCGGGTGAATAAGGGGGCCATTCCATACCTCCATGCGCAAACTTGGGGTATCCTAATCCGATGACGCGATCACATACACTTCATAAATAGCTTCAAATACGTCCGTAGTTCTATGCGGTGTAGCACCATCTTGCAGAAAATGATAGTTCTTAACCAATCCTCTTCTTTTAGCCAAAGGGAAAAATTTAGTGTGTAGCATTTCTCGATAACTATTGCCTGTAATGGTCCCTTCTATGAATTCTAAGTGTATTGTTTTGATTGAAATAGCTGCCCAAACAGTCACTTTAACAGGGTGTAAAGACTTTGCCTCAGATGAGTGTGGATTTTCGCGACCCCAAAAACGGTAATTTTGTGTTTACATATCCATTTAAATAAAAGTGAGCTTCGTCTGTGAAGATTATGTGATTGATGTCGATCTCATCATTTTCAAATTTCTGTGTCATAATTTTACAAAACTCAATTCTTTTGTTTTTGGAATCTTCTGTGAGCAAATGATGGGTCGTAATTTTGTAAGGGTGTAACTTGAAGAAATTCTTCAATATTAATCTCAGTGTCTCTCGGTTCAGTTTCAAAGTTGCCGCTGCTTTTCGTATCGAATCCGTTGGATTATTCTTGAAATGTTCTTCGATCTTGGCAATCGTATCTTCTGTTCTAACTGAGTGTGGTGGACCAGGAAGATCGTGACGGCGGTCCTCAATTGTATAATACTTCATGAACTTATCAATTACTCTGGGAGAGAAAGTAGTAAATACTTGAAAGTTTTAGTCAAACGTGAGGTTATACGATGAAGTCAGATGAATTTTTTTTTTACTCTCATCTTCTGAGGGTGTTTTGACTGGCTACTTTTTTACTTCCATATTTGGTACGAAAGCCTCTATATGCTTCAGTATAGTTTTTGCCTCTAGTATAAAAACACTCGATAAGATACACTTTTTCTTCATTTGTAAGGTTACTCATTTTGAAGTATACGTAGTGCTTCTTGTAACGTCTCAATAGAAACTGACAACACTCTAGTATGTATCTAATGGGTCTAACCTTCCGGGTCTCACTAGTAAGGGAAGACATGTGGGTATACTTTAGGCAACTTCCCATTTGTCACCGGAGTCTCTGATGTCACCCTGTAAATTCATAAACCGCTAATGATCGAATAATGACCCTCAAACCCCTAAAAACTGCATCCAAAACTCACATTATCGTTTAATTTATTCCCAAAGGTATGATATAATGCTTTCCTGCTGGCGCACGAGACCCCGGAGTAGACCGACATTCACGGACTTGAAACGTAATCTCGAAAAATTATTACAGACTGTTGGCCACCACGAGTATTTAAATTTATACGATATTCACAATGATTCACGCAACACAGACACCTCCGAATAAATAAATCCATCGAGTCACCCGAATTTATCATTAAAATCGCGTCATAATCATGTGCAAAATCTCTTATTTTTTTATTATATATATTCCATCCGTACATAAGAATCTGTGGTACAATTTATCTCAATATCCATATATGTACATAATCTTACTTCTTGAATCTCAAAAACTCATAGTAATAACATGGAAATAAACTATAAAGCTTGTCCTTTGCGTAGCTTATCAGTAGATTTAAATGATTAATTAATATTACAAAATGTTACAGTATGTTGATTTACACGTTTTATGGAACAATTCGCACCGGCGTTAGCATTACCTCTTCGAATACCAAAAATCCATCGATAAATGAGTAGATTTCTGTGTCCAACGAGTGTGAATATTTCATTATTCATCGAGTAGCAATTGATTTTTCATTTCCAATTGAATTATTCATGCTCTTGACACAGTTAAACATCATTATTCTCAACGATTCCTATTGTACAGTCGCAAATCGTTGATCAATAACATCATGATGTTTTATTTTCATTTTCATTTTTGAAATGATGATATGAACCAGAAGACTGATATCAATCTCTAAATAATAGTAACTGCATACCAACAGAATATCCCACATTTTTACAGATTAAACTCATCCATGTTCATTGCCTACTGAGTTTTATAGGATCTTTTTTACTTTCTGTTGTTAGAATTTATTCTACAGTTGTGAACGTGACTCGGGCAGTAGGCCTTGCTCACTTATGATCTTCCTAAGATCAATGTTACATCAATATATATTTTTATGATTAAAATCCTTCTGCGAGGTATTTACAGACTCGGGGATAATTCACTTTTGGACTTTAGGCGTTTTTTCTTTGCGTATCTGTAACGAATCACGGACAAAAGAATGCAGTAGACATTTTTTAAGTAAAATTTTCCAAGTTTTTTTCTGGAATTTTCCAATGAGAAGAAAAGAATGCAGATAAAAAAATTATAAGTCATTTTGAGGAGAAAATATATCAATAAAATAAGTCGTACAGAAAGATCAAGATCTATTGATCTATTCCACGAAATAGTAAACATTTCTATTGGATTTTTTGTACGTGATGGTTTTTTTAAAAGCAGGAAAGATGATTTTCAATTTACACCGAGAATTTTTGTTCAATGGAAATTTAAAATTTAGCAAAAGGAATACCAAATAGATCTCAAATCCTCGAGAAATACCAATTGTTGAATGTTGTTTTTGATTTAGTAAAATACTTAGGATAACTTTAGAGAGATAATTTTATCTGATGTACATTATTTATGATAATTTGTTCGTTCTGAATAAAAATGTTCTCTCAGAATATTCTGTGCATTTTATTACATGATAATTGTCTACTTTGGTGCTATCACGAAGCCTCCTAAGTACAAATATGATTAAAAAGTGAACTTGCATACGATAAAAACAGAAAATTCCTCCATTCAGTTCACGTACAGACGTCTAAAAAAATCTAGCAAACTCTTTTTTATGATAAAAAAGCATATTTTCAGTTGATACTTTCATGGGAATCTTAGTCGACACCTACACTTGATACTGGATTAATGGATATAACGATATAAAATAACTAGGAAAACTGAATGCCTCTCTCATAGTTTCATCTTTCATTTTTATAATACGTGTAAACTTTACATTGAGTCAAAGCTGAAATATTTCATGGAGTCACAGTTAATCACAGATAAATCCGTTCCTATAGTTGCGAGAAACGATCGGATACTGACCTTGAGAGTCGTTGGCTCGATTGCTTCAATAATTATTAATTAGTTGGTTCTACCACTAATCAACACGGAACTATTCATCATTCCATTTTATTACAGGATAACTGAGCACAACTCATTTCTTCAGGCGGACAATTCATCACATTTAAAATGCTTCTTTACAATGAAAGTGAAGAAAAAATAGTATATTTCGATACGAGTGGATGAACGTATTATTGGCTCCGTGGGAGGTGTGTATTTTTCATCATAATGTGTAGAGAGAAATTTCACTTTACGCATAAGTGATAAAAAAAGCTCTTTAAAAAAATTTGTAATATTTTTAAGAGTTTTTTTTCACACTTTAGCCAATTTCCTCCATTGATAATTGTACTGGTGATCAGCTGTCACTTTTGTCGGGAATTGAGAACAGAAAAATCGCTCTTACTTCCTTTTTTACGCCCCCAATAAAAATGACAGTTGATGGACAGTACAATTTTCAATTGAGGAGATTGATTTATAGTCGGACCAAAATGGCCTTTCCCTTTGGAAAAAATGATTTTCCTTTGTTTTCATTGACAAATCAACAATTTGACAATAGAAACCATGGAAACTCGTTATCTGAAACTAAGTTCATGCGAGAAAGGAAGTTTTAGTTGGACTATAAGTGATTCGTAGTTCATCGTAAAAGTGTAATACAAAAATTCGTAAAAATATTATAATATTTTTCAAAGAACTTCTTTTTGTAGAATTGTCTAGTTGCACTGTGCTATCTCCTCTATTGAACTCATTCCGCAATAAGAATTAAAAACGCTCTTTCACAATGCTCAGATTTTTTTTTACTTTTTTCAATCCAAATTCATAATTTTCGGGGCATCGAGTTGAAATTTCGAGATAAAAATCGAACATAGAAAGCAATCTAGACAACGTCTGGCAAATAATGCAGCCGGGCCTTCATTATGAAGAATTTTCCATGTGATGAATTGTCCGAGTGACGGAATGTCTGACTGATTAGTTGTCCATGTGATAATTTTCAGTGATGAATTGGCCAGTAACATCACAGTACTGTGTTAGATAGAGGTGTTACCAATTATTTTGAGGGCTAGGCGTATCATACATGATCATTTCTGTGGTTCAGCCTGTCTTCTCTGTCTACTGGTGGAGGTGCACTAGGTATTTGAGCACTTGGGCCTGCTGTTAAATATCCAGCCGATACTGGTATACCTGCTGGAATACAATACAACTCCGTTAAAAATGGTTAAGAATTTTCATTTCCATAACTGATACCATATTTGATAGTTTATATTTTTTTCACACACCTGCACGGAAAGTTCGTACTTTCCTCCCGCTCATCAAAGAGCAAAATGCGAACTTTCCTTTGCAGGCGTGTTAAAAAATAGCATGTGCACCTCGGGCGGGAAAACATGACTTTCCGCCCTTGATGCACAATATACTATTAAAGTTTTATTTTGATAGTAAGCCATTTTTAGAGGACGTAGGCAGATATTTTTTTTGCTAATTTTATCTTCAGAAAAAATAACTTGACATTTTTTTTTTTCAAATCATTCGTTTCCGAGATGAATGAACGGCTATCAAAGATATCGAATTATTAAAATTGAAAATTATACGAGGAAATATGAGACAGTAAGTAATTAATCAGGATTTTTATGTTAAATGATTCACGTATTAATAAATTTCATAGAAAAACTCAATTAAAAATTCTTTTCGAAAGTGAATTTGTTGTTTGCGCCGATTTCTATCCAAATTTCTTCAATGGATTTTGATTTTTCTAGGCAATTGTTTTATATCTTCAAGACATATGAATGCATTTTTTTCTAAACTTTCTCTTCTACGACAGAATTACTTCACATTTTGTCCTAAAACCATTCGTTTTCGAGGTGAATGAATAATCACCAAAACTATCGAATTGTTGACATTGGTAATTTTACATGGGAGATAACAAGTAGGAATTTTTATATTCGATGATTCACATACGAAGAAATGTTATTAAAAAAATCTAATGAAAAAGTAAGTTTTTCGTGTGCGCCGATTCCTATTTAAGACTCTAAAATTCATAGACTTATTTTTCTCTACGATTTTTAAAAATATTTTCACATTTTCTCTTCAGACATTGTTCTGAATAAATTCACTAGCTTCTTAGCACTTAAAAAAATTCTCTTTACAATATCAAAAAAACAAGGAAAACTCATGCTGAAGCATTCCTACAGAAATATGAACGGGATAATTAATATATAAAAATCATCATCCATTGACTACACACATATTCAGTCTTTTTTTCTGTCATTAAAATCGAATGGTTGTCTATTTTCCAAACAGTAAAAACTGAAACTCAAAAAAAAATGTCCAGGAATTGATGAATTCCTCAAAATAATAACAAAATAACTAGCTGCATTGCATACCTGTGAGATATCCAGCAGTAGGAGCATTCGAAATAAACAAATCATGCTTCTGGTCTTTATACTCAGCCCAGACAGACGATTTCTCCAGTATCGAATTGACTCTCTCCCCCAGGAGTATACTCCTGGCCATAGCTTTTAAAGCTTTAACAATCTGAGCTTTAGTAGTCGCCGGATTGTCAATGAGGTCGAGTCTGCCCTCCAAAATATTCAGCAGATAAGGTACCATTTCCGCCTCTAGTGCCTGCAACAAGACCCACAAATCCATCTCAATCCCTGAATAATGATCGAACAATCGCGTGCTAAATGAAAAAAAGTCGTATAAATCTAATCTAGGGAACCCAGAAAACAATTTTTGCCAGTGCCATCTAAAATGTAACAGGATATCGGCAATTTGTCGACAAATTGTCGACATACTGTTTGCTGGAAACGTGAAATCTGGACCTTTTGGGCTGTTTAAAATCATTTTAACCCAACTTTTGAGCAGGGATCAGAACAATCATCAATTTCAAAATAAGTTAAATTTAGCTTCTGTTAAGGCCCGTGTGTACTATCTTTCGAATGTTATCTGGATTTTTTTTCTCTTTCGTAATAAAAAATTGTCAATTGAGTGGTACATCATGTAGAAATTCCCAAAAATTATGATAGAATGATGAAAAAAAAAGAAAAAATTCTGAACTTTTTCAAAGAGCGTTTTTAATTGAGATTCAGAATGAGTTGAAAAAAGTGGAAATTACAAATATCTGATTAGCTCTAGCAAATTATCTATTAGCTGTCATTTTCCATGGTGGATAACAAAACACTAACTCCTCATGGGAAGTGACAGCTAGGTATCTTAATTTTCAAAACAGTGGTATGTAGTCATCTGCCATTTTTATGTGATAAAAGTGTCATTAAAAAATTCTCCAAAATATTACAACTTTTTTCAAAGAGCCTTCTCCGTAATAAATGTGCAGTGGGGGAAAAGATTTACGAAATCAGTCTTCGCCCTGCATGATATTGGGTGACAGGCCGCCATTTGTCACCGTAAATCAGATACATTTTTCAATTTCTTGTTATTCAACTTATTCTGAATATAAATTAAAAATGCTCTTTGAAAACATTAAGAATTTCTTCTCCTTTTTTTTGATTATTCATTCATAATTTTTCAAAACTTCTGCATGATGCAGGACTTAATTGACATTTTCAGATGACGAAAGATGAAAAAAAACATCGAGATAACGTTCGAAAGATAGTACACTCGGGCCTTAAGTGGAAAATCGAAAACAACTAATTGGAAAGAAATTGATTCAATTCAAGAAGATGAAATTGGCTATGAATAATATACAATAGAATAAAATAAGCAAAATGAGCTTTCGGAAGCATTGCTAATTTATTACCAACAATAACTATACTATTCGCGATACAAGATCAATTTCCCACTTGTTAAATTTCGATTAGTATAATTAAACCTTGATCAATGTAACTCAGAAATTCTTTAATATTGAAGAATCGGAAGATCGTTGGTGATCCCTTCCACTATTGGAGAAATATTTGTGGCAAAAGGTCGTATGCGCCAAAAAATAAATTGTCCTCAAAAGTTGTGTCAAAATTCTTCTGCCGAGTTCAAATCGTCCAGATTTGATATTCCCTAGATGAGCTTTATACGACCTTTTTCCATTTAGCCCGCGAATTATAGAATACGCGTCTCAATTTACCTGCTTAATGAGACGATCCTCATTAGTAGAAAACAATCTATTGAGCGTCTCACAGGCGACAGCAATCATATCCTTCCTGGACTGCATGGCAAGCTTAAGTGGGCTAATACAATCAGTCTGGCATATTGAATTTATGCAAATCTCACTTGTGGCTAATTGATGCAATATAAGTATGGCCGCTTTGTACACAGGTGGCTGACTATTTCTCGTTGCCATTTGCCTGCACAGCCTCGGTATATGCCCCAACGAGGGTACCTGATCAGCCAGTGCAGGTTGAGCCTGAAGAAGACAAACGAGTGCCTGAGTCGTTAGTTCCAGCATATCAGCATCGGTTTTATCCCTTGACATGAGTGATAAAGTGGTATCCAACAGATCACTCAGAAATTCCTTTGGCTTCCTCAGTGCCCAAGCTGGACTGGCAACGAATAATCTCAGATAAACACCACCAACAACAGGCTCATTGGTAGCAACATCGATATTACTCGGTGCCTCTGGTAGCTTGAGAATCCCATTGGGATTTCTCCTCTGCACTGAATAATAATCATCCTTCAACTCTGCCACCATTCTCGACACCTTGGCCTTGGCTTCGTCATCCCAAATCAACTCAGGATTTTCATGTTTCGTCTCAAACATGTGAACACATTGTTTTGGAGCATCACGAATGGCCTCGCTGAATAATCTTGGAAGAAACTTCGACAAATCTAACTTAACTTTTGGCCCTGCCAATTTATCAGACGACATCTTAGCAAGTAGATCAGCTGCAGCTTCACGTATCTGAATATTACTCGAGTTGCAGAATAAATCGAGTACGTATATTACAGCCCCTTTCGCCAGGGCGTCCTTAACAATCTTCGTGGTGCTCATCAGGGCGTACAATGTCTCCAAAGTCAGGAGCTGATGTTCCCTCAAAGTGTGAAGAGTCAGCAGTAAATGAACAACAACTTCATTAGCCGCAATATCGTTGACACACTCATGATTCTTCGTCACATTATTGATGACCTCCAACGCTCCCTTCTGAATAGGCTTGAAATTATTGCAGCTCAGGAGCCCGAAGATCAGGTTGAAATGTCCGATGCACTGCATCTCGATCCCCGGATTGTTCTTGATGACGTTCTTGAGGGCCTCCAGAGACATAACGATCCCCTTCAGCCTCTCCTGATCCTTCTTGGACAGGGTCATACTGTTGAGTGAGGCCAGATACTCAGAAGACTTCGACAGAAAATCCAGGAGGTCAATTGTGAACCCCTTGGGGTTCTCAATGGGGAAAGTCGGCTGTTCATTGTACACCTTAACGAATATCTCCCCGATGACGAGCTCGTCGTTGTGAGCGCTGTACTTGAAGTCACTGAAGTCATGCTCAAGACTGATACTCCCACTCAGCTTCTCCTGCCTCTTACCCTCGAGGTACTCATTCAACTCAGCCCTAGTCCCATTATCCCAGATCAAGTAAGGATTCGAGCAGTTGGAGTTCAGTGTCTTGAGAATCTCCTCAGGTTTGTCCTTGGACAGTTGTCTCGCCAGGTAGGGGGTCAGGAGGCTCTCGAGAGCAGCAACAGTCACTGGATTCACTGGAGTCTCGTTCTCCCCAGTCATGTAGCCACCGAGTTTGGCACAAGCTTTAACCGCAAGTTTAGCTAGATTATTCGCCACTTCCTGTCTGTTCTCCTCCTGACTCCTCTCCACACCGCCCTCCTCCAGGGTGTAATCGTAATTGAACATGAACAGGAGTAGATGCCAGAGGGCTCCAGACTGCAGCAGCTGCATCTGGAGGATGCTGTCAGTCGCCAGGGACGAGACACACTCGGTGGCAACCGAGCACAATTTCGTCAGGTGTTTGAAATGAAGGATTCTGCAGAGGTCCTTGATCAGCTGCGGCAGCTCGACGATCTTGTCCCTGCAGCCTCGGAATTTCCCAGCCACAGCGAAGCACCTGGTGATGTGCGTGCAAACCTGAACAGCAACCTCGTCGGATTTGCTCGAGTTACTCAGTACAGAAACGCATCTTGTGTAAGCTTCCAGGAGAACCTCGAGCCCCCCCTCACGTCGCAGCTCCTCGGCATTGAGTGCCGAGCAGTGGACAGTGTGATAACACAACTCAGCAGCTGCTGACAGCAGTGGCGCTGCCTTCGAGAACAGCCTGTCGTCCTCAGTCTCCAGTTTGATGGTCTTGATCAGCTGGGGATAGCCCGCGTACTTGTAAGGCCTCAACTCCTCGGTGTATCGGTGGAAGAGAATGCTCTGGGTCCTCAGGATCAGGACGATGTTGTCAGGATTGGGTCCGTCTGTTGTCCAGCAGCTTCGACTGCACAAGAACTCGTAGGCTTGATTCACAGCCTCGAATTTATCCCTTCCCTCTGGGTTCTTGTCGGGATGGTACTTCTGGGCTAGTTTGTAGTAGGATTTACGAACATCTGCCTCGTTGTGCTGGTGCCCTGTCTGCAGACCCAGGACTTTATAAGCCTCGTCCACTGTCATTATGGGCGGCTTCTTCTCTACCTCTTTCTTCCAGGCGTCGAGGACGTCTTTCAGTAGATGCACCGGCTCGGGGATTGGCCAGTTGGGGAATTTAACGGTGTCGCAGAGGTGTCGAAGGTAGAATATCTGGCAGAAGAGCTCTTTCTCCAATTGGGGATAACGAACAGCTGGAATCGCTATGTATTGGTACCTAGCCATCGTGTGGCTTCGTAATCTTGGAGAGAAGTCAGCAATGTGTGCTGCTACCTTCTCGATCAGCATTCTTCTCATCTCTGCGTTCCAGATTGCCTCCGGGGTGTCGTAATCCCCGAGGAATATTTGCGCGAATTTCTCAGCTCCATGATTCTCCAGGTAACTTACCATGGCGTCCGGTAGTAAAGGGCCTAGGATGCTCCTCTGCATTATGTCTGGGGGGGTGTTGTCGTCACCCCTGAAGGCTTGTTTGGTGTGCGTCAGCTGGAGGAATCGAGCGATTGGAAGGACGTTGGAGCCGGTGTACATCAGGATGAAGTAGAAGACACCTGTCAGGTAGATCTTTGATACGTCTGGGTTGTCCCTCATTATCTCGCAGAGAAGAGTGGCCACTCGCTCCACCAGGACTGGGTCGAACGTGAGGAGGAGTTGGACTACGTGGGGAAGACACTGTAGATCTGACAGCAATCTCTTGACCCTCGGGAGGGGCCTGATCACTGCGTTGTCAGGGTCACGACTGGGGTAGTATTCACACATTTGTATCAAAATATTGAGGATGAGGGTGGCCAAGTCACTCTCGTTCACCACTGGTGTCCCTTTGGCCACTAGAGTCCATTTCAACTGGGGAACTTGGGAGATCATTCTCCAGCCGTCCAATCCCTGGGCCCAGACCTTCGTTTTGTGATTGACTTTTCCAGATGTGTACAAGTCCTTCAGTTCTTTCAGGCTGACAGGACCAGCGCGATGATCTCCATCGTTGTAATACCACTCTCGTTCCATCACCCTCTCCTGCTCGGGACCCGCCTCGATGACGTTTGTCTGCGCTGGAACAACTGCTCGCGATGTGTGGAGATGCGCCAGGGCTAGAATGTCCACCAGTGCTCGAACGCCATTCTGATCCATTATGTCTTTCACGTTTTTCCTGTGGAGGATCAGTTTGTGGATGAACATCACTAGTCTGTCACGCTCCGCCCTGTCTGTGCATCGTTCCAACATTCCAACAATGTACTTTGTGTCCGAGAAAGGGCCAATGTCCTCGTAGTAACGACCGTAGACAATCGTCATCGCCTGCAAGCAAAGGCACTTCATTTCTACTTTAGTGGTTAACAGGAATCTGTGGTAAAGGTCGTTGAAAAATTCGTAGGATTTTCGAATTGGGCTGTCTGGGCAGTCCTTCTCCAGCAGTAGTCTCAGGTAATAGTCCCCAATCTTCACCTCGTCCGAGAGACACTGGTACTGCACTTCGAATTCTCGATGGTTCCAGGCGATTAATGTACCTCCTGAGAGGTCTTTGTCAGCTGTGAATGCTCGGATTTCATTCTCCAGTGCTGTTCTCAGTTCCTCACGGGTCTTGTGGTTCCAGATGAGGTTCGGCATCGAGTGGTCTTGATTGAATTTGTAGTAGAATAGCTTCCAGTTGGCCTCGGATTTTATTCTCTCTCGGCGTTTACGAAGCACCAGCTGTCGTTCTTTGATCTTCTCTCGGCGTTCGATTCCAACGCGTGCCCCCCAGTGCTGGAGGGCGTTCTCCAGGTGCTTCTCGACAACTCGCATCTGACGCTCGATCGCCATCCACTGGGGGCCACGTTTGTTCTTGGACGCATGGTCGATTGCCATTTTTAGATTGTCTCGGTTGTTCAGGCGTTCCTCTTCGAGAAATGAGTCTGGGACTTTCTCCTCGGAGTCGAGGTAGGTGAGGAGACCCACTGGGAGGATTCGTTTGAGGAGACCCATGGCTGTGGGGTGGCCAGTGACCCAGAGACCCACCAGGTGTCTGCACAATTGACGGTGGGTCAGCAGTCTTCCGTCGCTGCCCACTGTGAACAGACTGTTCAGCAAGTGTCTGGGGAGGGCTCCCTCGGCTAGGGCTAGTTCTTGCATCTTCGCCGCGACTTCTGCGGCTCCTTCCTCTATTATTGCTCGCATTATCAGGCCCGCGCCTTTTACTACTGCCAGGGAGGGGTGCTGGAAGAGCTTGAAGAGGGAGCGCCCGCGGGAGGCTACCATCTCTAGGAGATTGTCGAAGTGCTTACCATCGGTTGTCTCGCTGTACGGGACGCAGAGGGCGAACGTTAACAGGTCCAGCATGGCGGATACTACCAGAGCTCCTGTTCCATGATTCTGGAAGGGGAGCGGCCAGTGGAGATTATTTTTTGGGATGTTAGTTGATGTTTTTAGGGGGATGCTTACAATTTTCGTAGAAAACTAGCGGATTCGCTAAAAGATTGTGTTTGATTTCTATTAGAGATTTATTACACCCTTTTCGCCAAAATTCACGTTTTTCGAATTTGTCCGGTACATTATTGATCGCATTGATGTGAAAAAATATAACGTTTTTACGTTTTATCATTAGTGACTCACAAAATTTCATGATCGTGCAATCATTTTCCTGCGTTTTTTCTAAAACTTTTCGGACATTCATAAAACTTTTAAAAAAATGCAAGAAAATGATTGCACTACCATGAAACTTCGTGAGTCAGTCAATAATAATAAAACGCACAAACGGTGTATTATTTCGCGTCAATCCGATCAGTAATTGGCCAGAAAAATGAAAAAAAACCTGAATTTGGGCCGAAAGGGTTTAGTATATCCGTAAGCTTTCGGTTAGTTTTGGGCCGATTCTATTGAAAAATTCTTAAGCTTATCTGCTGTTTTCTTTCGATAGAAATGTTCAATGGAAAATATTCCACGGACAAAGTAAATAGAATGTGATCTTTCTATGTAATTTATGAGCAAATCGACGCCAAATCAAGAGCCAAAAAAGTTGATGCTCGGTATTTTGGTCTCAATTTTTTTCTGAAAAGACGGCGGTTATACAAAAATTTTGAGAACAGAATAATTGAAAAATATTGATAATTGAGGGAGTTATGATTTTTTGAAAATGGCCAGTTTTTACCCCAAACTTTTTTTTTCCAAATTGGCCTTAATATTTCTGCGGGGTTTCAAGCTATCAAATCGCCCTTTGGCACACTCCAAGGGCGAAAAGAGTGAATTTTTTTTTAATCTGAAATTTTCGCCATTTCGAAATTTTTTAATCTGAATTTTGGCGCCAATTACAGTTTGTCTTTCAGTGTAGTTCGGCGATTATTATTTTTTTTCAGTGGGACAAGTATTAAAAATGACTGAAAATCGCTATTATTCATGCAATTATCCTCTAAATAAGTGAATATCCAATTGAATAATTAAAAACGAGTCGATTCGATTAAATTCTCGATTACCAAAAAATGAAAGCTCCTTGAAAAATGTATTTCCGTTGTATAATTAGAAAAAGGATACTTTGTTACTCAAAAAATCATACTGAAGATGGATAATAGAAGATATAATGAGTCTAACCTCCCCTCTTTGCTAATATGTAATTCAGACAGTGTACCTACTATTCTAAATATTCTATTCAAAACTCTATTGCAGACTCTATTAAATATAAAAAATCAAATTCTGTTGAATTTACAAGATAAATGAAAAATTTCCTGAACAATTGAGTACTGAATCAAATTCAAATTCACAACATTGAAAATTCAAACGCAACTATTACTCAAATATAAAAAAACTTCAAACAGTATACCTAGTTTCTAAATATTCTACTCAAAACACTAATGACGACATATGGATAAAAAAAATTTCACAAGTCATCAAACGAATTAGTATTTGAAAAGAACATTACAATCCCCTTATTAAAGTTGAATGTCAATATACTCACAACGTGACCAATCCACATATCCAGTAAACTCTCCAGGAATTTGTTGCTGCTCAGCAAACTGCTCTTGTTCAACTGTTCCTGCCTCAAATCACAGTCATCATGCATCGCCTGCATGAGCGCACAGATGCAGTCAATAGCAGCTTGAGCCACTCCACAATCCTGCCTCTTCAGCGCCTTGACAACTTTATTCCCAATGGATTCACGAAAGCCAGGCAACGTTGTGAACGCCATAAACCCAACTTTACTCGCTACCAGTCTCCTCAGGGCATGGAACTGGGCCTCCACCTCGGCATTAGTCTCCAACTCTCTGCTCACCAGCGAGCTGAGTGCACCCAGGATAATCTTGTCCTTGTTCTCGGTGAATAACCCCTGCAAGTAGTCATTCATCACCCTGTGTACACCTAGTTGTATAGTCGTAACAGTCCATTCAAACGGTTTGCAAACCTGGACAAACATTATTCAAAAAAAAAAAAGAAAGAAACGAAAATGGGTTTTCATCGAGAGAACAAAAAACACGGAGGTAGTCGGAGGCAATTGAACCGCTCAAATGGTGCTGAAAGACATGCCTATGGAGATCCAAGCATCATTTCATTAAAATAAAGGAAAAGAAAAACACAGGAAGTAGTTTTTCAGAGATTTGATAGAATATTTAATGCTATTGGAATTCATTAAGTAATGAAATGGAACAGCTTAAGCCCACGTGGATTATCTGTCGAACGTGTTCTTGGTTGTTTTTTTTTTACTTTTTATAATCTGAGATTTTCTTCAATTGCCATTCAGGTTTACATAGCCCTGGAGTCTAAAAATTATGATTGTGCAATAAACAAAAACGTTGAAAAAAACTGAATATTTTCAAAGAGTGTTTCTGAATAATATTGGGAAATAAATCCAATAGGGAGGAAATTGCAAATTAATAATTGACACTATCTAATGGTTGTTCAGTCGTCGTTTGTCTTAGTAGCCAATGCCTGTGAGATCGTTAGTTGCCATGATAAATTCAATAGCGAAGCGGTTAAGTCTATTTTGACTATTGGCCAGTTTTTTGTGAATATCTCGGAATCTAAAAGAGATAGAAAAATTTTTCTCATGACCTTTTTTATAACCCTCAATTGACCCGATAAAAGAGGTCATGAGAAAAATTTTGGTATCTCTTTTAGATTCTGAGATATTCATCAAAAATTGACCAAAAGTCAAAATCGACTGCACCTGGTTCACCGCTTCGCTACTGAATTATACATTTACAATTTCCTCTCTGTCGGATTTATTTTCTAATCTTTATTAAAAATGCTCTTTGAAACTGTCTAGTTTTTTTCTACTTTTTTTATTGTGCAATCATAATTTTTAGGGATACCTACGCGACGTAAAATCCAGTGGAAATTGTGATATATTTTAGATTATGAAGATGGAAAAACAATCGAGATAACGTTCGAAAGATAATTCATGCGGGCCTTAAGTGCAATATTCGAATCTTCGCCAAGCAGCTGCAGAATAATTCAAGGAGTAAGCGGAATCGTACATTGACACGTACGAAAAAATTGATTGGAAAGACCTAGGGCTTTTTTTAAGAAATTCTATTGGAGTTTCATTGGCATTCTGTTGAAAAATTTTATTATTTTGCGGCAATTCTATTGTGATCTATTCAGTTTTGTCGTACGTCTGTAAAGAAATATTCTTTGAAGCAAAAAAAAATCTATAGATGTAAATTTTTCTATAAAACTTATTCTATTGCGAAGTTTTCTGCAAAAAATCGTGGACATAAATTTCCCAAGTTTCTAGGATTTAATTATAAGAAACAAATGAAAAAACAGCGGAAAAAACTCATTAAATTTACACTAAAAAATTTCTATAGAAAAATCGAAATCTCTTGACTTTTTTCTATTCGCTATCCCTAATCCCTAGTACCAGCTTCACTACAATTGTTGCAAAAAATCAACAGAATTCAAATAGAACTCCAACAATATAAATTCAATAAAAATTCTCAGAAAAAGCACTAGATTTTTCCATAAAATCTCTTCACCCACGAAACAGCAGAAAAAAGAACAAAAAGTGTTATGTGATAAAAACGCGCAAACTTGGATCTCCGAAAACAAAATAAAATCTTACATCTTGAGTAACAGAATAGTGAAGTCCGCTGTACGGTACATTAGCATTGAACCTTTCCAGAATTTCAGCAAAAGTTCTACCCCCAGGTGGCTGTTGAATGAACTTAACGTGTGACGTTTCCACCTCCTCATCAACAGGTAAATTCAAGGGTCCCAGCCTCTTCCCCCTGGCAATGGGGCACATCTTGACATGTACATCACGATTACCAGAGGCCCTGACCCCATCCAACAGACTCGCTAGCAGTGAATCCCTGTCAGTTGCCATGTAACTCCTCATCTGTCCATTCAGATACTGAATAGTGAATAACTGAGGGTTCGCATTGTCCCTGACTAGTGCGAATATGTCTGAGAGGGGTCTCAGTGTGCAGATGTTGTAGGTCTGGGGATCTCTCTCGAGGAGACAAGTGTCGGACAGGCACAGTGTTCTTCTCTGGGGATCAGAGTGTCTCGAGGATATTTTATGTACAGTGAACTCAGAGACACTTGTTATGTGTTCATCCCCACTGAATCTACCGAACCGCTGGACGAGAAATTCGTCAAGGGGTACTGTCTCCTTCAGGACTTTTATCATCACTCCGAGATTCGTCTGGGCTGATTCCACGATCTTTCGCTTAATCTCGTCAATCTGCTGGGATGCGAAGAGGTGGAGACGACCGAAACCACCGCAGACTATTACGAAACCATCGGTGTAGTCACGCATTGTTCCGATACCCTCGATGTCTTTGTAGTAGTAACTCGCGAGGACGATGTTCGTCGCTGGATCCAGTTGGTCCAGACTGTAGGGGGTTATCTCCAGGACCACCGGGAGCCTTGTGTCCGACCAGTGGTGCTTGTAGGCTGGGTATCTCTGTAAGTAATTTCGTTTGGTTTTTATTGAAATTGCTATAATGGGGGAGGGAGGGGATTATTTATTTGGGTTGATGTGAATTTCTGTGGGGGATACATACGAGAAAATTTTGTAGAATGGGCCATTTAGATATTGTGTTACTCGTTTTTTGGAGTTTTAAAACGCAGAAATTGATTTTAACAAGTGGCCTTACACAGGGCTTGATGAAGTATAATTTTTTTTTCTAAGAATTAGCAGTTCGCTTCAGAATGGATTAGTCGAACTAAAACAAAAAAGTGCATATTCGGTTTTCTGTTATTTATTTCAGATTAGGAGGGATCCTTCCTGAAGTTTAACCTCAGGAAAATTCAATAGTTTTTTTTAAAGACAATTTGAGATAAAATTTTTTAGTGAACTGAATTTATTTTGAAATAGACAGACTGAGTGAAAACAAAATGAATGTAAAATTTGATATCGCAGAAGTTCATGCTCCTGATACATCAATGTTGATGTCTCCTCGGTCGTAAGTAAATTATTTAAATTTTATTTTTCTCCTGAATGGTTTTCCTTAAACTGGCCGTAAGACCAGTATAACGTTTTTGCTGATGAATTCAACCGAACTCAACCGAGATAACATCGAATCGAATATTTTAAGCCATAATTGAAAAGATTTCGACGATTATTTTTTGAATGATCTAAAAATGATCTAAAAATAATATATTCGAACTCCTGAGACCAAAATTAGTCATCATCCACAAAAAAATGGAAATTTCAGATTTGACGAATAGAATGCTTCCATTCGGAAGCCAGAAATAAGAATAAGAAAAAAAAGGCAAATAATGAGGTGAAAAATGAAGTCTTCATGGGATGCTCTTAAAACATTTTTTAACTTATTAAATTGTTTTCATCACACTATTCCGAAATTCCTCTTTGTGAATCTTTGGGATAATTTCCCGAACTGGTGGAACCTCTGTTTATCTCTTGAGAAAAGGCGACAAGAACAAAATTGCATTTGCAATTTCCTCCATTGAAAAAAAAGTCTATAGAAGTTAATTTCTCTATATAACTCATTCTACTGGGATTTTTTCGATAAAACATCGTAGACATAAATTTTTCAAGTTTTTTAGGATTTAATGATGAGTATTTTTGAACTTATCTATTAAAATATCGCATGGCAAAATGAAATTTCTAATGAAATTCTAAAATGATTCCACTAAAAAATCAATGAAATCCTCCCGTGGCTGCCCTGAGCTTCCTATTTATATTTTTCATACAACCATTCTTATCTTGAGAGGATTAAATTTCAAAACGTAAGTAGCATATCCGATTACTCAGAACTCAGCTCCATTCTAAGAACTCAAATCACCTGAATACCTTCATTAAACGATAAAAGACAAGTGGAGAAATGCAGTTTCTTATAAATGAGTATAGCTATTCTTGTTAATAAATCAACAACTGGCTTCCGAATGGGTTCTTTTTTTTTGAATTCGTATTTCACTATTCTCTTCTTTTAGTTTTTCATGTCATAGTACTATCATCAATTGAAATGTGATCTAAATTTTTCGTATTATTTCGTTCTATCAGATAATTCTACATTCAGACCCTCTCAAAACTCGAATTTATTTTCAGTTCAGGTTTAATCAAGATTCAATCACGGATTATTCAGTGTAGAGTCGGGATTTAATCCAGGTTGACTCAGAATTCAGCCAGAATTTAACCCAGATTCTGTTAGAAATTACTTGGGACCAGGGTTTAATAGAGAGAGATTTTGATATAAAAAGCTCATGACGGTATTGTATAACTTGAAAAGCAAAAATGCTATTCTTACCATTTCTCAGTTTGATTAAGAAGCTATAGAAATATACTTTTCAAGCCCTGATTTAATTCCTCTTACTGATAATTCTTTCAGTAACGATGAAAAAACCGATTTCCCCTTTCAAATCGTATAAACAATGTGCTGTAGCTCATCATATTCTGATGTAATCACGAGGGCATTGTTATCAATTTTTTGAGCCATGATTAATTCCGTTCGGATGACAATTATTTGAGTAATCGTTGAAAATCGATTTTTGAAAAAATACATTTTTTTAAAATCTGTATGAAAAATTGGATTTTAAATGGTGTAAATTAATAGAGCTTATTAATCCACATACATGAAAAAATTCATGGAATTCGATTGTTCCGTTTTAAGAAAATTGCATATTCGGAATTTTTCGTCCATATTCATTTACTCTAACACGAAAAATTGAAAACTTGAAGTTCAGCAGTTACAAAGTGTCCATTCGGAACCAAAAATCATATAAAACCGCTCAAACAGAAATCCCAACGTCTGGTGATTCCAGAAATACAAAAAAAAATCAATTAAACAGAAGTTCATGTTAATGGATCATTATAACGGAGACATTCTCTCCTAATCGCTCTAAAAGCCACATGCTGACTGATAACAACTTATCGACAATCAGAAATAAAAAATGAATAATGACTCACGAGTATCTCCCTCGGCTTTTCAGCAAATTGGTTACGGAATCTGAGGGCCTCTGTCAGCAAATGTGATCTGTGCTCCGAGCTGAACTTCATCGTATCAACTTTTCTCTCTTTTCTCATTGTTATACTGAACTCGTGCAATCCAATTTGATTTCTGTTTGTCGGCTGTACACTTATGAAATCCGCGTATTCCCACTTGTTGGTGACTTCTAAATTGCTGGGATTGTAGGTTGTTATGCCCATGGATCCAATTGAGAAAATACGTTTGTATCTGCAACAATCAAAGTTTGACGATGTTTTTCTGACCGATGAGATTAGTGATGAGATGGTTATTGGCCTCTGCGGTCGTGAAGCGATGAAATGAATTAAGACTTCAATGCAACAATCAATATAATTAATTTTTGGCTGAGATTTCCGGTACACTTTTTGGAAATTTTTATCAGGTGATAGTTTCACTGAAATTTCGAGGAATTTAGTTATTTAAAATTCTCAATTTGATGAAACAATCCATGAAGACTGCGAATTTCAGTTCAACTATTCGGGAAAAATCAATAGAAATCAGATCAATTCAGGTAAATATATTCTTGAATCATTAAATAATGGTAAATTCAGGGCAATTCAGTGATGAATGTTCATGTTTTGGTTAAAAAGTCCTGTGAATTAGGGAATTCTCATCTTCCTACACCCAAAAAATTTGGAATTTTTAGAAAAAAAATCGTTTCCATAATTTTTTTTCGAATTGAATTCATTTTCGCTCGCTTTAAAATTACTACAAAAATATCCCTAAACTTTCAGCCGCCGTATCTTGATTTTCCATACAGTCTACTATCAGACTATTCGGCCTATCAGACTGAAATTCATGGAACATTAAATGTACCATTTTTCAGGCGACGTGAGAAATAGAAAATAAATAAAAATATTGTTTCCCTGGAAATTAGTACACACTAAACTTTCCACGAAACTTCAATTTCGTTCCAGCAGTGCAAAACGATAACAACTGATTGTTCGTTCATATCCAACAGAGAAAACGAACGTTTTGTTCGGAGAGTCATGAAATGAGTTAATTACCCTCGGAATACTCACTTTCCCTTCCACGATGTTTCTCTATAAACTAAATCTGTGGGTACTTTTTCTAGAAGAATTCTTGGGCATGAAGTGTCAAAGTTTTTTTCTAATTTTGCAATAAGAAACAGAAAAAGATACAGCGGAGAAAAATCAGAAAATTTATGTACAATAACTCCTACAGAAAAACGTTTCAAGAAAATCATTCATATAGACAGATCAACACCTATCGACTTTTTCCTATAAAAAATCAAATGGTAAACAACATGCTGAAATTATTGAAAATTCGGGAAATATACCGATTTTTCAAACAAATCGCTCAGAATTTGGCTGTTCATGCAATGTAAGAAATAAAAAATAATAAAAATGTGACTCTTCTGATGATTACTAAATACTAAACTGCCCATTAAATTTCAGTTTTTTTTCTAATAGTGTTAACTGATAACAACAGATTGTTCGGTCATATCCAACAGGGAAATCGAACGTTTTGTTGTGAATGGATTGTAATGAAATGGTGGACTAGCCTCGAGATTCTAAATTTCTGTCTCACGATTGTCTTTGACATGAATTGTCAGTTTTGTTTTTATTTTGCCATAAGAAACAGAAAAACATACAGCGAAAAAACGTTTCAAAAAATCATTCATATAAAAAATCCTATATTCTTCTTATAAAAAATCATACTGTACAGAAAGTACTAAAATTGTTGAAAATTTTAAAAATTTACCCATTTTTCAAACAACTTGCTGACACCCTAGCTGTTCATGTAGCTTAAGAAATAAAAAACAAATAAAAATGTCACTCTTCTACTGATTACTACATATTCAATTACCCATTAGGTTCCAATTTTTTTCCAACAGTGCTAACTGATAACAACAGATTGTTCGTTCATATCCAACAGAGAAATCAAATGTTTCGTTGCATGAACGAAGAGTAATGGAATGGGTGGAATAGTCTCGAAGTACTCATTTTTCCTTCCACGATTTTCTTGGGTATCAACTGTCAAAGTTTGTTTCAAATTTTGTAATCAGAAACAGAAGCGGAGAAAACTCGGAAAATTTATGCCTAATAACTCCTGCAGAAAAACGTTTCAAAAATCATTCATATAAGAAATCCTATATACAGTGTGGATGTAAAATAAAGAATGCTTTTGTAACATCAACGAGAATAAATTGAATTGAATTGAATTGAAATCTGATATTCTTCTGAAAAATCAAATGGTAAATAAAGTACTAGAATTATTAAAAATTCTGAAAATTTACCCATTTTTCAAACAAAATGCTGGCACCCTAGTTCATGTAACTTAAGAAATAAAAAAATGAATAAAAATTTCACTCTTCTGAAAATTATCATATACTAAACTGTCCATAAAATAACAATTTTTTTCTAACAGTGCAAACCGATAACAGCGGATTGTTCGTTCTTATCCAAGAGAGCAATCGAACGTTTTGTTGTGAATGGATTGTAATGAAACGGGTGAATTAGCCTCGAAATACTCACTGTTAAAGTTTTTCTTCTAATTTTAGAATAAAAAACAGAAATAAATACAGCGGAGAAAAGTGAGAAAATTTATGCCCAATAATTCCTACAGAAAAAAGTTTCAAAAATCATTCATATAAGAAATCCTATATACAGTGATGTAAAACAAAGAATGCTTTTGTAACATCAACAAGAATAAATTGAATTGAATTGAAATCCTATATTCTTCTTCTAAAAAATCCAACGGTAAAAAAAGTACTAGAATTGCTGAAGATCCTAAAAATTTACCCATTTTCCAAAGAAAATGCTGACACCCTAGTTCATAGTTCAGAAATAAAAAAATGAATAAAACCTCACTCTTCTGAAAATTATCACATACTAAACTGTCCATGAAATAACAATTTTTTTCTAACAGTGCAAACCGATAACATCGGATTGTTTGTTCCTATCCAACAGAGCAATCGAACGTTTTGTTGTGAATGGATTGTAATGAAACGGGTGAATTAGCCTCGAAATACTCACTGTTAAAGTTTTTCTTCTAATTTTAGAATAAAAAACAGAAATAAATACAGCGGAGAAAAGTGAGAAAATTTATGCCCAATAATTCCTACAGAAAAAAGTTTCAAAAATCATTCATATAAGAAATCCTATATACAGTGATGTAAAACAAAGAATGCTTTTGTAACATCAACAAGAATAAATTGAATTGAATTGAAATCCTATATTCTTCTTCTAAAAAATCCAACGATAAAAAAAGTACTAGAATTGCTGAAGATCCTAAAAATTTACCTATTTTTCAAACAAAATGCTGACACCCTAGTTCACAGTTCAGAAATAAAAAAATTAATAAAAATCTCACTCTTCTGAAAATTATCACATACTAAACCGTCCATGAAATAACAATTTTTTTCTAACAGTGCAAACCGATAACAGCGGATTGTTCGTTCCTATCCAACAGGCCAATCGAACGTTTTGTTGTGAATGGATTATAATGAAACGGGTGAATTAGCCTCGAAATACTCACTGTTAAAGTTTTTCTTCTAATTTTAGAATAAAAAACAGAAATAAATACAGCGGAGAAAAGTGAGAAAATTTATGCCCAATAATTCCTACAGAAAAAAGTTTCAAAAATCATTCATATAAGAAATCCTATATACAGTGATGTAAAACAAAGAATGCTTTTGTAACATCAACAAGAATAAATTGAATTGAATTGAAATCCTATATTCTTCTTCTAAAAAATCAAACGGTAAAAAAAGTACTAGAATTGCTGAAGATCCTAAAAATTTACCCATTTTTCAAACAAAATGCTGACACCCTAGTTCATAGTTCAGAAATAAAAAAATGAATAAAAATCTCACTCTTCTGAAAATTATCACATACTAAACTGTCCATGAAATAACAATTTTTTTCTAACAGTGCAAACCGATAACAGCGGATTGTTCGTTCTTATCCAACAGAGCAATCGAACGTTTTGTTGTGAATGGATTGTAATGAAACGGGTGAATTAGCCTCGAAATACTCACTGTCAAAGTTTTTCTTCTAATTTTAGAATAAAAAACAGAAATAAATACAGCGGAGAAAACTGAGAAAATTTATGCCCAATAATTCCGACAGAAAAAAGTTTCAAAAATCATTCATATAAGAAATCCTATATACAGTGATGTAAAACAAAGAATGCTTTTGTAACATCAACAAGAATAAATTGAATTGAATTGAAATCCTATATTCTTCTTCTAAAAAATCAAACGGTAAAAAAAGTACTAGAATTGCTGAAGATCCTAAAAATTTACCCATTTTTCAAACAAAATGCTGACACCCTAGTTCATAGTTCAGAAATAAAAAAATGAATAAAACCTCACTCTTCTGAAAATTATCACATACTAAACTGTCCATGAAATAACAATTTTTTTCTAACAGTGCAAACCGATAACATCGGATTGTTTGTTCCTATCCGACAGAGCAATCGAACGTTTTGTTGTGAATGGATTGTAATGAAACGGGTAAATTAGCCTCGAAATACTCACTTTCCCTTCCACGAGTGTTTCGTGACCAGGAAACACGCAACATCCTGATTATCCTTGATCGGCATCATTGTCTCATGTCAAACATTAATCGCTACGAATAGTATATCACCTGCACGATCTTCTTAGAAATAATAGCAACAGCAATCTGCATCTGTCAAGTGACAAACTGACACCACTTGTACGTTGACTCATGCAGCAGTAACGACAATCTGTTGATCATCCAGACTGACAATCGACAGTGGTCAACGATAGATTGATGGAGATTATTGTCAATTGATTATTGAATTATGGATTCAGTTGTTCGTTATTTAGTTCACAGTGTAAATAGAGGAACCAACGACTTCAATGTCCTGGGAGCGGCCATGATGCCTGGGGGTGTCATCGGTCAGCTGTTTTACCAGATGTCACACCAGGGGACTTACCATGGGAGTCAACTTGTTTTTTTTTAAATTCAGGCACGAAAAATGTTATCATAGAAAAACCTTGTGAGTTCGTTTGAAAATTCTATTGGATTTCTATTGAACTTTTATTGTATTTTGGCGGATTCTATTGAACAATTGAAATGTCCAATAGAAACTGTTTTATGGATAAAATTAGTAGAATTTCATATTTCTATACAACTTTTGATATTGAGATATTTAATGGAATTTCCCACAGGAATTCCTCGGGATAAATTTTGAAAGTTTTTTCTACTCTCTTTTTCTTTTTTTTTCATTAAAAAAATCAAACAAAAATTGATTCTTATAGAAAATATTGCAATAGAAGTTGTATAGAAAAATCGAATCCTATTGATGTTTTTCCATATATAGAATATTTTCCATTCAACAATTCTGTTAAGAAAAGGTGCACAGACAAGCCGTGGAATTTTTCAATGGAGTTGGCCAAAAACTAATAGAAAGTTCAATAGAATCGCAATTGAATTTTCTAGTGAATTCGTTAGCAATTACTATGAAATTTTACTTCTATGCACTTTTATAGAAATTTCATAGAAGTCTTATTTACTCTGTTTTTGTTAACTGTTAATTTATTTAGGAGCAGGTGTGAAAAAATTTTATAGCAAATTTTGTTTCTCTATGAGAATCCGTTGAAGATCTGGTAAAAAACGATTAAATAATTCTGTTGAAGATTATAGAACTTTACCGCGTAATTTGTTATAAATAGTTGATTTGAAAAAGTCAATAGATTTTTATTTTCCTATACACATTGTTGGGCATAAATTTTCCAAGATTTTTTGTGCTAAATTATTATTTATAATCGAAAGAAAACAAAATTGGAAAATTCTTACAGAAAAGAATGTAAAGAGAACAAGTTCCATTGAAAAATCAACACCTAGAGACTTTTTTTTTTTTTTTTATTAAATGAACAACACGTGGGAGAATTGCACAATTCTGAATAGAATTGGCACGAAAAACAAATAGAATGCTTCAAAAGAATTTTTGTTTCAATATGCATTCAATAGGATTGTTTAAAAAAAGCGTTGGGTTTTTCCGAAAAGTCGAGAGACCGTTTCTGTAGCTGATAAAATTTCCAACAAGAATATTTCTTCACAGGTTTGCTTTGAGAATGACTTGTTATAAAGATAATTTAATGTACAATAAGAAGTGAAATAAATAAATGGATAAGTAAATAAATAAATCAGTAAATAAATGAACGAGTAAATAAATAATACCGTTAGCAGAGTCCTGAAGCTTTATTAGCCCTCAAAATGCATTAAAAAAAATTAGGTATAAATGCTTGACAGAGAATGTAAAGTAGTTCGATCATGCTTTATTCATGTTCTCCTTTTGCTTCTTCTGTTTCTTCATCTCGGCCTCCTCAATCGGTGCAGGCTTGACAAATGGAATCTCCTCTTGATACTGCTGTGGCATGAATGCCGAAATTGCTTTCGGTACTTTTATCCCAGTCTCTGTTTGATGAACCTCGAGAATCGCACAAATAACACGCGTTACTGCACACATGGTTGCATTCAGCATGTGCACATAATCCACTGAGGCATTCATTTTTTTAGTCTGTCCATATCTGAAAAGAAAACATGATTTTGTCCTCACATTTATAATTTCATTGGCAATAATTTTTTGAAGAATATCTCTGAATTGAAGAGAAATAGACAATTTTTCGTGAAGAAAATTTCAAAGATTAAAAAACCTGAATTGTAAAATGTTAATGACGGATTGAATTATTAATGAAATGAGGATGGGACGATTTTCTTTTCTATAGAAAATACAATTTTTTTCTGTATGCCAATTTTTTGAAGATTACTTCATCATTAAACGGAGATAGAAAATTCTGTGGAAAAAACAGTCTCATGCAACATTTTTTATAGAGCATTTGTTCTTTCCGATATTCAAAGACGTAAAGAAAAAATTAATCGTTGAATATTAATGGCTCATTGAATTATGAATGCAATATGATGATTTTTTTTCCATGGAAAACATAATTATTTTCCTGTGTGATGACCTTAAACTGAGCTCAATTGATTAAATTTGTTTCTGAGTCATGAACATTAGAAAAAAAAAGCCCCGACATTCCCCAATGTATAAAAATATTCACCTGACTAGAAGACGTCTAGCTTGATAATCAAGGCAATTACTGCAGGAAACCAATTCACGAAAAGCAGCGGAGCCTGGGAACCAAGCCTCTAAGTCGAGTTTCTTGGATGCAGCATGATTCAGTGCACCTGACACAATGTTAACGATTCTATACGGAATATTGAGATCCTGATAAAAGTCCTCAGCATTCTTTATCATTTCATCCATCATCTCCCAGGATTTATTGTCGTGGGGCGAAGTGATGCAGAATTGTTCTACCTGCATGAAAAAAATGATGCTCCTAAAATTAAATTCTTAATTTACACAAATAAATCTCTAACATTTTTCTGAACAATTTCTTGATGAGAATGTGACTTTACTCTTTATATTTCCATTCAGATGGGGAATGAATCAATATCAATGAGATGAAAAAACAATAATAGTACAGTATTATAATGGACAATTAAAAACATTTAATATCACTTATTCAATATTTTCTACTGAACATTTCAATCAGGAAAAGAGCGACCAAAAGCTGCGGAATTTTTCAACAGAAGTTGAATTCAAAAGTGGTTTCATTATTGCAGTTGGTCATTTTCAAGCTTTGATCATTTGAAATCGGTGAGAACGTGATTTTACTCTTTATATTTTTATTTAAGACCAGGATGGATTATCGATTGATTTTCCATGTTCATAATCTAAAATATATCCCAATTTCCATTGTAGTTTACATTACGCAGGAGTCCCTAAAAAATATGATGATACAATCATAAAAAGTAGAGAAAAAGATGAACATTTTTAAATAGAGTTTTCAATCAAGATTCGGAAATAAGTGCAATAAAAAGGGAATTGTTAATTCATAATTTATCATGGCAACTAACGATTTGACAACAATTGGCTACTGTGCAAATGACGACCTAATAGCCATTCGATACAGTAAATTATTAATTTGCAATTTCCTCCCTATTGCGTTCATTTCCGAATACTATTCAAAGACACTCGTTGAAAATGTTCATTTTTTTCAAAGTTTTCTTTATTGTAAAACCATAATTTTTGGGGACTCCACGGCTATAAAAAACTGAAAGGCAGCTGAAGAACATTTCAAATTATCAAAATGAAAAAAGAAACAACTAAGATCACGTTCGAAAGACAATACCCACAGGTCTTAAATAAGAAATAAATCAATATTAATAAGATAAGGTACAATTAGAATAACTCAGAATGCATTATTATAATGGGAAATTCCTCTTGATACGTGTAATACCCGAAGCCATTCAAATATTCGTAAACAATCGTGTCATTCATATTCCTCACCTTTTCGAATTGATGAACTCTGAAAATTCCTCTAGTATCTCTTCCATGGGATCCGACTTCCTGCCTGAAGCACGTCGAGAGCCCAGCGTACCTGATAGGCAATGAAGCCTCAGGGATCCACTCATTTCGATGATAAGCGGCAATCGGTTGCTCCGAAGTCGCGATTAAGTATTTCTCCTCAGACTCTTTCTCGTCGGCCTTCTCACTCCCCTTGCCGATCACCTTGTACAGCTCCTCGTCGAACTGAGCAAGCTGGGCCACCTCCTGCATAGCGTCTTTCTTCATGAAGAATGGAGTGTAAAGTGGTTTATAACCCTTTTCGAATAATTTCCTCAGGGCGTATTGGATCAGTGCGTGCTCCAGGAAGACTGCAGGTCCTGTCAGGAAATATCCTCGAGCTCCAGCCACTGCCGCCCCTCGTTCTGCGTCCATCCCGTCTATCATGTGAATTAAGTCCACGTGAGAGTATTTTTTCCTCTCGGTGCAGTCTCCAAATACTCGTTCCACCTGGGATGACGAAGACATGAGTTTAAGGTGCGTTATTCAGTAGCAAAGTGGTAAAACGATTCAAGTCGAGGTAGATCTTAGTAATTTTCGAAGAATATCTACGAATCTAAGGGAGATAGCTTAATTTTCGTGACGATATTTTTTGCAGCTCTCAATTCGCTCTACAGAAAATGTTATAACAATAATTTTGCTATCAGAAAACCTAGCGAAGTCGCTATACAGAAAATTCTATTGGAATTCTATTGAAATATTCTATTTGTTTTTTGCGCTGATTCTATTAGATATTCGATAAGAAGAAGTCAATAGATTTTGAATTTCTGTTGGAATTTTTCTCTTGAATTTTGTCTATCAGAATTATTGGGCACAAATTTTCCAAGTTTTTTTCGCTGGATTTTGTTTTATTTTGAATGTTTTGTTTTATTATAGAATCCGAGTGGAAACAACGTAGAAAATTGATGCCCAACATTCTTATATATAGAAAAAATTTCAAGAGGAAATTCGAAATCTATTGGCTTTTTTATTCGAATATCCAATAGAATCACCGCATAAAAACAAATAGAATTCCAATAAAAATCCTATAGAAAAGCCATAAAATTCCTATAGAATTCCAATAGAATTTTCTAGCGAATTCGCTAGGTTTTCTATTGAATTTTTTCATAGGCGAACTTCTGTTTAGAGTTTATTTCAGATCTTTACCTCCAAACTTTAAATCAGTAGCGAAGGGGTAAACCGGTATAAGTCGATTTTTACTATTGGCCAGTTTTCAATAAATATCTCCGAATCTAAGGGAAATAACGAAATTGTTGTAATTTCCTTTTTTGTAGCTCCCACTTTGCCCTGCAACAAAGGTTATGACAACATTTTTTTAATTTCCCTTAGATTTTGAGATATTTAGTGAAAGCTGGGTAATAGTCAAATCGACTTATACCGGTTTAGCACTTCACTACTGAAATAATGTCGGTACTTTAACCATTAACTACTTTAATCATTTGCAATCTTTCACCACTCTAAATAGGTAGGGGAGGATAGGGTAAAATGGACACTTTTGACTTTTTAAAAAATATTCATAACGCAGAAATAGATTTATCAATTGAGCTCAGTCTAAGCTCATCACAAAGAGGAATCATTGTTTTTCAATTGAAAAATAAAATTATTCCATTTCATGAACAATTCAACACATCATGAATATTTCAAAAAAAGTCAAGTGTCCGTTTTACCCCACCCACCCCTAGAGTCAAATTAAAAAAATTTTACGGCAATTCTATTTTCAATTTTAATTCAGGTAATATCAACGGCTTAATCGAGTGCATTCTACCCCCCTGAAATTAATAATTATTTCTTTCAATACCTTATTCTCATCCTCATCATTGCTAACAGGCACAGTAAGATCCAAATGATTCCCAACTTCCCTGAGTGCCGAATTCCTCTCACCCTCGACCTTTATCAAATCGTCATTATTGTTGACAATTGCATCATCAATCAAACCCCGAATGGCTTTTATCTGAGTCACAGTGAGAGCTTTCAGGTTATCCGAGGTGATGCCATCGAGATTCGAACTGAGATCCTCCGGCACTGTTGCGTCGTCGCCAACCGGCTCTTTTTTCTTCATCTTTTCACCGATTTCCTTGCTGCATACATTTTTGAGTTTATTCAAATTGTCGGCCCGGTGTCGCAGCTGCCTCCAGAATTTATCCTTCTCGATGACGGTCTCCACGAGTCCAACATCTTTGAACCGCTTCGTCTGATTCTCCCGGATTTTATTGGGATCGAAGCCCTTATCTTCGCGGAACAGGTCGAGATCGAGTACCATTTTGGTCGAGTGCAGGGATAACTATTTTTAATTGTTTTTTGTCGCACAACCTAATCAGTCTGACAGGACTTGAGGGAAACTGCGTGTTTCACCGCCACATGGAGTGACACGGAATCACGGAGATTGGTGACCTTGGGTGGAAGGAGTAGGGATGGCAATGTTTGTCGATTAATCGAAAACATCGATTTTTCATGCTCAGACATCGATGTTTTTCGTTCGATGTTTTCAACGGCCGATTAATCGATTTTCGATTCTTTCCTCCAAACATCGATGTTTTTTTGACCAAGCTAACAACATTTTTCATTTTTTTGTCGAAATAATAATGTTAATTGATTGAGAATATTCAATATATTGTCTTCAATTAATCAAAAAACCGCGTTTCGAGATTCAAAATTTAACTCTCTAGCAGTATTTATCATTGAAACGTAAGTTCCTTGGGTTGTAGTTTTTGAATATATATTTTTCATCACGCTGTGCGAAAAAGTAACTTTTTGGGCACGCTTCGCGTGCCTAAAACGTCCCTTTTCCACACATTGTGATGAAAAATATTGTTCGATACTCATGGGAAAAGTGTTTTTCGCACTCGTAACGAAATATACTATTTCAATAAAACCAAGAAGAAAAAAATTATTTAAAACAATAGTATATTTCGTAACGAGTGCAAAAAAGTGTTTTTTGGCGAGTGGGAGGTTTATATCACGACGAGCCGAAGGCCAGTGATATAATCCCACGAGCTAAAAAACATTTTTTCAATACTATTTAAAATATACTATTTCAATAAAACCAAGAAGAAAAAAATTATTTAAAACAATAGTATATTTCGTTACGAGTGCGAAAAACACTTTTCCCACGAGTATCGAACGATATTTTTCATCACAATGTGGCAGAAATTGGACTTTTAGGCACGCGGAGCGTGCCGAAAAGTTCACTTTTCGCCACAACGTGATGAAATAGTATATTTTAAATAGTATTGAAAAAATGTTTTTTAGCTCGTGGGATTATATCACTGGCCTTCGGCTCGTCGTGATATAAACCTCCCACTCGCCAAAAAACACTTTTTTGCACTCGTTACGAACAATATTTTTCATCACAATGTGGCGGAAATTGGACTTTTAGGCACGCGGAGCGTGCCGAAAAGTTCACTTTTTGTCACAGCGTGATGAAAATCATATTACAGCGCCACTTGCAAAACCGTACGCGCGCGTACATCTCTAGTATATTAAAATTTATGATTACGCCGATGTCGGTCTGAATCTCAGGAAGATAACGAAATTTTCGTAAGAATCTTTTTTCTAGAGCACATTGCGGGCTACAAAAAAGGTCTTGACAAAAATTTTCCCATCTCCCCTAGATTCCGAGATATTCATCGACAACAGGGCAATAGTCAAAAAAAACTTAAACCGTTTTACCGCCGCGCTACGAATTACAAATCACCTTCGAGTAGATAACCATCACGTGATAACCATCTGTCGCTGTGTGAGAGATAGCACGCACAGACCAAACATCAACAACATCGCAACTGATCCCAACACGTCAGCTGACTTCACTCCTTTCATATTAATAACACGTGAGTCTTTCAGGTTTCACGAGAGATCAGCATATTGTTTAGCAAGGTAAATGCAATCAGAAATACGATACGAGAAATACAATACTAGACTGACGTTGAACTGGATGGGGTAGAATTCCCCAAAAAATTTCTATTGAGAGTTTTTCCAGCCATCGTTTAAGGGGAGACGGAACCCCTTTGTCTACATCAAATCTAAGAATTATGTTTTCTCCTACAATTATCAATTTCTATCTGAAATTACCCTATCGACTCGATTATCGCATTGTTGAGTCAATGAAGTAGTTTAATGAATAAAAAATAATAATTGCAGGAGAAAACAATTCTAAAGATTCATATAAACCCAGGGGTTCCGTTTCGCCTTAAGGACACAAATAGAGATGCAAAATGACCGTTTTTAGATCGCGTCATATGACCAAAAAATTACGGTCTTGTAACGGTCATGTGACGCACAAATTTTCCAACTACAAATGATTGTCACAAATCATTTGTAACCAAATTGTTGTCAAACCATCTATATAGTTGCATAATGACGGTCATAACTAATTTTCAATTTGTGATGGTCATGAATAAAACAAAATAGTTTCATCTATATGGATGGAAAAAAATTGTGATTTCCATTTCAAAATGCGGATTAGGCCAATACAAAAGGAATTCAACTGAAAATTGACCGAGAAAAAAATAAGGTTTCATGTATATAGATGAAAAATGACTGTCATTTTTTCTTGACAAGTTGCGACGGTCACAGAAGGGCGAGGGGGAATGTGACAGCCGTCATGAACGCCTCGTCATGTGACCGTCAATGACGGTCACATGACCGTTATATGACGGGTCATGTGACGCATTTGCATCTCTAGACACAAAACACCCAAGAGCCCTGGATCACACGGGTTAAGAGGCAGGATTAATTGTTAGAACTTGAAAGCCTCCTAACATGAATAGGGGCGGGTGGGGTAAAATGGACACTTTAGACTTTTTTTTAAATTATTCATAAGTCAGAACCAAATTTATCAATTGAGCTCAGTTCAGGCTCGTCACAAAGAATTGAATCGTCACAGAATTGCTCTTTGTATTGAAAAAAAAAACTATTAAATTTTATCAACATTTCAACCCCCCATTAACATTTAAAAAAAAGTCAAAAGTGTCCGTTTTACCCCAACCTCCCCTATACATGATTGATGATTCGAACTGCAGTTGCGGGCACGAAAGTCAAGATATATTGATCACAGTCTGCGGCACTGTCCCACTCTGAACAATGAAAGGACAACACTCATTAGAGAATTGAAACCATTTAAAGTTCCACTTACGAACTCAATCACCCCCTCATTAGAAACAATAGAGCCAAAAATCCTTGAGGATATTCAAGTACTTTGGCTATTTTTTCTCCAGTGAACATCAGAGCTTTCATTCGAGCTCCATTTGACCCCAACTTTCCGATCATTTTTCAATGATTTTATTATTTAAACTTTGCAGGTCTGAATTTGAAACTCGATATTGAATCGTTAGAAAACATTCTAAAAATCTGAAAACAATTTCAAAGTTGACTTTTGGAGGAAGATTGATGAAATAATTAAAAAATTGCAATATTTGAAAATGACGAGCAGTTTCTGTAAAAAATTTATAAACAATTAATTTTCCACCAAAAAAATCAGTTGTTCGGAATCGTAACAAATTTATTTATGTTCCGAATATTACTAGAAATCCATTTCATGCCTAAAAAAGTAAGGTTTCCGAAAGTTTAAACAACGTATGTCTAAAAAAATAATTCTTTGCAAAATGTTATTTTAATGATGCTGAATACTGTAGCACGGGCGACAAAAATTAATAGAAAAACCTATTGAATTCGTTAAAAAATTCTATTGAATTTCTATTGAACTATTCTATTAGTTTTTGGCCGATTCTAGTGAAATGTTCAATAGAAAACATTCAATAGAAAAAGTCAACTGAATTCGATTTTTCTATATAACTTATTCTATTGAGATATTTTCTATAGAATTTCCTCGGCTCAAATTTTCTAAATTTTTTCGTTTGATTTTCTTGATGAAAAGAAAAGAAAAAAAAAGGATGAAAAAAACTTAGAAAATTTGAGTCGAACAAATTCTGTAGAAAATGTATGAAAAGAATAAGTTATATAGAAAAATCGAATTCAGTTGACTTTTTCTATTGAATGTTTTCTATTGAACATGTCAATAAAATCAGCCAAAAACTAATAGAGAGTTTAATAGAAATTCAATAGAATTTTCCAACGAATTCGATAGGTTTCTCGATTAAATTTTTTCGTGCGTGAGGGTAGGGTCTGTCCCAAACTGTAAAAGGTACTTTGATATCCTTAAAATGCCCCACAAATTTATCTTAAATAGTTGACTAAATATCTTAAACCAATGATTGTAAGAAGTTTAAATATTCAGATTAAATTAGAACATTACTGATAGTGTAAATAAATCTTGTAGGTTCATGAATGAAAAAATTTAATAGAAAACCTCGCGAATTCGCTAGAAAATTCGCGAATTCTATTGGAATTCTATGGGATTTCGATAGGATTTCTACTGGACAATTTTATTTGTTTTTTGCGTTAATTTTATTGGATATTCGCTAAGAAAAAGTCAATAGATTTCGAATTTCTGTTTGAAATTTTCTCTTGAGATTTTTTCTAGAAGAATGCTTGAGCATCAATTTTCTATTTTTTTTAGCCTCGCATTCTGTAATGCAGAACAAAACACAATTCAGTGGGAAAACCATAGAAAATTTGTGCCCAATAATTTCTAATAGAAAAAATCTCAAGAGAAAAATTCGAACAGAAATTCGAAATCTATTGAGGTTCTCTTATCGAATATCTGATAGAATCAGCGCAAAAAACAAATAGAATTTTTCAATAGAAATCCTATACGAACCCCCATAAAATTCCTATAGAATTCCAATAGAATTTTGTAGCGAATTCGCTGTTTTCTATTAAATTATTTCATACGTGTTTGCGCACTTTAAGCAATGAAAAATACAATCAGGATGAATGTGACTCATAAACAAAATGGAGAAACAAGTATTCAAAACTTGAAATTCTTCCGAATGTTTTGATTCAGATGGGTGAAACTGAGGGATTGTCCAACACCGAAGCTAGGGATCTTTGCCTCGAACCCGAACCTGCCACAAGTCAATTCATAATGCAGCAGACAATGTACAGAATAAAAGATCCCAGGAAATCATTGCCATTTTACACTAAAGTCCTGGGTATGAGATTGCTCCAGAAGTTAGATTTTCCAGAAATGAAATTCTCGTTGTATTTTATGGGATATGAGGAGGCTAAGGACATCCCAACGGACAGGAAGGAGTGTTTAGAGTGGACGTTCACTAGAAAAGCAACGATTGAGTTGACACAGTGAGTTTTCTGCTTTCATAATTATTGTTCATGGGGTACGACAGAAAAAATTGTAAATTTTGCAGAGCAAAGTGAGATCTATAAATACTACACGCATGAAATAATTTAATAGAAGAACTAGCGCTTTCTTTAAGAAATTCTACTGGATTTCTATTTGAAATTTTAGTAGAATTTTCATTTCATTTTTATAGATTATTCAACTTTACCGTGTCATTTTGTCAAGAGATATTTGATTGACAATAAGTCAATAGCTTTTGATTTTTCTACAAAAGTTCATGGGTGTAAGTGTTCATTTGTTTCTCATAATAAAATCCAAGAAGAAATACTTCGAAAAATTATGCGCAAGAATTCTTACAGAAAAAGTCCCAACAGAATAAGTTGTATAAAAAAATTAAGATATCGATTTTTCTATAAACAAATGTTTATTTAAACATACTAGGGGACGTTGCATAATTTGTAATAGAATTGCCGCGAAAAAATAAATAATATATTTTGATAGAATTCCAATAGAACTATTATGGAGTTCCAATAGAATAGAATTCCAATAGAATTTCTTAGCGAAAGCGTCAACTATTTCTATTGAATTTGTTCATACCTATTTCTAGATCTCACTTTGTTCTGTAAAACAATCTCTCCATAAAAAATTCATTAGATTTCACATTGATTTCGTAAAAATTAAGTTTAAATTAAATTTAAACTTAAATTAAATTTATATTGAACTGACATCACCATTTTCATTTCTTTTTTTTTTCTTTTCTCACGTCTAATTACCATCAGCATTGAATCACATGTCCACAGCTCCTGATAGAGATAATTTGATACTATACAAAAGAAGTTTATTCTAGGCTGAAAGCCCTCGGGCAACGGCCATTTGTAAGAATATATGTTTCTTGCAATAAATAACGTTAAACGTTAAAGTAGTTAATTTCATATTTGATTCTCAGTAACTGGGGGAGCGAGACTGACCCAGATGTTAAATACCACAATGGCAACAGTGACCCGAGAGGATTTGGTATGAACACGTCACAAGTTTGACACAAAAAAAATCAACATTTTTGCTTCCGAATGGAAACAAAATTGTTTCTGATCAATTATGATTCACTTTCGAGTATATACTTTCATTGAAGGTCATATTGGCCTGTGTGTGCCTGATGTGGATGCGGCCTGCAAGAGATTCGAAGAACTAGGAGTTGAATTCGTGAAGAAACCACAGGATGGGAAAATGAAGGGAATTGCATTCATAAAGGATCCGGATGGCTACTGGATTGAGATCTTCAGCAAAAATACTGTAACCAGCGTCATCATGGGATCTTAGCTTTACAGCTGTTCAAATGTATTACACAATGCCTTTACTGTATTAAAAAATGATATTCAAATCAGTATGCAACTATGTTGAATCAATAGCAGGATTAATTATGAAAATGTCACTATTGTTTCTTGGGCTTCACTTGTTGATCTTTTCAAACACCCATCAAACAATTTAACAGAAAAACCTAGGGAATTCGTTAGATAATTCTCTTGGATTTCTACTGAACTTTCTACTACTTTTTGACCGATTCTATGGAAATGTTCTATACAAAGTATTCTATAGAAAAAGTCAGTAGAATTTGATTTTTTGAGGCAACTTATTCTGTTGAGATGTTTTCTACAGAATTTCCTCGGCTCAAATTTTCCAAGTTTTTACATTGTTTTTCTTTCCTTTTCATTAAGAAAATTAAACAAAAAAACATGGAAAATTTGAGCTGAGGACATTCTACTGAAAATATCTTAAGGACTACTTTGGTTTTTTTTCTCCGTGAAATGCTTTTCTATCGAAATTCTTCAGCCCTAATTACACAAATTTTATTGTTTAGTGAAAATGGACAAACAATACGGTGAAAAAACCTTCAAAAATTGTATTTAGGGATTTCCATAGACAATATCTAAGTAAAACGAGTGGTATAGAAGAATCAAATTTTATTAATTTTTTTTTCTATAAAAGAGTTCCTATCCCTCCTTTACGAACGCATCAAAATCGAACCCGTCCACGATAGATTAAAACAATTAACATCCAATTTTGCAAGAAATAAACTGGACCATATTTTCGACCTTTGTCACAAGCGCAACTCCAACACTAGTTCTCGGTTTAAATATCCGACCCTCACCCTCCTCGAAAATCTACAATCCATCCGTAGAGATCAATCTGATGATAACACCTGGGGAGAAGAAGTGTCGGAATAAATAAACAAGTACTCTATATATATCTTCATTCATTCACCCGAACCAATCAATGTATCATCTTCACCTCATTATACTCTATTTACACCAACAAATTATTACGGTATATTATGTACTTATAAAAACACTTGGCTGAAGGCCCTTGGGCGATGGCCTATTGTAAGAAATTTTTTTTTGTTTGTAATTTTCTTGCAATAAATTCCGTTAAAAATTAAAAAAAAATTAGTTCGTATTAAGGGGGGAAAACCCTTTACCAATGGCAAAAAATCGATTTTTTTCTCTTGAGATTATACTGGAAAGAGGAAAAATCAAAATATCAAGTATTTACAGAGTTATAGCACATAGACGCGGGCGCCGGCCTGTAAGGTACCTGGAGCGCTTGGGGAGGAGCAACCTTTCTTCTACAATACCTTTATATAATTCTTTTGTTCCATTAGTTTTGGCAGAGCATTGACTGCATTCAAAGCGATAGAATGCTAATGAAAGCTTTAACGCGACAGTTTGGCGATTATCTCCAAAGCACCTACATTCTGGGCCGAAAATTATTGAAATCTCCGCCTACATTGCTGCTGGGATATTTAATGAAGGATATAACTACATTCTGAGAATTATGAATGAGGTAAATATGATTGTTGGTACCTACTCTTTATCTGTCTGAGACAAAAACAGCTCGTATTGCCCGAATATTTTTTTTCTGTACTCAAGTGACAGTTGCAGTCAAATTTCAAGGAAGTCCATTAAAAAAATTCATAACTTTTCTCTGCATTTCTTTCAACACAAAACGTTTAATTTCTCATACAACTTATCCTACTGATAAATTTTCCATCGAAATCCCACGGCTCCAATTACCCAAATTTTATTGTTTACTGAAAATGGAAAAACAATAGAATGAAAAAACCTTGGAAAAATTATATTGAAGGATTTCCACAGAAAATATCTAATAAATAAAACAAGTCGTGTAAAAACATCAAATTCAATTAATTTTTTTCCTAAAAATAGTTTCTATCGACCATTTTATCTCAAAATCTTCTCGTCCGTGCAATTAACATTTTTCCTTATTATTTTCGTCTGTACCCAAGCGACATTTGCGCTAAACTTTCAAGGAAGTCCATTTAAAAAATCCATAATTTTTCTGTACATTTCTTTCAACAGAAAAATTTTAATTTCTCATACAACTTATCCTACTGACCAATTTTCCATCGAAATCCCTCGGCCCCAATTACTAAAATTTTATTGTTTACTGGAAATAGACAAATAGAGTGAAAAAACCTTGGAAAAATTATATTGAGGGATTTCCACAGAAAATATCTAATAAATAAAACGAGTCGTATAAAAAAATCAAATTCAATTAATTTTTTCCTAGAAAAAAGTTTCTATCGACCATTTCATCCGAAAAAATCTTCCCGCCCATGCAACTAAACCCGAAAAAACTTCGAAAAATCCAAAACGACGAGAATATTTTCGCGCTACATTCGAGAACATTTGAGTTCACTCCGGGCCCGCAAAAGTCAGTGGCGCTGACGTTCCCCTAACCTTCCAACGGGTGTTGCGTGGGAATGTGTTGCGTCAATTTTTTAAGCCCCAGAGACCGATCCCAACGTAAAAAATCGGCACTCCATAAACAAAACAACAGTGAAACCCAGCGAAGTGATAATTGTCGACACAGTGAATAGTTTTCCTCCCCCAGTGTCTTGTTCCGTTCTGTTCGGGTTCTGTGCCCTGCTTCCTAGAAAATTCATACCGACAGGGTTCTCAGTTCCGTCGCCAGTTGAGTCCGATGACTCTGACGACGCGCCTCGAGCGAGCAACCCTAACCCGCAACCATGTCACTGAGTGTTTGACAGAGCAATTTGTTTTTAATCGTGCTGTGTTTATCATCAATTCCGAGGTTTAATCGTGCCCCTCGAATGGTCATTGACCATTCAGAAAAAAATTCAGATTGTTTTATTCGTAGTGTAGGTGAATAATTCAAGTTATACCAAAATGTGGTCATCACAGAGTGGTAATAACAATACAACAACAACAAATTCATCAGCGTCAGCTCAAAATTTACGAACACTGGGTATGACATCGGCAATTAGTGTTGCTGAACCAAAACCCAGTGATTTGACGAGAACAAATGAGCTCAGGGAGGCATTGAAACCGTACAATGTGTTCGAATCAGAGGAGGAGTTGAATCACAGAATGGAAATACTTAGGTAATTGTTGAGATGGAAATTTGGGAACATGGGAAACAAACAAGCGAAATATTGGGGCTCTTGGAATAACCTGGGACTTTGTTTTACAGTAAATTGAATGCCCTGGTGAAACAGTGGATCAAGGACACGTCTATCGCTAGAAATATGCCACCAAATGTTGCTGAAAATGTTGGTGGAAAAATTTACACATTTGGGTCCTACAGGTTAGGAGTACATCACAAAGGGGCTGATATCGATGCACTGTGCGTTGTGCCCAGGCATATATACAGAACAGATTATTTCTCGTCTTTTTTTGAATTACTTAAGAAGCAGCCAGAGGTCAGCGACTTGAGGGTAAGTCAATTTTTTAATTTTATGGGTCAATGGCTGTTGGTTGGGTTGTGGGTTCCAAGGACGTGATTGTCTTTGGAATAGGGTGAACAGGACAATTGCTGGATGGTTAAGGGAAATTTGAGTTTCGTGGTAGAATCTAAAATTGAAGAATTACATGATGGGGATATGATGGCTTCCATACCTTCGACAACGTTTTAATTAGCAGAAAAAAATTATTTGACGTGAAATTAACAAAACAAAGAATAATTAAATTAAGAAACAGTTGAATACAGTCGAAACCCCTAATTTCTGAACAATTGGGCCTTTTTTTTTATTTATCAAATGTCGATATTATAGAAAAAATGATTGATCACATGATTATACATGAGTAATACAATTTTCATTTTATTTATGGGATATTCAATACGAGTTGAAATCGTCCGGAAATTGACCTGTTTACCGTACATGAAGAAATCTGGGATTTTTATTGTATGGGGTGAACAGGCCAATTGCCGGACGCTTAATGGGAATTCGAGTTTCGTGGTAGGATCTAAAATAAAAGAATCACCTAAATGGGGATATGATGGCTTCCATACCTTCAACATTGTTTTAATTAGCAAAAAAAAATTATTTGAAGTGAAAATAACAAAACAAAGAATAATTGAATTAAGAAATAGTTGAATGCAGCCGGAACCCCTAATTTCTGGACAACTGGGCCATTTTTTTTATTTATTAAATGTCGATATTATAGAAGAAATTATTGATCACATGATTATACATGAGTAATATTATCAAAAGGTGAAATAATCAGTACAATTTTCATTTTATTTATGGGATAGTCAATACGAGTTGAAATCGTCCGGAAATTGACCTGTTTACCGTACATGGAGAAATCTGGGATTTTTATTTTATGGGGTGAACAGGCCAATTGCCGGACGCTTAATGGGAATTCGAGTTTCGTGGTAGGATCTAAAATAAAAGAATCACCTAAATGGGGATATGATGGCTTCCATACCTTCAACATTGTTTTAATTAGCAAAAAAAAATTATTTGAAGTGAAAATAACAAAACAAAGAATAATTGAATTAAGAAATAGTTGAATGCAGCCGGAACCCCTAATTTNTATTAAATGTCGATATTATAGAAAAAATAATTGATCAAATGATTATACATGAGTAATATTATTGAAAGGTGAAATAATCAGTACAATTTTCATTTTATTTATGGGATATTCAATACGAGTTGAAATCGTCCGGAAATTGACCTGTTTACCGTACATGGAGAAATCTGGGATTTTTATTTTATGGGGTGAACAGGCCAATTGCCGGACGCTTAATGGGAATTCGAGTTTCGTGGTAGGATCTAAAATAAAAGAATCACCTAAATGGGGATATGATGGCTTCCATACCTTCAACATTGTTTTAATTAGCAAAAAAAAATTATTTGATGTGAAAATAACAAAACAAAGAATAATTGAATTAAGAAATAGTTGAATGGAGCCGGAACCCCTAATTTATGGACAACTGGGCCATTTTTTTTATTTATTAAATGTCGATATTATAGAAAAAATAATTGATCAAATGATTATACATGAGTAATATTATTGAAAGGTGAAATAATCAGTACAATTTTAATTTTATTTATGGGATATTCAATACGAGTTGAAATCGTCCGGAAATTGACCTGTTTACCGTACATGGAGAAATCTGGGATTTTTATTTTATGGGGTGAACAGGCCAATTGCCGGACGCTTAATGGGAATTCGAGTTTCGTGGTAGGATCTAAAATAAAAGAATCACCTAAATGGGGATATGATGGCTTCCATACCTTCAACATTGTTTTAATTAGCAAAAAAAAATTATTTGAAGTGAAAATAACAAAACAAAGAATAATTGAATTAAGAAATAGTTGAATGGAGCCGGAACCCCTAATTTATGGACAACTGGGCCATTTTTTTTATTTATTAAATGTCGATATTATAGGAAAAATAATTGATCACATGATTATACATGAGTAATATTATTAAAAGGTGAAATAATCAGTACAATTTTCATTTTATTTATGGGATATTCAATACGAGTTGAAATCGTCCGGAAATTGACCTGTTTACCGTACATGGAGAAATCTGGGATTTTTATTCTATGGAGTGAACAGGTCAATTGCTAGACGATTAAGAGAAATTTGAGTTTTGTGGTAGAATCTAAAATTGAAGAATTACATGATGGGGATATGATGGCTTCCATACCTTCGACAACGTTTTAATTAGCAGAAAAAAAATATTTGAAGTGAAAATAACAAAACAAAGAATAATTAAATTAAGAAATTGTTGAATGGTCAAAATAGGAGTCGTGGGGGTCAGACTGGGGGTTAGTGAGCGGATCGAGCAGGGGGCGTAGTCCTTCAGTAAATTATAAAAATCTCAATTTTTCAAAGAAGGTCAAACATTCCATCTATTTTTTTTCTGTATAATATGAACACTTAAACATACCCAAGAATGTGTGTGGGGGGGGGCGAAGGCCCTTAATTCATGAATAATCGACTTTTCATCCTAAGTAATTTTTCTCAAATTTCTCAATTTTTTTATGCCTATGAGGAATATATTTATTTATTGTTAACGGAATTTGTTGCAAGTTCCAAGAGACTTGCAACTGGGTATCGCCCGGGGGCCTTCAGCCGAGTATTTACATTTTATGTACCTAATAATCCATAAAATACATAAAGAAAGAGTCTGTTTGTGTGTTCATTTTGCTGGCTGAGCATCGAGAAATTGAAGATAGTTTTTACAAGATTGAGCGCATGATGAGATGGTAGAGTATAAAGCGATGATATGAAGAGTGAGGAGTTGAAAAATTTCACCGTTCATTGTTGGAGGTGAACAATGAGGAATACATTTTTAATTCTACTATTTATTCTTCAAGTGACGTAGATACATGAAATGTCGTGGTACAATAGCAATTATGTGTATACGCATTCTAAGTAGTATTCCTGATGTATCTTCATTGATTGATGTCGCTAATTGATTCATTGCAGGCAGTGGAGGAAGCTTTTGTGCCAGTCATAAAGATGAATTTCGATGGCATTGAAATTGACATGTTATTTGCCAAATTGGCACTAAAAGAAATTCCTGATTCGATGGTAAGTAACTCAAATAATGCATGAGAAAACCAAATACGAAAATGTGGAATGCAGAATTTTTCAACCATGTTTTTATTCTCCAGGATTTGCGGGACGATATGTTGTTGAAGAATTTGGATCAGAAGTGTGTGAGGAGTCTCAATGGATGTCGAGTCACAGATGAAATACTAAGACTTGTTCCTAACATAGAGAACTTCAGACTTGCACTGAGAGCTATCAAGTTATGGGCGAAGCGTAAGATTTGTCTCCACTTTGATTTACAAAAACTCATCACGTGTGAAAAATTTTAATAGGAAAACCTGGCGCTTTCTTGAAGAAATTCATTTGAATTTTTATTGGAATTCTAAGAAGTCTAATGGAGTTCTGGTGAAATGCTATCAAATATTTCTATTTGTTTTTTTTTCGACAATCGTATTCGAGATTATGCAACCGTGTCTTCTTTGGGCATTTCTTGGGCATAAATTTTGCCTCATTAATACGCTCTATTTTCATTGGTTTCTCGTAATGAAATTTTAAAAAATAGAAAATTCGTGTCCGAGAATTCTTATCAAAAAATCAACATATATAGACTTTTGGTTTGTAAACAAAAATCATTCCACTGAATTTCTATTGGAATTCCATTAACCTTTCGCTGGTCGCGGTAGCTCACCTGACGTCTGTCGTCGCGCCGTACGTGGTTTCAGCGATACAGCGTTGCCACCGGCAATATCTTTTCCATCGGGCCCTCGAACGTCAAAACACTCGTTCACGTTGGACTTTTTATGACGTTTTATGAGTTAAAATTCGTGGATTTTTTTCATTGTTATTTGAACTCTTTTCACACAATCAATAATACATTTCTTATTCTATTTTGAATTTCTCACCAACTTGAATCTTTAATCAATCATCACCAACGACTGAAACTTCAAAATAAGCTGATATTCATCTATTTTTTTATTCCTACTGTTTATTAATTTTTGGTTCTTTACGTGAATTATTCCATTCAGCAGCCATCAACACTGGCAACCTAGAAACCATTTTATATCTATTTTTTGTTTTTTTTTTTTTTTTTTCCCATTTTTTCCCTTGTACTGACGACAAAATTAACTCATGCTATAGTATTTTATTTAATTTTTTTCGTTTTTTTCGTCTTCAGGATTAGATTAAGTTAATTCGATCCGTTCTTATTCTTGGTATATAGGTATATTTTTGGCAACTGTAAAACTACACCTTTTACGATCCTACCGACAAATAACCCCATCAAATATCTTTTCTAATAATGAAAGAATACCCATCAATTCGATTTCTGTCCGTGAGTTTTGATAGAATAATGAATGTAGTGAACGGCATTGAATAGCAAAAATCACCAATTGGAGACTGCAAATTAAAAAAAATGATAATCCGCTAGAAAATGGACAAATTTGTTTTTTTCTTCAAATATGGGAAGGACATCAAATATTTTCAAGTTTTATGATCTCATTTTAACGAGAAGATATGAAAAATTGCAAAATAACGTGGGCGGGAAGAGATAAAAAATTTCATTTTTCAATGTCTCCGGACAGTTCTAAAATTGATATATTTTTTCGAATAATGACAATGTCACACTGCTTTTTTCAAGTACCGCAAGTATTTGATGGAAAATTTCGGTAAATTTTTTTCAATTTCTTCTCTACGGAAAGAAGTAGGCAAGAAACAATGAAATTTTCATTTTTCTATCACATTCAGTTGTTAATCAACATCAGTAATTGAGTAATTTATATTTCCATACGATTGTTTTTGCAGAAGTTCATATCTAATCCATAAAAATTTTCTTTGAAAAATAGCGAAAATTGTAGGATTAGTAAGTTTTCTATGAGTCGAAAAAATCGAAAAATGGGATTAAAATAAAATGATTCGATGGCTATTTTCGTCACAGAAAGCTTAACCATTAATCTACGATTACAAAAAATCTGGAAAATGATTTTCAGAACAGACCAATGTAGGAAGAGAAGATTACACTTTTTTTAACTAACAAGGAATTGAAAAAAAAATCGTCGAAATTTTTCATCAAATATTTCTGCTAATTGAAAAAAGTGGCGTGATCCCCCCTTAAGTCCTACTAGAATTTCTTATAGGAAACGTTAGGTTCTTCTGTTAAATTTTCTAATACGTGGTCGACTCTTCCATAGGAATTCTCACAGAGATTTTCTTTTGTATTTACAGGGCACGGAATTTACAGCAACGTTTTGGGTTATCTCGGTGGTGTATCGTGGGCAATGCTTGTTGCGAGAACGTGTCAATTGTATCCAAATGCAGTTGCTGCTACATTAATTGAAAAGTTTTTTCTCGTATTTTCACAGTGGAAGTGGCCTCAGCCGGTTTTGCTTAAGCAGCCTGATACTGTTAATCTAGGTTTTCCAGTTTGGGATCCAAGGGTGAGTTCTACCGGTCTTTATGTTGCATCAAACTACTGCATGCAGAATTAATGGGACAAAGTGGGAGGAAGGCAGTTTAATTGCGGATGGTACAAGATATAAAGAATACCCGAGCAGATATTTTTTTATTTTTCTGATTGTCAAAGCATTATCTAACCACCTCCTTAAGGCCCGGGTGTACTGTCTTTCGAACGTCATCTCGATGTTTTTTTCATCTTTCGTCATCTGAAATTGTCAATCAAGTCCTGCATCATACAGAAGTTTTGAAAAATTATGAATGAATAATCAAAAAAAGTAGAAAAAATTCTTAACTTTTTCAAAGAGCATTTTTAATTTATATTCAGAATAAGTTAAATAACAAGAAATTGAAAAATGTATTTGATTTACGGTGACAAATGGCGGCCTGTCACCCAATATCATGCAGGGGGAGGACTGATTTCGTAAATCTTTTCCCCACACTGCACAGAGACATTTATTACGGAAAAGGCTCTTTGAAAAAAGTTGTAATATTTTGGAGATTTTTTTAATCGCACTTATCACACAAGAATGGCAGATGACTACATACCACTGTTTTGAAAATTGAGATACCAAGCTGTCACTTCCCATGAGTAGTTAGTGTTTTATTATCCACCATAGAAAATGAAAGCTAATAGATAATTTGCCACAGCGAATCAGATATTTGTAATTTCCACTTTTTTCAACTCATTCTGAATCTCAATTAAAAACGCTCTTTGAAAAGGTTCAGAATTTTTTCTATTTTTCTTATCATTCTATCATAATTTTTGGGAATTTCTACATGGTGTACCACTCAATTGACAATTTTGGATTACGAAAGATAAAAAAAATCCAGATAACATTCGAAAGATAGTACACCCGGGCCTTAAATTACATTTATTCATCTTTAAAAATTTATATGCTTTCATTCTATGCATTTATTCCACTTTTTATTTAAATATTCATTGATCGATGCATATGAAAGTGAAAAAGTTGACAACAATTACACTTATGATCATCTAATACGAATATCGCAATTCATCTTTATACTTAATATATACGCGAATTAATTCCCAAATGCATGAAACAGTGATTGATTGATCAGTAGTCAATTACTTTCTGATTTCTTCATTTTATTACTTTTCACATTGATTATTTTAATGATGACTTAAGGCCCGGGTGGATTATTCTTCGAACGTTATCTCGATTGTCTTTCCATCTTCATAATATAAAATATATCACAATTTCATTGAATTTTACACCACGCAGGAGTCCTTAAGAATTATGACTGTACATTCAAAAAAAGTAGAAAAAAACTGAACATTTTCAAATCGCGTTTTTAATGAAGATTAAGAGATAAGTCCGACAGAAACGAAATAGTGAATGGATAATTTATCACGGTAACTAACGATCTGCCAGCCATTAGATACATCAAATTACGAATTTGCAATGTCCTCCCTATTGGATTTATTTCCCAATATTATTCAAAAACGCTCTTTGAACATGTTCAGCTTTTTTTCAAAGTTGTTTTCATTGAACAATCGTAATTTTTGGAGACTCCAGAGCTATGTAAAACTTAATAGCAATTGGAGATCATTTCAAATTATCAAAGTAAAAAAAAACAACCAAGATCACGTTCCAAACATAATCCCCGCGGGCCTTAAATAAGTTTCTCAATCGATTGAATATTTAATCGTGTTAATACTCTCCGAATTACACATATTACTTGGCATCAATTTAAATTGATGTCACCGCATTTATTCATCTCTAAAAGTTTATACACTTTCATTCTATCCATAGATTCCACTCATCATTTACATATTCATTAATCGATAAATGTCAAAATGAAAGAACTAACAATAATTATTACGACAATGATCATCTAATACAAATATTGTAGCACCGGATTTTCTCGTCTGAGATTTACTAGACCCATTTCTCCAGGAAAAAAAATACATTTCCTCGCACAATTAAATCACGAATGAATGAAATTGAAAAAATATAGGTGAACGTTTCGGATCGGTATCATCTAATGCCGATAATAACTCCTGCATATCCCCAACAAAATTCCACATTCAACGTATCAGCGTCGACGAGAACGATAATGCAGGAGGCTTTTGAGCACGGTTTATCATTGACTGAAGAGATCATCATGGGCAAAGCAACGTGGGACAAATTATTCGAGCCACCCAACTTCTTTTGTAAATACAAACACTATATTGTACTGCTGGCTAGTAGCTCGTCAGCTGAGGATCAGCTTGAGTGGTGTGGTCTTGTCGAATCGAAAATACGACATTTGATAGGTATGTACGATTTGAGATAAAAATTGACAGAAATTTATGGATATCCAAGTACTCTGGTTATTTTTTTCTCCAGTGAAATGCTTTTCTACTTTTATAGCCGAACATCAGAGCTTTCATTTGAGCCCCGTTTAACCCTACGTTTCCGGAGATTTGACAATGATTTGGTCTGAATTTGAAACTCGATATTGAACCGTTGGAAAGCGTTTTAAAAATCTGAAAAAAAATTAGAGAGTTTATTTTTGGAGGAAGATTGATGAAATAGATTTTTTTAAATTGCATTTTTTAGAAATGACGAGCATTTTCTATAAATAATTTATAAACAATCAATTTTCCACCATAACAATCATTTGTTCGGAATCGTAACAAATTTATTCATATTCAGAATTTTACCACGAATCGATTTAATGCCTAAAAAATGAGGTTTCCGAAAGTTTAAACAATTTCAATTATTTATTTGTAAATAACTAATGTTTACAAAATTGTCATTCGATGCAAAATGTAATTTGAACGACGCTGAATATTCATAATTTTTTTCAAATTTTTCTCACGCAAGTTAATTGACAAATTTGATGATTGAAAATAGTTGCATCTATAGTGTGGTCTGTACCAAATTGTAACAGATACTTGGATATCCTTAAAAAGACATTTAATTGATGAACTTAGAGCTCTCCAAGAAATTCAATTAAAAATTATGCGCCAAAACAGTCAATAGTTTTTTATTTTTCATTTGTTTTCATAATAAAATCCAAGGAAAGAAAATTAGAAAATTTCTTCTCAAAAATTTTCAAGTAAAAAATCCCAACAGCATGAATTACCATAGAAAAATCAATATCTACAGAATTTTTTTATAGAAAAACATGTATCGAAAACAGATAGAATTTTTCAAACGAATTTTATAAGAACTCCAATAGAATTCTCACAGAGTCCCACTTGAAATTTGATATAATTCCTTAGAGATAGCGTTAGGTTTTTCAATTAAATTTTTTTATACACGAATTTATTCACACATGCATGAGTTTATGATAAATTAATTGACGACCCGATTAATTATTCATTGATCAGTAGTCTGTCAATTCTGATTTCTTATTTATTTTATTAATTTATATTATTTACTTTATTTCATTACTTTCTTTTTTATTATTTCAATAATCACTCAAATATTTAATCTTGAAAAAAGGAACATTGGAGAGAAATCCACACATCAATCTTGCACACGTGAATCCCGAAGGGCACGCTCCAGTTAATCCTGAGCAAGGGCGTAATTGTTCGATGTGGTTTATTGGTCTGTCATTTGCCAAGAGTGAAAATCTCAATATTGATCTCACCTATGATATCAAAACTTTCGTTGAAACAAGTAAGTCCAGAATTTTCACTAGCATGGGGATGTATCCGATGTTGTTTGAAGCAATACTCACCCGGATTTTGTTTGTATAGTTGAAAGACAAGCCGAACAAATTAGTATGTTGAAGGAGGGCATGTGGATTGAGGCAAAACACGTGAAGAGGAAGGATTTACATCTCTATGTATCACCTAAATTACTTAAGCGTGAGAGAAAGGTAAGGTTTTTTTTATAGATATGGCTTATGAGACCTATACAATTATTTAAAAAAATCAATCGAAAAATCTAGCGTTTTTCTAAGAAATTCGATTGAATTTTTATTGAAAATTCTATTGTAATTCTATTAAAATTGCATTCAATAATTATATTTCTTTGGTTAAAAGTAATCACGGCTTGGCATAAATAATGGTGGCTTTTTTCACCAATTTTGGTGAAGTTTATTCAACTTTATTCAGTCATTTTCAAGAGATAAATATTTGACTTTGAGAAAAATCAATTAATTTTAATTCTTGTATTGAAATTCCTGGACATAAATTTTTCAATACACAATGTTTCTTGCTGTATTTTAATTCGTTTGTCATGAGAAAATTCAAGAAAACTTGGAAAATTCATACTCAAGAGTTTTTAAAGAAAAAATTCCAAGAGAATAAGATATCTAGAAAAATTAGAATCTGTAAACTTTTTTCGATAAAAAAAAGTAAATTGCAAACAGTAAAGTTGGATAATTTTCAACAGAATTCTAATAAAAGTCCTCTATGTCCAATATAAATTCAATAAAGATTCTTACACATAACACTGGATTTTTCTACTAAATTTTATCATAAGTACGCAGAAACTATTTCCTGAGGGATGTTCCATGTCTCCTTTTAGATTCTAGATTCACTTCTGATAATTAAGAATAACAATTGTAATTCTTGCTCTCTCATTAATCATACTCTTTTCCTTTCCTCAGGTTTCAGGGGGTGGACATCGTAATGGAAACCTGGCAGCTGTGGAGAAAGCAGGTGGGCTTGCTGCAAAGAGTCAAACAGAGAGTATAACCACAAAACGTCTCTCAGACCAGGGCACCGACGGTGGTGGAAAGAAACGAAAGACACAGGAGAGTGAACAACCGATCAAACAGGTAAGAAGACACTACTTCCCCCAAATAACTCATGATAATGCAGTAGTGAAGCGTTAAACCGAGTTAAGTCGATTTTGACTTTTGGTCAATTTTTGATGAATATCTCGGAATCTAATAGAGATAGCAAAATTTTCCTCATGACCTTTTTCATAGCCCTTGATTGACTCTACAAAAAAGGTCATGACAAAAATTTTTGTATCTCATTTAGATTCTGAGATATTCGTCAAAAACTGGCCAATAGTCAAAAACGACTTGACTCGGTCTACCGCTTCGTTACTGAATGATGATTATGATGATGGTGATTGTTCTTTTTTCCTCCAGACAGAGAATGGCACGTTTCCAGGAGAACCTTGTGGTGAAGACAGTAACTCCAGGTTCAGCCTCGACGAATACAAACAGAATTTGGCACCTAGCAAGGACGTAAGATTTAAAAATTCTTCATAATATTCTATGATCATAAACTTAAAAGTTATCACGTATTTCATGGAGAAAATTAATCAATGGAGAGAATGGAGACGTTTTAAGAGAGTGAGGTAAAATGCTAAACAGCTTTCAGTGGACGTCACTAGTTCCAACGAGTGATGAAATAATACTTTATTATTATCTGTTATTATTATTCCGCCTATTTAGTGCCGACGAGGTGATTCAGAACAACTTGAGACCTTTACTTTTGATGAATATTGCCTATGCTGAGGGAGATTGGTTCTGAAAGAATGAGAAAACGTAGTATTTTCTGTTAGGAATTCTATTTAATCTCTATTGCAATTCTACAAGAATTATCTTGGGACTGTATCAGTATTCTATTGAAAATTGCGCAACTTTTCCGAAAGAATTTTGTTTTTCTGTAAGAATTTTGGACGTGAAATTTCTGAGTTTGTTTTTTACTTTGTTGCGAGAAATGAAAAAAATGGGAAAGTTTATGGTCAAGAATTTCTATAGAAAAAAAAAATCAAGAGAACGATGCATGTAGAAAAATCGGTCTAGTGACTTTGTTAAAATCAAATATCTTCATAAATTCTACGGCAAAACTGCATTATTCTAATAGAAATTCAACCATTCTATGAAAAATTATAGAAATGGGTAAATTCTATTGAATTTTCAGTACAATTTGAAATTCCGTAATTTTTTTGTCCCTAAATAAAATCCAATGGCAATTCAATTTCTTATTCTCTAGATCAATATATTGATAAAAATTTAGTTTCCAAGATATTTACTGAAAACTGAAGTCCCCAATGACTGCACTGAAAGAAAAACAAACACATTGTCAAACAAGTCTTGTTTGTGCCAACAAAATCGCTAGTTGAAAATTGCCAAAAACGAATTTGTTTGATTCGAATTTGAAAGTCTCAAACATGAATAATTGTTCTGCTTTCGACAGCAACGAAATATTTGGCTCAAGAGGCAGATAATTCACACCAGACGGTGTCGTTTCAGGATGAAAATATCTCATATACTGGAAAATTCATCAACAAATATTTTATCCCTAAGTTACAAGATTGCTATCACATCATTATTATTGTTCCATTTAAGGGTTCATTTCTTGTCTGTGATTATTAGACAGCCGAAACGAAAAACTACTATCCCTTGTTCCGCATAAATCAAAGATTTTTTGGGAGCAACATACGTATGGGACTATCGAATAACGAAGGAACAGCGCTAGAAATGAAATTTCTTGCGTGTACAGAAAATGCAATTTTTTTTCAACTACTAAATCTATTTTTGCGACAAAAATTTTTCATTCCGGGGCACTCTCTGCATGTTTGGCACAAGTAAGACTTGTTTGAGAACTTTGCCGTTTTTCTCTCAGTGTGGAATGACTCATCTGGTCTTACAAATTATTTACTGAATTCTTAACGGTATACTTTTCGATACGTCAATGAAATATTTCAGGAAACATCAACCGGTAGTTCAACAGTCCCCCAGGAGGTATGCACTTGACGGAATTACGACTGTCACATAAGAATACACAAGTCGATGGATTCACGTTCAGGTTACTTAGAGTATAAGCCACTCTCAAACCATTATCCACTGCCCACTGATCGAGAGCCTACCTGGCCCCATCTCCCTCACTCCCAATATTCAACAGAGGTGCAACATTTTTCATAAAGTGTTGAGGAAAAAGTACACGAGTTTAAAACAAACTAAACCATCTTTTAGACTCAATCTAGATGATTCGTAGATTCATCGGACTCGGCACAACCGATTTAACAAATTGGTAAGTCAATGTTATTTAATGATGGAGAGGGGGGCAGTGAGGATTGGAGAATTACTCTCTCCAGATTATCGTAATCGAGCACTTTTAATTGATGTTGCTCACATGTGAGAATAAAAATGGAAAAAAAGCAACGCGAATAATCCGCAATTTTTTTTTTCACTCTCACGATACGTTTTCAACGCTATTTCATTATTATTTCCACTGTATAGAGATTGTTTCCACGATGACGACGCAGTTGGTACGAGTTACAAAATAATGAATGAATAGCAATTGTAGTCGTTCCCTGAATCAAGGTTTTATGAATAGCTGTTGTATAAAATTTTTTTATCCCGTAAACTAATTGAGTACGAAGATTGGATGAATCGTATTACATGTTTATTTATTCTTTACGGAGAATAGTGAAAAATCAAGGAGTCATCATTCAATATTTTTCCTCCAATTTTCATATCGAAAAGTAAAAAAATTTTATGCAAAACCCTGTCGAGTGCTAATTGAACGGTTTTTCCTATTTTATTTTTAGACATTGGTTTCAATTTTATAAAATTTATCTAGTTTTTTTTCTTTCTACGAGGCTCACATGAATTATCATTCACTCACTCATGAATAGATACCACTCATAACATTATTTTTAGTTAATGAATGCACTTCGTTTGCTGAAAATAATGGGGTTATTATAGTTTCAAAATCCATCACTTGTAAATTTGTAATGCAGTTTCAAATCGTCAGGACGAATGGTCCTGCTGGGGAGGGAGGGGTGAACGTGGAGGGTAACAGTGAACAACACTGCACAAGTTCTAAGTAGCACTACGACGTGAATTATGGGTGTTGATTAATCGTACCAATACAACCTTGGAGGGACTTTACATCATTTGACGTTGCAATATCGACGATAACGGTTTAATCATGAACAACGTGACTTGCTTTTTGCGCATGTATATGGCTAATTTTTTTGGGCATCATTTTGTTTTTGTAAATTAGAAATAACCGGGTGACGTTTTTTTGACCCCTGGAACAATAAAAATCGGACGATAAAAGGTTTACTACTTTCTCCTGTTCATGAGATTTACTTAATGCTTCTTCAGATATGGCTGGCATCCCATCGCTCTCTTAATAAGAAACTGGTGAAGTTGAAAAATAATTTAGAAAACGGCAGTGAAATGGGGAAATGTGAAAATTTGATCATTACGAACTACTGATTATTTAATTATTTCAATTGCTGGTGATTCTAGGAGGGACTTTTTTATTATTTTCAGGAGATATGATAAATTTCTCGATATTGTCTCCTGAATTCCATCCTTTCTGAGATAATCTGGTAATTGAATAGATGTTCACGTAGCAAAAAATTGAATCGAAAAAAAATTCTATGTGTTTTTGTTTGCTGTGCGTTTTTTAATAGATATTTTGTCGTAAAAAAAAATCTACAGATGTTGATTGTTGAATTCTTAGGTATGACTTTCCAAAATTTTTGTCCGTATTTTATTATGCGAAACAAATGTGAGTCCAGTAAAAAAAACTTGGAAAAATTATGGGCAAGAATTTCAATAGAAAAATCAAAATCTATTGATTTTTTAAACTTAAATATATTCATTAAAAAATGCTTTAAATTTAAACGTAAAAAACAATACAATTATTTTATGAAATTTAACCAGAATTGAAGAAACTCTAGGTTTTTCTATTCAATTTTTCACAGGCGTATGAATTTTGATTTTCATTTTTTATCATTTCACTACTGAAATTACAAGATGAGGTAATTAGTCAACCCCAGAAGTGATGGTACATGTAAATAATGATCCGATCAACGAAATGTATATTATGCCTCGACTATTCGTCCATATTAGAGATTATTGCGAGACATTGAAACCTGAATGACGACTGTTGGATGAAAAATGCAACAAAGAAGGAACCAACATGTGCGTCACGAGTGGGCGTTTCTCTCTTTGTTGCGGTGTACAGCAAGATGGGTTTATTAAAGCAAAAATAAAATTATCAGATATTATTTTCGGTTGTAATCGGTAAATCACTGCTGCGAACAAGCTGACGAATATTCCATCACTCAAAAAGATGATTCGATGAGAATAAAAGTAAATAGAATATAAAATGAGTTATTGGTGTAGCAATTGATGGAGTTTTATTCGCGTTTTTATTTTGTCGGTTGTTCAATAGACAAATAACGAGTAAATATATCGATATACGAGAATTACTCATAAGTATATTATTCAAATGAACGTCTAATTCGATTTAAAGTATATTTCCTGAATCATTATTGTCAATTCTCGTTTTATATGAAAATATAATAAAGAAACACAATGTCTTATATATGTTATATTCAGATTAATCATGTGGCAATGTATCATCCTCTGTACTTCGTGTTTCTTTAATCAATAAAGGGAAAATAAATTTTTCTTCCGTCACCTTCAATAAGTGTGTTCATTATTTTTGGGCATCCCCTTTCGAATCCTAATTCACTTGAAAAAGTGCCGTGAGATTTTTTATGTTCAGTCTTACCGTTGATTATACGTTGATATTTCCCTCAAGTTTTCCTGCATATCAACGATTGGGATTAGCTTTGCAGTACAATCCCTCGCGCTACGCGCTCGGGATTTTAATCTGCAAAAATAATCCCTCCCGTTGCTATGCAACAAAACATTCGGGAAATATCCGGTAATTTTGAAGGTCTTGGGGTATTATACCTGAAAATCTAATTTTCAAAAAAAAAATCGACTTGAACCGTTCCGCTTCGCAACTGAGTTCAACGTCCCTCTCTTGAAAAGCACTCCTAAAATATCCACGAAATTGCATGTTTTTTCTAACAGTGTACAGAAATCCTCAAACAATCATAGTTCTCCAGATACCGAGAGAAGTCGGAGATATTGCTATTGCATTCAATTGATGCAGTAGAACTAGAACTTCAAGATCTGGGAGAGAATATATATCCGTAATAGAGTTACTATTTCCGAATAAACAATGAACTTCACTCGATTAATATGCATCGAGTACGTAAGATTCTAAGGGCGCGTGTGCGTAACATCGACGTCGGCGCTTCATTCGTAATGATGGGAAGAAAGGGAAGATACCGAATGCATCTACTGAATATTGGTAATGCAACTAGTGTCATTGGTGCAATTGCAGCTTCAGCTTCAATCTCCCATAAGTGAAGTTCCATTGTTCGGGGGGGAATAATCGAATGCGTGAAGAATTATCGTCATTCCGGGAAAAAATCGTTGAAGGGAAATTTCAGTCTTCAATTTTCACATTTTATTATTCTTCATAATTTAAGTTTTCGATATGAGGGGCAAAAGAATCGCTATTACCGGAGTTACTCTCATCGCTTCAGTTGTCGGTCTCGCGATAATTATGTATTACTTCAATCAAGGTGAGTAACGTCTAATTGCCCGCGAATCCATGACTCGAATTTATTTTTTGAAATTTCATTCCCAAGTTACGGTAATTCACGAATATAAATGCATTAAGAACCACTTGACTTCGAAAAGTCAACTGTCCGCCCCCTTATTTTTGTTGCTTCAGCAATGAATTGAAGCTGAAGAATTAAATGAACTGTCAATTGATGTGGAAAACATCCACGTGTCTTCTGTAATGTACCCAAATTAGCGATGCAGCGGAGTGTGAGGAATACAATGAGGAATAAAATTATTCGGTGCATTTGAAAACCCGAAACCGATGCATTTGCGGTGGAAAGCGAAATGAGAGTGCGTTTGTATTGCAGACAAGTGTCCCGTGGGAACGTTCCTCTGCGAGAACAGCACGATATGTATGCCACAGCGTAGCTGGTGCAATGGTCATAACGATTGTCCACAGGCTGATGACGAGAGTTACACACATTGTTGTGAGTCATTTCAAATTCCAATCGGATAAATTACATTTGAAGAAATATTAAATAACGCTGGGAAGACGATAGGAATAAGAAATTCGGTGGAAAATTCTTGAGCTCTCATTGGGAAATCCCATTGATTTTTCATTGGAACTCTATGAGAATTCTAGTGCAAGTTGGTCGGGAATTATGTTCCTTTTGTAGCGATTTGGATTAGAAATTTCACTGTTTTTCGCGTCGCATTTTAACGAGTGTTGGATTTCTTCATTTCCTCACACACAAAAATTCTATAGAAAACCTAACAAATTCGCTAGAAAATTCTATAGGAATTCTGTGGAGTTGCTGTAGGATTTTTATTTGAATTCTATTTGAAAATTCTATTCGTTTTTTGCGCTGATTGTATTGCATATTTGATAGACAAAGTCAATATATTTTGAATTTCAGTTTGAATTTTCCTCTTGAGATTTTTTCTATTAGAATTATTGAGCATAAATTTTTCAAGTATTTTCCACTGGATTTTGTTGTTTGTCTCCTGAAATTATCTTCATTACTTATAGTGTGACATCACGACTTAGGCGACCCCCTCGTCACAAATCGCAGACTAGTTACAAATTACAGAACTTCTTCCCTTCCTCAATTGCGCGATGCGATATTTGAATGCCCCCCACGGTTCTTATTTTAAGAACCCCGGGTTCTGGATTTCAGTACCGTGCACCGAGGAAAAAGATTATTTTTGCCATGAACTCCATTGACAATTATTAAAATTTAGAATGATTCCAAATTATTTTACGTTAGAAAATCTCAAGCTTGACAAAATTGAAAAATAATCAAGGGTGTTCGTTCAAGGTTGTATGTAGTATAATCATCTCATAATTCAAAATAATTGTAATATTTGGAGCAGGACGTGCGAATCACCACCTGGGAGTGCCGAGCTTGGAGAAATACGCTCCTAAAAAATTAATTTACGCATGAAAAAATTCAATAGAAATCCTAGCGAATTCGTCAGAAAATTCTAGTGAAATTCTATTGGAATTCTATGGAGTTTCTACAGGATTTCTATTTAAAAATTCTACTTTCAGGAATTCTACTTGATTTCTGCGCTGATTCTATTGCATATTTGATACAGGAAACAGTCAACATACTTTGAGTTTCTGTTCGAAGTTTTCTCGTGAGATTTTTTCTATGATAATTATTGATTGATTTTGTTTTGCATTACAGAATGCGAGTGGAAAAAACTTAGAAAATTTGTGCCCAATAATTCTAATAGAAAAATTCAAACTGAAATTCGAAATCTATTGACTTTTTCTTATTAAATACCCAATAGAATCAGCGCAAACAACAAATAGAATTTTTAAATAGAATTCCAATAGAAATCCTATAGGAACCCCGTAGAATTCCTACAGAATTCCAATACAATTTCATAGCGAATTCGCTAGGTTTTCTATTGAATTTTGTCATGCCTATTCTCGCAAGAAAATGGTTCCTTGGCAAAAGTAATTTTTTTCTCTAGATACTACCCTATGCAATGGGTTAATGCTGAAATTGAACAACCAATAAAAAATAAACTATAAAATTTATATTATCGGGGCTATTGAAAAAATCCTATAGAAACCTATGAATCCTATGTTTGGTTTCGCTCAGTAACCTTTTCGTTGTGAATAAAACAAAAATTCCCTCTGAAGCTGAGTTGATGTATCCTGTTCCATCACTTCGCTATCCCAATACAGCACTTTATCTCTGAAACTCTGTGGATTTAGTTGACGACAGTGGAAATTGGGAATGGTTTCTCAAGCAACGTCCGGAGACACCCCCCTTCACTTGCGGTAGTACTTGCACTCAATAATAGACTACACTCAGAGAAAAACAAAAAAGTTCTCAACCAAGTCTTGTTCGGGCCCACAAATGCGTTAGCTGAAAATTACTAAAACTAGTGGATTGGGCTGTTGGTCGCTCGCTGCGCTCGCTCCCATTGCGGGTGGGTTGGTAGCGGATGTATTCATGTGGGTCTGACCCGTCGGACGGGTCGCACCAACAACTTCCCGATATTATTATTCCTCCCATTTTGACTAAAAGAATCCTTTTCAACTCTCAATACAATGTTTATTTGTTCATGAGAAACCCTTGTCTTCATTATAATCGTTCTATATGTGATTTTCATGAGATTAAGAAAGTGTTCGTTGCTTTTTTGTCATTTTGAAATTTCCTTTCCGGGGAAACTCAAAAACCACTAAACAGATATCAGCCAAAATCTAATGCGCTCTAAGTTGAATGAAAACCTATCGATTGAAAAAAAAAAGTCAAATCGGACAATTCGTTCACGAGAAATCGTTAACCAAAATTTTGACCACATACATATCTAGTAACACACACGCACACACACAGACAGACATGTTGTTTAAAATTGTCTAGGAACATCGAAAAGACCTTGAAACATGGAGATTTGATGAAAAATCGATTTTTGATTTTTGGGGCCATTACAATAACTTCCCTGCCGGGAAGTTAAAAATAATTGTTTGGTTCGAATTTGAAAGTCTCAAACATGAGTAATTGCTCTGCTTTCAACAACAACGGAATATTTGGCTCGAGAACGGGATCATTCATACAAGACGGTGCCTTTTCAGGATAAAAATATCTTTTACAGAGGAAAGTTTATCAAGAAATATTTTGTCCCTAAGTTACAAGATTACTGTGATATCATTATTATTATTTCATTTAAGAATTCATTTTTTGTCTGTAATTATTGAATGGCCGAAACGACAAACTATCTCTCGTTTCATGTAAAACAAGCATTTGCCGGGAGCAAAATACGTATAGGAGCATTGAATAACGATGCTTTCACAAAGAATACATTTTTTTTGAAAAGACTAAATCTATTTTTGCAATAAAAATTTTCAATATCGGCGCACGCTTTATGTTTGCCCCCACCAAAAAATATATTTAAAAAATATACAACATTGGTCAATTCTATATATTTTTCAAATTTATAACGAATATGTAAAAAATATATATAAAATATATGTTCGCCCAAATTCTGATATTTTTGACCTGGATACGTCTATGGTTTCAATATGGGAGATCCGATCGATTAGCCCCTCATGTATAGATATTCCAAATTTTCATTTTTTTCCTCATTGAAGTAGTTTTGAAACAAATTGCGAGCTTTTTTTAAAATAAATTTTTGAAAAATCACCCCTGGAAAAAAAGGCGTTATCCCCCTTCAATTGAAAGCCTGAGTTGAAGACCCGAGTTTGTAGCAAAGATGTCAGACAAGATATGAATGTGTTTTTGGGCTCAAACGAAAGAGCGGGTCGAGAAATGGCGTGCTAGGACCTCTAAAGATGGTTTCGAAGCAGGGGGGACTCCTAGACCCCAATGTTCTATACATACTCCTAGACCCCATTGTCCTNTCTAGGAGTCTCCCCTGGTTCAAAACCATCTTTAGAGGTCCTAGCACGCCATTTCTCGACCCGCTCTTTCGTTTGAGCCCAAAAAAACATTCATATCTTGTCTGACATCTTTACTACAAACTCGGGTTTTCAACTCAGTCCTTCAATTGAAAGCCTGAGTTGAAGCCCCGAGTTTGTAGCAAAGATGTCAGACAAGATATGAATGTGTTTTTGGGCTCAAACGAAAGAGCGGGTCGAGAAATGGCGTGCTAGGACCTCTAAAGATGGTTTCGAAGCAGGGGGGACTCCTAGACCCCAATGTTCTATACATACTCCTACACAATAATAGGAGTGCATGGACGATTTTTTCTTGACTCGCAAAAATCTTCAAACAATTTGCTACCGATTGGTGATAAAATTTTTTGGAAATGATGAAATAGGGGGGATAACGCCTTTTTTTTCAGGGGTGATTTTTCAAAAATTTATTTTAAAAAAAGTACTAACTAGCAAATGTTTTTTATTAGCTCGCAATTTTCTTCAAAACTACTTCAATGAGGAAAAAAATAAAAATTTGGAATATCTATACATGAGGGGCTAATTGGTCGGATCTAAAATGGGGGGGTCATTTTGGGAAACGGTCCTTATGTGCAGCGCCATCTATCGCAATTCTAGAAAATTCTAGACATTTCGAGGTAATTTGGGAAGTTTCTTGAAATTTCGAAAAAATTCGAGGAGTTTCTAGAAATTTCGAGGAAATTCAGGAAGTTTCTAGAAAATTCGAGAGAATTCAAGGAGTTTCCAGAAAATTCGAGGGAATGTAAGGAGTTTCTCGAATCTTTTTCCATTTCAAAATATAAATTTTTCCGTGTGGGTGGCACAAGTAAGACTTTGTTCGAGAACTCTGTCGTTTTTCTCTCAGTGTAGATTTCAGGCAATACCTACCATAGTTTCTCATTAATTACTCTGGGTTTCGAGTCTTTAGATTGTCCTACTACTCGGGGCTGTCAGTGTAATAAATGCAGAGTCACGTGTGAAGGTCTCTCCGCTATACCTCAGGATTTATCTCCCAACGTGACATCAGTGTAAGATGAATTAAATCATTTTCTACCATCAGAAACATTCTGTTTTTTCAGGATGTGGATCATGGGATAGTTGGAAAATCAATAAACCACACTAAATCATTATCGAATCGTCATGTAATTCACACTTCATCAGGCTGTCGACAGTTCTAGTAGGTTGTCACCGTAAAAAAATGAAAATCACAATAATATTAGTAATGAGTCACAAGAAGATAAAAACATAATTACATTGACGAAACAGTCGCAACAGCAACAGCAATGGTATCAGCACAAAAAGCCGAAGCTGCTGGTTATATGTAGGGGAGGGGAGGGCAAAACAGACCCCTAGGGCAGAGAATTGATAATTTTTCAAAGTCAAAAATTCATTTGTGATTTGAGGTCATTAGCAAATTTCATCAAATCGCGGTTCAACGACACCACGGACGAAAAAATTTAATACAAAAACCTATCGAATTCGTTGGAAAATTTTATTGAATTTCTATTGACCTGTTCTATTCGTTTTTGGCCGATTCCATTGAAATGTTAGAAAATAACAATAGAAAATATTCAGTAAAAAAAGTCCATAGAATTCAATTCTTCTATATAACTCTTAGAAAATATCTCTCTTATTCTATTGAGAAGTTTTTTCGTTTGATTTTCTTGATAGGAAGAAAATAAAAATGAAATGAAAAAAACTTAGAAAATTTGAGTCGAGCAAATTCTATAGAAAATATATGAAAAGAATAAGTTATATAGAAAAATCGAATTCTGTTGACTTTTTCTATTGAATGTTTTCTATTGAACATGTCAATAGAATCAGCCAAAAACTAATAGAAAGTTTAATAGAAATTCAATAGAAGTTTCTAACAAATTTGATAAGTTTTTCTATTAAATTTTTTCGTGCGTGTTTCATTTTATTCAGATGTTTTTTAGTTTCTAAAAAATGTCTACAAAAGGTGTGTGAAATTCAGACATTCGTATTTGCTGTGTGTGGTTTACTGATTTTCCAACTATCCCATGATCTACATCCTGAATTAGTCGAAAACATGGAACAACATCATAAATATTCTATTTTTTGTTTCTCCGATGATCAAATCAAATATGCTCTGCACGGAGTTTCAAAACAATTGTAAAACTTTTTTTTGCCTCAAAAATTTTTGCAAGGATATCTTCAACAAAAACGTAAGTTCTTGTATTGAGGAAGGGCTTTGTTCTGTTTCAAAAGGAATCTGTCGCATAACAATTTCAACGGAGTACATGCAGATGCCCTCCAGAGATACACAGAAATTCGATCATTGTAAGTAGCTGTAGTTTGATTGACTACAAATTACCCAATAATTTTCTGAGGAAAAATGCGTTGCTTCTTCGACTTGAATAAACTGTGCTATTTTTGTTAGTCTAGAATTATAGAAATTTATGTATCTAGTTTCAACTACCCCAGAAGGCATGTCTTCTACTTTGCAATTGCTATTATTACTATAATTACTATTGTTCACGCACTAAACATTTTCATAGAAAAATCTAGTTAATTCAATAGACAATTCGATTGAACTTTTATTGATTATTTTTCTCACTCGGATTTCAGCCAATCAGAGCGCAGTATTTGAGGCTGTCAAGCAGTTTTACTTCGGAAATTTCTAAAAAAATTCCGACGGAAATTCGCTAGTAGCTTTTCAAATGTTTCTCATCTTTCAACGCATTTCACGTTTAATATTCTGTGTGACAGATAAACAAAAACTGGGTTGTAAATGTATGGCTGTGTAAATGTATCCGGATGCTGTTCACTGCACTCTGCTTAGCCGGAATTCGAGTGGAAAAATAATCCGTCTCAAATATCACTCGTGCTTCAGAATTAATCGGATATTTTCCTCAAGCTTCCCTGCCTAGGAACGAGTGTGTCAAATTTTGCAGAAAAATCCCTCGTGCTTCGCACTCGGAATTTTAAACCTGCAAAATTTGATACAATCGTTCCTGGGCAACGAAGCTATCGGAAAATATCCGATAATTTTGAAAAATACCAATAGGAATCATCTTATGAAGAAAATGAGAAAATGAGAGAATTTCATCTTTTGTACAACTGTTGGTATTGAGAGATGAATTTCTCACGTTTTTTGCATTCCATTTCCATTTTTTCTCATTAAACGAACAAAAAAAAATTATAAAATTTGAAGCGAGGAATTTATGTAGAAAATATCTCTTCAGAATAAGTTGTATAGAGAAACTGAATTCTATTGATTTTTTCTATACAATATTTTCAATTGAATTTCAATTGAAAATTGTACTAGTTTTTTACCTATTTTATTGAAGAATTCGGTTGTTTTATTGGAGGCTTCTTTTATAAAAAATGTCCAATTCAAAAGAGAAACTATTTTAGGAGAGAATAAGTAGAATTTCATCTTTTCCTAAAACTTTTTCTAATGAGACATGAAGTTTTTTTCACTCCATTTTTATCATTTTCTCATTAAGGGGAGACTACTATGAGTTTTAAAAGTCGTGGGTTGTTGGAGTGAGACTTTTCATACGTTGAAGATCGAATTATATTCTAGCACCCATGGAAAACTGTTCTTGTCATACAAAAAACTTGAAAATTTACATGGAAAATATCTCTTCAGAATAAATTGCACAGAAAAATTGAATTTTACTGATTTTCCCTATAAAATATTTTCTATTAAGCATTTCTGTTGCATAAGCCGCGCGGATAAATTGCGAAATTTTTTAATAAAACCGGGAAAAAACTAAGAGATAATTCAATGAAAATTAAATTGAATTTTCTAGCGAAATCGATAAATATTTCTGTTGAAGTTTCTCGTACTACAAGTTTCTCGTACTTCGGCTTGATAAGAAACAAATGTATTCTTTTTTAACAGATATCTGATATCTAATGGAATTGAATATTTGAAAGAAGGGGCTTTTTCGGAACTCTCGAGCCTGTATTGGTTGTGAGTACCTCATCTGAGCTCATTATTTATACATGTATTCATTTACGTCTCGTCGCGATCAATGCATTGATGGATTAGAATTAAGAAATTTTCTTCCGTGATGATCACTCACGCCTTTAGGTTTCTCACCAATAACTCAATCAAGGAAATTCGACCTGGACATTTCCGAGGGTTATCCTCCCTTGAGACCCTCGTGGCAGATGGTAATTCCATCAATAAAGCTGATTTTTCAGACTTCGCGGGCAGTCGATCACTCGAGCTCATGTGAGTCAGTCCTCTTCATTCACTAGCATAATAATCCTTTTGCAAAATGGAATCTGTTTTTATATATTACAGAAACTTGCGGAATAATTCTCTGACAGAGAAGACTCTAAAGTTTCCGGAGCTCCCGGCGTTGAGAGAATTGTGAGATTCTGTTTCAATATTTCTAATAAGAAATTATTATTTGGGAGATCGAGCCCACTTTACTATACACTGAGAGAAAAGTAAACGAGTTTTCAAACAAGTCTTGTTTGGACCAACAACACGTCATTTAAAAATTATTTTAAAAAAATCAGTAGCAAAGTGATAAAACGGTTTAATTTGACTTATCTCCCACTTGAGGTTTTGCGGAATATTTCCGAATCTAAGGGAGATAGCGAAATTTTCGTAATCACACTTGTTGTAGCACTCAATCGGCTCTACAAAAAAGGTTATAACAGCAATTTTGTTATCTCCCTCAGATTCCGAGATATTCATTGAGAACGGGTCAGTAGTGAAAATTAACTTGTCCCATTTTACCACTTCGCTACTGAATTGTTTGATTTGAATTTGAGAGTTTCAAACATGAATAAGCGCTCTGCTTTCAACAGCAACAAAATATTTATATTATATATTTAACGTAATTTGCCGCTGGCGACTGATGGCCGTCGACCGAAGCCTTCAGCCCGGTATTTACGGAGACATTTAGTTGACTGTTACTATAATATACAGTGTGTAATAACAAATTATTTAGCTCAAGAGGCGGATCATTGACACCCTTGCAGAATGAAAATACATCTTATAAAATGATGTTTATCACGAAATATTTTCTTCCTAAGTTACCACATTATTATCATATCATCGTTAGTATTTCATTTAAAAAATCGCTTCTCTGCGGAAGCGAAATATGTATGGGACTATCGAATATCGGAGAAGTAGTACTAGAAATGACATTTCTCGCTTGCGCAGAGAGTACAAGTTCTTGGAAACGAATAAAATAGTATATTTCGTAACGAGTGCAAAAAAGTGTTTTTTGGCGAGTGGGAGGTTTATATCACGAGCCGAAGGCGAGTGATATAATCCCACGAGCTAAAAAACATTTTTTCACGAGTTACGAACAATATTTTTCATCACAATGTGGCGGAAATTGGACTTTTAGGCACGCGGAGCGTGCCGAAAGGTTCACTTTTTGTCACAGCGTGATGAAAATGTTTTTTTATCACGCTGTGACAAAAAGTGAACTTTTCGGCACGCTTCGCGTGGCTAAAAGTCCAATTTCCGTCACATTGTGATGAAAAATATCGTTCGATACTCATGGGAAAAGTGTTTTTTGGCTCGTGGGATTATATCACTCGCCTTCGGCTCGTGGTATAAACCTCCCACGAGCTAAAAAACACTTTTCCGCACTCGTAACGAAATATACCATTTCATCCCGCTGTGACGAAACGTGAACTTTTCGGCACGCTCCGTGTGCCTAAAAGTCCAATTTCCGCCACATTGTGATGAAAAATATTGTTCGTAACTCGTGAAAAAATGTTTTTTAGCTCGTGGGATTATATCACTCGCCTTCGGCTCGTGATATAAACCTCCGACTCGCCAAAAAACACTTGTTTGCACTCGTTACGAAATATACTATTTTACGACAAAAATTTTCCATTTCAGAACAGTCTTCAAATGGTCGGTACTAGATTTTATTTTTTCGATTTAATTTTTTATCTGCGATTCTTCGATTTGTTTCAAACTAGACTTGTTTGAGAATAGTATATTACAATTCAAGTTAAAAAAGTATTTCCTAATTAAAAAAATACTTTTTGATTAGGAAGTACTTTTTTAATGATACAAGTGAAAAAAGTCCGTTAAAAAGTAGTTTTTTTCAAAATACTTTTTTAAAAAGTAAAAGTACTTTTTGAATGTAAAGTGAAAGTTTTTTAATGATGCAAGTGAAAAAAAGTACTTCCTAATCAAAAAGTACAAACTATAAGTAGTTATTTTGAAAAAGTAATTATTTTTGTACTATTTATAAGTAGTTATTTTATGATACAAGTGAACAAAGTACTTCCAAATCAAAAAGTACTTTTTTTCACTTGTATCATAAAATATTCTTTTCTCTCTGAGTTTACCGCGCAGTAATTTTTCTCTGGATTTATGGGGAAAAATTCTCGTATTTTGTCCGTGTAAGGTGAATAAAGCATCATTATTTCCAGGCAACTGGATTATAACAAAATAAGAGTAATCAGCGGTGAGTTTCTAGCTGGGATGCCTTCTCTACGATCACTGTGAGTAGCATAACTATTTGTTATCATTCGTGACGATGTTACATGGCAGAAGCGATTATTGTTTACGCAACCAAATGAATAGAGTGAGCAAGGGTGTGTGACATTCATCTGATTTTTTATTTGTATATACACCGTTAGAAATTTCTAGAAATTCAAGCAATAAATGCATTTGACTTCTCAATGTTGTGAATTTTTACTCATTTTTAGATCAAATTGTTCATGGAATCTCTTATTCAGCTTGAAAGCTCGAGAAAATTGGGTTTTCCGTATTAGACGGTCATTGACATATCAATGACCCCTAGAAATCTCAAACTCATTGTTAAAATTAAACACTACATTCAATTGAATTTTCAATGAATTCAAAATTCAGAGAGATAGTTTCCTGAATTATCTAAATTTTATATATCTTTTTGCATTAATAACGATTATATTAGGTCTATCTTTAAAGAAATCTTTCTTTCGCAGCACTATGGAAGGAAATGGATTAATCACCATCGATCCTAATGCATTCAGAAATCTTCGTGGCCTCACAGAATTGTAAGAGATTCTATCATTCAATCGCCCAGGCATGAAAAAATTTAAGAGAATCCTTGCGCAATGTTGTCAAAATTATATTGGGAAGTCTGAATTTTATTCCATTTTTTTTTCAAATTCCGAACGTTTCCTACAAGTTTTTATTTTAAAAAATGGCAAAAAATTAATTATTCCTGATAAGTTATTTTGTTCAAATTATTTCCATAACAATTCCTCAACTTGAATTTTCCCATTTCATTGGATTCCTACCCCAGAATTTCTGTGATAAAAAAAAAATCAATAGATTTTTTTCCGATAGCATATTTCTAGGGAAAGCAGGAGTAAGAACAACATATTGGTGGTCCCTGTTGTGAATTAAAATGATTATTCTACACTTGACAAAAAAAATAAAAAATAGTTTTCATTCGATTTTGGAAAACAGAAATGAAAGCTCAGACGAATAACCATGTGACCGTTTTGAAAAAAACTTGCAAAATCTCCTTAAAAAACAAAAACAAATGATTTTGTAAAGAACTGCGTCAAAGAAAAGTTTTGTTTGACACTTACTGAACAGTAGAAATTTTTGAAAAATTCAAAGAAATGAAAAAAAGCCAAGTCAGAAATGTCAAATGAATGACCGTAGGGCACAATCAGATGTCTATGAGAAAAATATTTCTATTTTTTATTTCATAGAGAATTGTTTTACAATAGGATTTTCAGTAGAATTTCAACAGACCCATGTCGCACATTTTTCTCTTGAAATTTTTCATACGTAATATGTTTAGAAAAATCGTCGCACGTATGAAAAAATTAAGTAGAAAAACTTTGCGAATTCGCTAGGAAATTGTATTGAAATTCTCTAGAAGCTCTATTGGGGTTCCATTAAAATTCTAGAGAATTCTCGGTAAAATTTTATTTGTTTTTCGCGCTATTTCTATTAGATTTTTGATGGAAAAAGTCAATAGACTTCGATTTTTCTATATGAATATTTTCTTGGGATTTTTTCTATAAGAATACTTGAGCATAAATTTTCTAAGTTTTTTCCACTCGGATCCTGTAATGCAAAACAGAACAAAATACAGCGGAAAAACTTGGAAAATCCGTGCTCAACAATTTTAATAGAAAAAATGTCAAGAGAAACATTTAAACAGAAAAATCCAATCTATTGACTTCTCCCTATAGAATATCTAATAGAATTAGCGCAAAAAACAAATAGAATTTTCACGAGAATTCTGTAGAATTTTAATAGAATTCCAATAGAAATTCTATTGGAATTCGTGAATTCTAGAATTTCTAGAATTCGCTAGAAAATTCTATTGGGGTTTTCTAGAATTTTAATAGAATTCCAACGATAGAGAACCCCAATAGAATTTTCTAGCGAATTCGCTAAGTTTTTCTATTTAATTTTCTCATACGTGAGTCTTTGAAAAATATTATCGAAATGGTTCCCAATCACCAGGAATCTAGCGGACAATGAAATATCTCTAATTCCGGATCATCTGCTGAAGCCCCTCGTGAACTTGACACAACTGTGAGTATTAATAATGAAGTAGGATAACTGGAAATCGTGTAATGATGCTAATTAAGGGAAAAACCATCACGCGTGGCACATCGTGTGTCAAAGCCCGAATTCGTGCTTACATCGTAATCAACAGTACAGATTAGTACTCAACATTTTGTGTACACTCGACGCAGATGCTCTACTTCACACAATAAATGCGCTATCGTTATCCTACAAATATGTGTGAAGTTGATATGACAGGAGATATTCGTTTTGCAGTATGATTGGATACAACCCCATTAAAAATCTACAAATATCGATATTCGATGGGCTAATCAATCTTCGTTCGCTGTACGTATTAATGCTTGAAGTATAATCTGCACGGAGAGAAATTTTTTACAAAAATTCTAGTGCTAGCACGCGAAAAGGGTCGGCACTAGAAATTTTATTGGGGAAAACGTGATTTTTTCCCCGTATTTCTGTGAAAATTTCACAGAAATCCTCAGAAAGTTTACCAAAAATACCAAGAAAGTTTACGTTAACAGCACTAGAATTTTTCACATCCGGTGGACTGTAATTTTTTCCAGTACTCGTACTAGAATTTTTCTAGAAAATTTCTCTCCGTGTGCGTCGAAAACATGATAATAAATGGAATTTACACCGCATTTTTAGGGGTCTCGAGGAAGTTGACATGGAAAATTCCGGGAAACATGCTCTTTTGCCGTTCAAAAATCTAGAGTTCGTGTAAGTAAATTTATGAAAAATGGGACAGAATATATGGATTAATTCATTAAAAATATTCAGGTATTTCAAGAAATTTCATTACTGCAATACTTACGCGCCGAATGTTCAAAATTGTCGTCCAGCAAGCGATGGTAAGGCATTTGGAAGATTATATTTAACTAGCGAAATTATTAATTATAGAGGTTATTTAAACAGCGGATTATAGTGAAGGGATAATTATCCCTTCACTATAATCCGCAAATTAGTAATTTTAATTATAATTTATTCTTCTGAAATTACTGATTTCGAATTAATGGAATCGTTCGAAATTATGAAATCACGTCCCGCGACGCTCGAAATCATTTTATCCGAAATCACTGAAATCACCGCTGAAACCACCCGAAATCGATTTCATTTCGAAATCATGGTGTCACTCAATTATAAAGGTAGTAGCCCCTCGTTCTAAATTAATAGAAATAATTAGCCGTGACGAGATTACGTTGTTGGGGGACAGCATTCGCCACAACCGATCAAATCGCGAACATGGAGGTCTCGGATTTATTAAGACTGGCTGTAAAAGCCGGGCTGGAAATTTAATCCGAACCTTAACTCAGGCGGAGCTACAATAACTCAAAATTGAGTTCGGTGGCACAAGGGAGGCTAGCCCGACCATCCGCAACTTTAATCTAATCGAAAAAAAATAGAAATAATAAAAATCACAGGTGTAAAACAGTAATTGTAGTACCAATGAAATAAATTCTATTCTATTCTATTCATAGAAATTCGGATAAAAACAAGTTTGGATTTCAAATTAATTGGAAACTCTGCGTTGTTTAGTGCTAAATATTTATATTTTGATAGAAAATTCAAATGAGTGATTGGGAATTCTCATCTTCCTGCAGATCCAAGATTTAGACTTTCACTAGAACTTGAAGTTTAATGATTTCTTTCCCCTAAATAGAACACAAGTTTCACCGAAATTTCAACTTTTTACTTATAGTGTGCACCAGTGTAGTACTGGAAAATATTCATTTCAAAGAGATAAATAAAACATGCCTCCATCGAAATTCTTCATTTCAGGTGTTTCTTCATTATCACACCTCCTCGGAAAACCTCTCCTGAAGGTTGCGGTCTGGGGTATATCATCAGTCACGTGTCTGGGCAATGCCCTTGTCCTGTGGGGGCGTTTCACCGCTAAAGATGAAAATCGTGTTTTGAGTATTGTCATCAGGAATCTCGCAGGTTTGCGAAATATCTACGCAGAAACAAAAGTTTGGATTTTCCGGAATTTATCCCCAGTTATTTATTAGGGATTCACAATTGTGCACGCACGAAGAAATTTAATAGAAAAACCTAGTAAATTCGCAAACAATAGACAATTCTATTGGATTTCTATAGAATTTTGTGTGATTTTTTTTCCGATTCTATTGAAATCTCTAACAGAAAATATCCTATAGAAAACTTTATAGAATTCGATTTTTCTATACAACTGATGCTGTTGAGATATTTTCCATAGAATTTTCTCGTTGCAAAAAATGCAACAAAAATGAATAAAAAAATAAATGAAAAATAACAAAATAGAAAAATAAAAAAGAATTAAATAATAAAAAATGAATTTATGAATGAATGAATAAAAATGAATAAAAATGAATAAAAATTTTCTACACTGAGAAAAAACAATTCTAATATCTGAAACATATTTTCTTGAGACAAGTAATTTTTCTTCAATTGTTTAATTCTCCCAGGCATCTCAACTCACGTGACCCGAGAAAGGTCTCATGCTTTAAAATATCCTTGTACTCAAGTATGATTTTGTCGTAAATGAACTCACTCAAGTCGCGTAGAAGAACCGTCAATCTTCAAGTGTTTATTGTTTTCATGATTTTTTTGTTATGCATTTGCAAGATTTCGATATGTAATATATTCATGATATCATGCGCAACGATAGTGATAAATGAGAATTTATTCGAGTTCCGTGAACCGCAAGCATTCTGAGATTTAAACCACTGAAAATAATTTACTTCTCTCAAGTAAATAATATTAGAAAAATTTTCTTTCAGTGTATAGAATATTTTCATCACGCTGTGACGAAAAGTGAACGTTTCGGCACGCTCCGCGTGCCTAAAAATCCAATTTCCGCCACATTGTGATGAAAAATATTGTTCGTAACTCGTGAAAAAATGTTCTTTAGCTCGTGGGATTATATCACGAGCCGAAAGCGAGTTTTTTGCACTCGTTACGAAATATACTATTTCTATTGAAAATTTCAAAAGCATTATCTAGCGAATTCGATAGTTTTTTCTACAAAAATGTTTCGTAGAAATTCAATGACTGCAAAATTCTGAAATTTCTTTAATCAATATTATATTATGTAATCAATATTATATTATGATTCGATTGAATCATTCCAGTTTCGGATATGCTCATGGGCATTTATCTCTTCATCATTGGTCTCGTTGATGTACAATTTCGAGACACGTACAATCAACAAGCAAGCGCGTGGATGTCCTCCTGGGGCTGCACTCTCTTAGGAATACTCGCAATGACTTCGTCTGAAGTATCGGTTTTGATTCTTTCGTTCATGTCGATTGAGAGATTCATTCTGATTGCTGCACCATTGAAGGGACAGCAGAGGTCTTTGACACCACAAACTGCTGGGTTCTCGATGATCTTTATATGGATGAGTGGCATTGTTCTCGCGCTTATACCAGGTAATATAAATTGACATATTGACTGATTCATTGGACTAGCTAATCAAATTTCCCGAGAAAAAAACCGACAACGCCAACGCTTAATAAAAGGATTGAACTAGAAATTCTAATTTTTTCAGAATTTTCAGGCGTCCACACAGAAAAACCTAAACGTAAATCACGTTTAAGAAGTCGTCTTTTACGCTATCGGAAGCGTTTAGTTTTTGGCCGATTCTATTGAAATGTTCACTTGTAATACCACAAGAGCTTCAAAATTATCGGGTATTTTCCGATAGGTTCGTTGCAAACAAACGAAGGAGTCAAGTTTTTCAGATCAAAAAATCACGAGTGCGAAGCACTCCCTGGCAAACTTGACGACTTCGTTTGTATGCAAGGAACCTTGAGGAAAATGCCCGATTAATTTTGAAGCTCGTGTGGTATTCGGGGGATTATTTTTCCAATCCAAATGTCGGGCAATATAATTGGACCATGAGACGAAACTCACAATTGAGAAACGAGAATTGTATAGTTAACACAACGACACAATTGAATTCAGTCTGTCAGTTTGACGAGGGGTTAATTCGACTGCATGATGTTTTGTTTTTTATATAGCAACTACCAGAGAAAATTATCAAAAAATGATCAGTTGAAAACCCTGTAGCTTGTACCACGTGATGTCGAATGGACCAATTATATTGCCCGATATTTGGGTTGGAAAAATAATCAACAGAAAATATTCAGTAGAAAAAGTCAACAGAATTCAATTTTTCTATATAACTTATTCTATTGAGATATTTTCTATAGAATTTCCTCGGCTCAAATTTTCTAATTTCTTTCGTTTGATTTTCTTGATGAGAAGAAAAGAAAAATAGAATGAAAAAAACTTAGAAAATTTGAGTCGAACAAATTCTATAAAAAATATATGAAAAGAATAAGTTATATAGAAAAATCGAATTCTGTTGACTTTTTCGATTGAATGTTTTCTATTGAACATGTCAATATAGAATCAGCCAAAAACTAATAGAAAGTTTAATAGAAATTCAATAGAATTTTCTAACGAATTCGATAGGTTTTTCTATTAAATTTTTTCGTGCGTGGCAAAATTTGAATTTCGACATCGATGTTGTTGCAACTATGTTTTCAGCTGCTCCAAATGTAGTCGAATTAAAAAACACATTGAAAAGTTAATACTGTTTGTGAATCAAAAATTTTTTTGAAAGCAATTCACTGGCGTAGCAGTACCCGTTTCTATGGTCTCAACGGCATGTGTTTCCCCCTTCACATTGACGATCCCTTTCTCATTGGATGGGAGTACTCGGCGTTCATATTCCTGGGCGTCAATCTCGTCGGGTAACACAATAACATCTCAAAGTTTTAATTATTTCACTAATTTTTAATGGAATTCTGATGAAATTATTTTTGAGCAGATTAGTAACGATTGGATACGTGTATGCCGGCATGTTCGCCAGCATTTGGCGCACTCGACACAACACCCCGTTGTTCGTCGGGGATTCTGAGTTTGCACTACGCTTTTTCTTCATCGTTTTGACAGATGCAGCTTGTTGGGCACCAATCATTGCTCTCAAAATTCTCGCATTCTTGAAATATCCGGTTCCTCGTAAGTATTAACAAGGAGGGGTCATTCATTTGTGAAATCACTGTGTCAATCGGGACTGAAATCGTATGAAATCAGTTGAATTCTGTGAAATCCTGGGATTTCATCGATTTCAATTGAAATCACTTGCAATCGGCGATCGAGGGTGAACAAAAAAATTTATTTTATTTTGGCTTTTCGCTGATATGGCTTATCTTCTTAAATATCATAAATCTGTTGCCGATTCTTTGTTGGTGATTCACGCTAAAACCACTGAATGGATTTTGATGCGGTTTCACTGTTAAATAGCTTAGGGTCCCCAGATGGCTTTAGGCTATAATTTATTGCGCTGCGTTGCATAGTTCAGTATACAACGTGGAAACTTCTAGAAAATTCTAGAACTTTTGGGAACTTTCTGGAGAGGTCCGGAACTTTCTAGAAAAATCTAGGATATTCTCGAGTTTTTTAAATTTTTTTCGAATTTTCGAGAAAATTCACAGATTTTTCTGGAATTTTCTAGAATATTCTAAAAAAATTTCCAGTTTTATAACGATGAGCATAGTCGACGCACACCTGGTAGAGCAAAAGCTCTTGAACCTCCCACCCTAAAATTCGAGAATTTGCTGGAAAATTCTAGAACTTTCTAGAGAAATCTAGAATATTCTCGAGTTTTCGGAAAAAATTTCAAATTTTCGAGAAAATTTATAGAAAATTCGAAAAAATTCAGCGATTTTACTAGAAAATTCTGGAATTTTCTGAAAAAATCCAGAACATTCTCAAGTTTCTGAGAATATTCTCGAGTTTTCGGAAAAAATTTCAAATTTTCGAGAAAATTTATAGAAAATCCGAAAAAATTCACCGATTTTACTAGAAAATTCTGGAATTTTCTGAAAAAATCCAGAACATTCTCAAGTTTCTGAGAATATTCTCGGGTTTTCGAGAAAATTGGAAGAAATTCTCCAGTTTTATAGCCTTCATTTTTATTTCTACCCTGTTGCATAATAAATTGAAATCGAAACGTAGAAACTTCCCAAAAATTCTAAAACTTTCTGAATAATTCTAAAATTTTCCATTCAAGGGTTTTCCAAAGCAATGAAGAAAATTCTGGAGTATTCTAAAAAAATCGAGAATAATAACACGTTTAACATAATCTCGATATTCATTTTTTTCTATTTTGCCCGAGCGAAGCCGGGATCCATAGCTAGTTATAAAAATTGCCATACCTTGCGTTGTTGAATTTAACTGAAATTTCGAATTTATAATTCTAAAAATGATAAACCTCTTGAAGGGGGGAGTTGGCTGGGAGGTACCGTACATCTACCTGAGCACCCATAATTATTACATGAGGTGTCTCAAAGAAATTTAAATTCATATTAGCTGCCTAGGTCAACCATATTTAAAATCACGAATTGTTGGTTTGATCCTGTATTCAGGATTAGTGCAATCGGTGATTGGTGAAATCGTGAAATAATCGTCAATCCTCCGAACTCCATTAGTGATTGATAAAATAATTCGGAATTTAGATATTTAATTGGTTATTAATTTGATAATATGAAATTGATGAGTACTATTAACTATTCACTTCATCAAAATTTAACTTTATTTAAAATTTATGATTCTGCCGATGTCTGAAGGGGAGTCCCGCGGTGAAATTTGAAAGTTGCAGGGGTTGTCTCTGTCATACAGATGACTTTGATACTTATTCTTTAGGCAGTGTCTATTCGCACGCACTCAAAAAAAAGAGAAAAAATCAAGTTTCAGGGCAGAAAGGGCCGGAATATATATATAAAAAAAAAATCAAGTTTCAAGTTTTTTCAATGACGGCATGTGGCTACACATGTATAAAATCTTCAGTCCCCTTACCAGGATTTTTGATGGATTGACTTGAATTTTGTTTTTGACACACATAATATGCCGTCAGTGACCCAGTCATGGAAGCTTCAAGAAATGAGGCCCAGTTATGGAAGCGTATTGTTTTCAATAACTTAAAAGTATTGTTGAGTGGATTTTGCTGGCATTAGAGAAAATATACCTATAGTTTCCATTTCACTCCGTTCATCACAGTAAATATGAGGTATTCCACGCCAAATGAGTCAACCGCTGACCTTCACTCTCTTGGAAATTGATGGCGATTTTTTCTACGATTGGGGAGGTTGAAAAACTATATCTCAAATTTTTTCAGATTTTTTCGGCAGCCCAGTTCGGAGATATGATTTTTGTTTCGTTTTTCCGTTTTTTTTCAATAACTCGAGTTCTATCCATCCGATTTTGATTTATTAAGCGTCAAAATTTTTCATTTTTTACTGCCTATAAAAATATTTTTAGTGAAATTTTTTTTTTCGATCTCTAGACGCGCATAATAACGACTTTTCGAATAAAAAAGTTGAAAAACTTGAATTTTGCAAATTACGTCACGGATGATTTGTTTCATTTTTTTAAAATAATTATTATAATCAAAACAAGTATTTTGAGCCATCATACAAGTTGGGCATTGTCCTGGATGTATTTTATTTTCAATTTTTTCATTTCAAAATTCCGTAAATTTGGTCACAACTCCTCAAAATGGCGTTAACTGACTTTGATTATAGACAGTATGAAGTAAATTTGATTGTATACCTATATATTATATATTTTTTCGATACATAGTCGCAGTCGTTTTGTGGTGTTTTGACCAAATCTGCGAAATTTCCAAAAGAAAAAATTAAAAATACCATAGATCCAGAAGGGTACCCAACTCGAATGACAGCTCAAAATACTTGTTTTGATTATGAGAATTACTGAAAAAAAAATTTTGAATATCAACCGTGACGTAATTTGCAAAATTCAAGTTTTTCAACTTTTTTTCGAAAATTTGTTATTATGAGCATCTAGGAATTGAAAAAAAAAATACTAAAAATAGTCGTATAGGCGGTAAAAAATGGAAAATTTTGATGCTTAATAAATCAAAATCGGACAAATAGAATTCGAGTTATTGGAAAAAACGGAAAAATGTGAAAAAAATCACATTTCCGAACTGGGCTGCTGAAAAAATCTGCAAAAATTTGATAGTTTTTCAACCTCCCCGATCGTAGAAAAAATCGCCATTAATTTCCAAGAGGGTGAGGGTCAGCGATTGACTCATTTGACGTGGAATACCTCATATAGGCATAGGATCACATGGATTTTCGGCCAAGTGT